GACTCCAATTGTCCAGTCAACCGTTCAGGCCGCCCCCCGGCCCCCCCCCCCCCCCAACCCGCCTCGCCTTTTCCACCACCACCTCCTAACCCTCTGCCCAGTCAGTTCCCGCCGTCCTGTCGCACCTCCGGCAGACGCTGCTTGGCGGTCTCCAGGGACTCCCGCCACTGGTTCAGAGGACGGAGGATACCCAACATCAGCCGCCGCTCCATCTCCAGTACGGCAGCCCGTATGCCGTTGACGTCCGCGTCCGCGCCCAACAGCTCCGAGGGGTAATCGTGGGAGACTGGGTTAAAACAATGGGGACGCGGCGAAGCGCGAAACGAGAAAGGATCAAAATTAAATGTTCTACAGTTCGTATTCCGTTAGAATTAACGAATTTAATGTTTGTCAGTCTGGTGACCTTGGAGACCCCGTTCTCCATGGCCGTGTACGAAGAGCTGGGGGTCCAGTTACGTCCCTTTTTGATTAGGGGGCCGTGGGGTAGTAACGCAAATCCAGACGGCATAAAAAAACATGTACACATATGGCTTCGTACATACGTACGTACGTACGAACATAGGTGCAATGGATTCATTGCCCGAAGCTCCGAATCCCCATGCGCAGGGCGTACGACCGAACGTGGGGAAACCGGCACTCTTTGAAGTAACTGTGGCGGTTATATCCCGCGGGCCCAACAACCCCCGGGAGTTAAGGAGCGCGCACGGGTGGGCCAGGCAAAACCCACACGCGAGAGGACCTGGCAGGGGGGGTTGCCTCTCGCACACATTAGGTTCGCGGCCCAAACACTCAACATTGCGAGTTGTGGGAGGGGGGAATCCTTCCCGCACCCCGGCCTCCTCCCCGCTTCAGAAGAAAACCCACCTCTCGCCCGCACCGGTTCCGCGAGTCCCCCGTCCGGCAGGTGGTCCCACACGCGGGGTAGCGGCACCGAGATGATGGGGGTGATGCAGGAGATGAAGTCTGAGGGGGAGACGTAGGAGGAAGGGGAAGGGGAGGGGGGGCGGAGGGGGGAGATACTCATGCCGGGGGATGGGGGGGATGGGCCGGGGGCCCGGGGAGAAAGGGTGAGGTAAGGGGATGAGGAAGGCAGAGGAGGGGGGAAGTAGGAGGCGGAAGAGTGCGGTGGCAGGTGTACGGCGGTTATCGTACTGCTATCGTACTGTGTTGGTATGTACAGTTGGGATGTGTGCGGAGCGTGCTGGGACTGGAACCAGGGATTACAACGGATGCCGTTGACCAGAGATGTATCGATTGGTGAAGATGCTGCGGATCGGCGCTTTGGACTGCGCAGATCGACAGAGCATTAAAAGACAGTTATTATTAGTGATTCAGGTCCACAAGGCCGTGGTAGTTTTATTTCAGAGCAGTTGTGTAGCATTTACTCTGATGCCGTGTTCAATTTCTGCACGGAAAGCTCCTCGGCACTGCTCTAGTTTTGTCGCGGCTCTCATCCCCAATCTCGGCATCCAAGGCCTTGCGGCGGACATGCGGACTCGCTCCGTGAGCATTTTGGAAGCCCGTTGCCGGGACGGCCTTGGACTGTCCAAGTCGCGAGCTTTTTTTTTCAAATTCGAATCCTTTAACTCTAGCATTTTGGCGCCAATCCCGAAGCGGTAGATCAGCGGAAGACCCGGCCGCCGTTGGAGTCGGGCGTGCTGCGGCCAAAGCGGCCATCAAATGCTTAAGATGCCTTCCTAAAGATGTTCTCCAAGATGTGGTGAAAATGGCTTGCTGTCTTCAGCTTCTTGCCGCTAGTCAACCTGCGGAAAGGTCGGGTCGCGCAGACCGTTCAAATACCGTTCAAATACCTGTCGTGGCATGCTGGAAAGTCTGCAAATTGCGAGCGAACTCGGACATGCGGCGCGAAAAGTCCTCCGCTTCCTCATACATCTTGGTGGTTCTCATGACCCCCTCCACGGCTGTCCGCTCGCCACCTGTGCCCGGGTGGCCATAGCGCACCATGCTGCCCTGTGGAAGAGCACAGCGGGCGGAGCAATCGTAGAGCAGGAAATACTTCTACTAACAGCTTCTAAAACGCAGCATGGAAACAGTGAAGCGTGCACGCGATCGCCTTTTGGTAAACCAAGGGTGAGAAGGAAGCTGCCGAAACATGGCGCCGGAATGCACCGCTTCATCTGTGCTTTGAAACCCAATCAGCTAACGGGGAGCAGGGCGGCATGAAGGTAAAAGCCCGGCTACAAGCAGGGGAGAGCAGGGGTTGCCTTGGTGCGCGTCTGTTGCTAACCTCACCGGCGTTAATGCTTGTAACATCCGGCCGCCTTATATTTCGATTCTTTTGCTAATAGCTGTCGCCAGAGCCTTCACAGGAATAGAGGGCTCTCTGTAACTCACTCAAGGAGTTGTGCCGACCAAAGGGTCAGAAGGTTCAACGAAGCAAATGATTGAGCTGATTGAGTAGCTAAGCAAGGTGGATTAGACCATGGCTCAGATTTGGGTTCTGACGGATTACTTGTCTGCGTAGCAAGCAGTAATTCTCATCTTGAAAATCTGGGGCTATCAGTCTTTTCGCCGCCGCTCTGTCGTGCGCATGGACATCTCAGCACTCCAAAGGCCGAGCATGACGTCAGTCGACAGACACAGGCTCGCCTTTCCGAACGTCTCCGTTAACACGCTGTAGGCGAACCCACTGCATCCTAGAGTGGTGAACAATAATACAGGGCAGCAGAAAATGTTCAACAACAAGCGTCAAGCCGCAAACACCTCACGCATAACATCCCCAGATTCCTGTTTACATATCTTCTTCCGGCTGTCGTTCTGCCGACAGTAAGCGCAAATTTTAAATGCCGCACCCACCCACAGTCCGATAGCCCTTGGACGCTCGAATTGCCACCTCTTCAACTTCTTCAGGGTGGCACCATGCAAAAGTAGCACCCCAATAGTCTTTCTTCCTTGACCTCTTCAACCCCCTATCTACTACTAGAGCCATCAGGTAGGGCAACTTAGCGTCCCGTTGACCCACGGGTCAAACGGTCTGTCACGTGAACGGCTCCTGCATTCGCATGGTCCCCGTGTGATAGCGCGGGACCTCAGCTGGAGTGCAAAGCAAAGTAAAGGAAGTAAGAAGGAAAGGAAGGAAAAGCTATCCTTTGGTGCTTTGGAAGACAAACCCAACATACCGTTACATCCCCAACGAATGCACGCCGCCACGCAGCCCCCTTTCCCCCGCCCTCCCGCCACTCACTCAATTCGTACACTCACAACCTGCAAACCTCTATTCCCCCCCGACCATCGCGCATCAGGCGAGGACAGACCCCCCCCTCTCCACGCCGCAACACTGCACGCCATGTCAAGCCGCGGCCCCCACCCCCACCCCACACAAACCCATGGGAACCCGGACCCCCCCAGCCCCCGCCGCATTCCTTCCATTGTCCCCTTCCCAGCCAATCGCACTCGCGCATATGAACGGATGAAGTGCAACCCCTCAGGCTTCCCTGATAGCCAGCCCTGCACGCAGTCTTACTGACCGTTCCCAATCCTGCGTAACCTGCACGGCGCGCTCGTTCAAAGTCACAGCTGTCGCGGATACATGACTGTATGTGAGGCTGCATCCGTGACCACCTCCACTCTGTCCGATAAGAAGCACCTAACGAAAGCGGACAACTTAACGTGGGCAGACTGGGGAGAGACAGAGAAGCGGGCGCACGAATCGAAGGACGGAAAGGGAAGGAAAGGAAAGGGAAGGGGAGGGAAGGGGAGGGATACATAAGACGGGAGCCAAAGATTGGGAACCCCCCGGAGCGTGGGCGATATAAGGCAGGTTAGGATATTACCAGGGCCGCAAACATTGGTTTTTGCTTCGAGTTTGAAGAATTTCCCTGTCAACATAAGGGTTATTTCCTTTTCGGCGCGTCGAGCAGGGCAACAGACAGACATGGCGACAGACATACCTCCTGGCTTTCCCGCTTTCCTGGAAAGGTGCATACCAGTCTAGTCTAGTGTAGACACGAATACAAACATGGACACGAACCGCTTCATAGCAAGGCCCTACTGCTGTACCTTCAGCGCCGTACGCAAGCGTTGCGGCAGCTGCACAGTTGACAGCGCCAGTCCGCCGCCGCCGGAGCCTGGTAGCTGTTGCAGTACAGCCTGCCGTACAGCTCTCGCCACCCATGGCTCCAAGCGTGCACCCGCCGCTGTGTCTGCCTCCGGCAGCAGCGGATCGCGACCGCCGGCGCCACCGCCGCCGCCGTCGCCGCCGCGCATTCCGTATGCGGCCGCTGAGAAGCCGCCATAGCTCGGGCTGTAGCGACTTCTGGTGGGAAGGCCGCGGCCGTACCCGCCGCGGCCGCCATAACCTGGACTTCGGCTACGGCTCCGACTTGGGCTGCAGTTAGGGCTGCGCCAGCGTCGATGGCTAGCGGGTAACAGGCCGCCAGGCGCCGGCGTGCCGCTGCTCCGAAACCATTCACCGCCGCCGCCGCTGCCGCCCCCAAAACCAGGCGCGAAGCCGCGGCCTAGACTGTGCCGGAAGCTGGGACTAGAGCTACCCCGGCTGCGGCTGCGGCTGCGGCTGCGGCGTCGAGCTCCGGCCCAGTCCGGGCTCCATCTGGGGCTGCGGGAGTTGCTGGGACTGCGCCAGCGGCGGCGTACGGCGGTACGGGAGGGCTGCCGGCCGCGGTGGATCCTGGGCGACTCACTGCGGCCCCGGGCCGGACCGCGACCCCGGCTTGGGCTTCGGCTTGGGCTTCGGCTTGGGCTTCGGCTTGGGCTTCGACTTAGGCTTCGGCTTGGGCTTCGGCTTGGGCTTCGACCTCGACTTCGACTTCGGCTAGGGCTTGGGGTTGGGTTTCGGCTTGGGCTTGGGCTTGGGCTTGGGCTTCGGCTTGGGCTTGGGCTTCGGCCTCGACTTCGACTTCGACTTCGACTTCGACTTCGACTTCGACTTCGACTTGGGCTTCGACTTCGACTTCGGCTTTGACTTTGACTTGGGCTTCGACTTCGGTTTCGACTTGGGCTTCGGCTAGGCCTTCGGCTGCTCTCGCTGCGGCTGTGGCTACGGCTGTAGCCTCCGCTGGTGCGGCTTCGGCTTCGGGTTCGGCTACGGCTACGGCTACGGCTGCTACTGCTAGCCCTCCCTCGCCGCCGCCGGCTGCGACTGCTGCTGGGACTGGGGCTGGGACCTCTGCGCGTGCGGGTGTCGCCGTGACTGCGGCTGTGGCTTCGGCTACGGCTACGGCTAAGCGTGTGGCCACGGCTGTGGCTGCGAGCATTGCGGCTGCGGCTGCGGCTCCGGCTGCGGCTACTACCGCTGCTGCGACTTTGAGTCCAACTTCGGCTGCTGGTTGAATTCGTGTTCCGGCTCGGACTGCAACGGCGACCGGGGCTGGGGCTGGGGCTGCAATCATTGCTTGCCGCGGGGCTCGCCCCATGCTGCTGCTGCTGCTGCAACCGCGACTGCGGCCCGTCAGGCTGTCCTCCGCTGCTCGTACATGTCCTGCAGCTGTCGTTGCCGCTGCTGCCGCTGCGACCACGTTCCCCGCCGCCGCCGGAGCCGGTGGGCTGCCCTCGGCTCCGGCTCCGACTTCGGGCTGGGCTGCGAGCTGGGTTTCGGCTTGGGCTTCGACTCTTGCACTTTTGCAAAGGAGATTGAGACCTGCTGCTGCCGCTGTCACTGCTGCTGTTGCTGCTACTGCTGCTACTGCTACTACCGCTGCTAGTCATGCAACCGCTGCCCCCGCGGCGGCGCTGGCCGCTCCGGAAGCTACCGCTGCCACATATGCTGCCACTCATACGCGGCTCACCTACCGCGGCCGCCACATTCGCCACCGCTGCCGCCAATCCCAGCTCCGGCGCCCATTCACCCTCCTCCACCTCTCCGCTTTCACCTCTGCCGTACTCTTGTACGGCTGTAGCGGCCGCCGCGGCCACCGAAGTAGCTCCTCTGCCTGCTTCAGCCGCCGGCATCCTCGCCCTCATTGATGCTGGCCCCACGACCAAACCAGAGGCCTGTTGCGCTCCGATACCATCATCAGCTGCTCCGAGCTCCTTCGGTATATTGGTATATTGGTTTTGGAGACCGGGTACCCCCTTGGGTACCTCCTCAGCCGATCCCGCAGCAGCAATAGCTAGTACTGCCCGTTCACTGCCTCCAGCGGCGCTCCCGGGCGGAGCTGCCGCCCCCGGCGGGCCGCTGCACGCCGCTGCAGCCACACTGTCGCCGCCGCCTCCGTCTCGGCCGGCGGAGGCGGAGGCGTTGGCCTTGGTGGTCACATGCGTCCCTGCGGCGGCGCTGGCAGGTGCAGCGGGGGCGGTGACGACAGCAGCCCTGCCGCCGGCTGCTGCAGCTTTGCTAGGCACGGCGGGGGTTGCCTTGAGTTTGGCATGAACAGTAGTGGCGGCAGCAAGGGGCACGGCGGCGACGGCAGCAGCTGTCGTCATGAAGATGGCGACGGAACCCTCCGTCGCCTGGGTGGCCTTGGCGTTGGCGTCAACGCCGCCGACGGCCGTTGCGGCGACTGCGCCGTCTGAAACACCCTTGGCCGCATGCCCACCCGCTGCGGGATTGGCGACACCAGCGCCGGCGACGGCAGCGCCGGCGGCGGCAGCGCCGGCGGCGACAGCGCCGGCGGCGACAGCGCCGGCGGCTGTCGTACAGGCCTCCCTAGCTTCCAGCGCCTCATGCTTCGGATTGAGCCTCCCCTTATCCTCTTTACCCCTTAGGCACCGAGGCGCCTTCTCCTCCTTCCCCACGGCTCTCTCAACCGCACCCGCCTTGACACTCCCCCCTTCCTTGCCGCCGTACTCCTTGCCGCCGTGGCCCTCATACTCCTCCTGGTCGCCGACTCCCCCCATCTCATAGCGGGTTGCACCTGCCATCTTGCCATCCCGTCTGCCGTTTCGATTTACGTCTTCGGAGCGGTTCCCCCTCGGCGTCACCAGCTTCCGTCCACCACCCTTCTCAGGCTGCAACGGCCGCTTTGCCAACTCGCCCTGGCCCTGGGCCCTGCCCTCGGCGTCTGCGTCCGCTCCTGTTCGCCCCTTCTCCCTGCGCTTCGCATGTCGCTCTGGGTAATCCTTCAGATCCTCTCCGTGCCGGGATTCATGGGGTTCATGGCGCCGACGAGTGAAGTCAGCGTGCCCGTGCCGCTCCTCCGGATCCGTTGCCGACGGCAGCGGCGGCGCCGTACCAGGCGGATGCAGCGTCTGGCAGAGACCGCCGCCGTTGGGGCCCGGGGGCGACCTTGCCACTGGCAGTGTACAGCTCTCTGGCCGACCTGGCGGCGCAACCGGCACTGCAGCCGCCTCCGCTTTCTTCCGATGACGTGCCTTTGTAGGTGGCGAGGGTGATGGGGACCGCGAAGACGACGGCGGCTTCTTTCCGGCGACGCGAGCGCCGCGAGCGTCGCCACCGCCGCCGCCGCCGCCGCCGGCATCATTTTGCGGGTTCTGGCTTCCGGGATTTTTCATCCGCTGAGCGGTGTGGCTCCGCCTTCTGCGGCGGCTAGGGCGGCGGCTGCGGTCCCGGGGCCGACCTCGGCCTCGGCTGGCGCTGCGGCTCCGGCTCCTGCTCCGGCTGATGGTTACACTGCGACCTCGTCCCGGTGACCAGCGCCTTCTCCTTCCACGGCCATGGACCGGCATGTGTGTACCCGCCACGTCAGCAGGGGAGGGAGATCCCTGCCGTACCGGTGGCGGCAGCGATAGTGGTACGGAAGGCGTCGTACCTCCCTCCCGGCGGCCGCTTGGCGCCGGGTGACTGCACCGCCGCGGCGGCGGCGACGGCGAATCGTTTCGTCCTCGCGACGCCAGCTGCGGCGGCGGTACCGGCGGCGGTAGCGGCGGCGGCGGTGGCGGCGGCGGCGGCAGCGGTAGCCTGGGCTCATCTAGTAAGTGACGTGAGGCAGGGTTGGCCCGGAAGCGGCTGTTGAACCTCTCCCCCGGGTTCAGGTCCTACGGCGAGGGTGGGGGGTGGGGGTTCGCGTGGAAAGGGGGAAGGGGCTCAGGAAGGAACCCCCTCGGACTCGCGACAGGACTAGGACCGATCGACCGATGGAACCGATTAGTACGCTGATGATAATGGTGATGATGATGATATGGGTCGATAAGCGGGGAAGATAAGGCGCGACTTGCGAGGCAAGGACAGGCGCACAGCCTGAACCTGGATGTGAGTGAGAGCTTCCGGCCAGGGGGTTGGAATGAAAGAAAGGGCTGTAGCCGTGTGGGGGCCACGGCGCTAGGTATCTTGCAATAGGGGGCCGATAGCAGGAGCAGGCGCAGGAGGACGAGGAAGGGGAGGAGGGAGGGGGGCCTTCGACTAGTGCCCAACGGTGTCGTGGTGGTGGCGACTACGGCAGCTGATTGCAATAGCTTCGCTGTGCAGTGGCTCTCGAGAGTCGAGTCCTCCCCTCCCCAACCCCCTCCCCTGCGACCCCCCAGGCGACTTCACTCGCCACACCTGCTCAAAGAGATGTGGCCGCCGCAGCAGAAACGTGGAAGGCTTGGATCTGCCCAGTAGCTGCTGTGGAATGGGCATCCGCTCGCGAATCTGAAACAACGTCAGCGGCCTGCGGTACAACAGCCGGTACAACCCACGCTCGTACTCCGCCAGCAGGGCGTTGTACTCCGCGTCAGGCAGCTCCGCGGGAGATGCGGCCGACGCTGTGGCCGCTGTGGCCGCCGTTGCTTCCGGCGGCGGAGGCGGCGGAGGCGGCGACTGTAGCGCCTGCACTGCTCGGACAGCAGCCGCCCTGTGATGTTTGGGGCTACGGCTGCGGCTGCGGCTGCGGCTACGGCTCGAGCAACAGCTGTGGCTACGGCTCGAACAACGGCTGCGGCTACGGCTGCAGCTACGGCTAACACAGCGGCTCGTTGTTGCGCTGGTGCTGGTGCTGGTGCTGGTGCTAGGGCTTGCTGGTCGCCTGTGCAGTCGCAGCGGCGGTGGCGACATGGACGGTGAGGTGGCGGGTCTGCTGCTGCCTGGTCGATGTGAGGTCGAGCTCTTCCGGCCCCGAACCCGGTGGCAGACCCGACTGCGACTGCGGGTGCGACTGCGACTGCGACTGCGGTTATGGCCCCTACTTCGTCTGCGGCTCCGGCTACGATTTCGACCAGTGCTGCGATTCCGGTGCCTCCACTGCTTACTGTGACTCTGGCTTCGGGCTTTGCTCCGTTTGCGCTTGCGGATGGTGGCGCTGGTGGTGCTGCTGCTGGTGGTGGTGCTGCTGGTGGGACTGTGACGTAAGTCGGACTTTGGTTTCGGATAGTTGCTGCGGCTGGTGCTCCGCCGGCTGCGTCGACGACGTTTTTCACCCCCAGCGGCCTTCCTGGAGCCACGCGCCGTCGCCGCCAGCGCCGCCGTCGCTGTCTTCGTGTGTCGCTCGGATGCTGGTGCGTCGTTGGGTCGGAGTACCTGTGCTGTCGCGGGTGCTGCTGCCACAGCAGGCGGCGCAGCTTCCGATGAGACGAGGTCATGAGGTCCCGACCGTTCCGGAGCCAACTCTCCCGCTGCCGTACCTCCATTACCCCGACCCCGACTCCTGCTCAGACTCCGACTTTGAATTGCATCACCCAGGAGTGTTCGCAAGTCCGCCGTCACCGCTGACGCCGCAACGGGCCCCGCCGCCGGCGTCGCCTCCAACGCTGCCAGCTTAGCCGCGGCGCTTGCTCCAGCCTTGGCGCCGGTGCCGCCGGTGCCGCCTCCTTGCCATTGCTGAAGCCCGATCTGGAGCTCCGATCGCGCTTTGCGGGCTGGCGGCGACGGCGACCGCGGCGGCTGTAGCTGCTTCGTCTGCTTGAGCTTATCTCCGTCAGGACTCCACTGCAGCCGTCGCAGCGCCCGGCGCTCCGCCTTGTTCAGGTATCCGCCGCCGTTGCCGCCGCCGGCTTCAGGACTACCTGCAGTACCGGAACCAGATCCAGATAAAGATGCCGGAATGTCATCGCCGCTGGCGTGCTGTCCTCCGCCGGCACCGCCACTTCCATCGGCTCCGAAGTCGCGAGGGGAGCCCGGGGCAGCCCGGGCCGCTGGGGGCACCCAGGAAGCGGCAGCAGCGGCAGCAGATGCCGAGAGGGACACAGCGCAGCGCCCCCGAGGGCTTCCGCCGCCGCATGCTGCTGCTGCTGCTGCCGCTTCTGGGGGCGGGGTAGAGGTACGTTCCGCCGCGCTGGTTCGCAGCAAGGACGCAGCTCTGGTGGCGCCGGCGGAGCCAGCAGCAGCAGCAGCAGCTGCAGCAGCCGCGGCGAGAGCTGTGGCGCTTGACAGAGCCGCATGCTTTCGACTGCCCATTGCCTGAAGTTCCGTCTGATCCAGCTCGATGTGCTGTGGAGCTAAACCGGCGGCGGCGGCGATGGCGGCATCGGCGTCAAAAGTCTTAGCACCGGTCCCGACGGTGCCGCTGACCGCAGCTGTTGCTGGCTGTACGGCAGCGGATCGCTGGCGAGGCGGGTTGAGAAAAGAGGGATCATGCTGGGAGCTATGGACGGTACGGCCACCGCAGCTAGCGACGGCGCCGTCCACCCCCTCTACTACGTCTCCATTACCTTGGTCGTGGTGGTCGCCTCTCCAATGGCCGCGCGGCGCTTTTGACATGTGGCTTTGCTCGTTCTTTCGTTTCTCCTGCTGCTCCTGCTGCTGCTGCTCCTGCTGCTGCTGCTCCTGCTGCTGCTCCTGCTCTTGCTGCTGCTGCTGCTCCTGCTCCTGCTGCTGCTGCTGCTGCTGTTGTTGCTGCACCAGCGGCGGCCGGACCTGCAGCAGGTGGCACGCCTGCTCCTCCTCCTTCCGCAGACAGCTACCCCCCCAAGTAGCCGCCACGCCCTCGGGCTCACGCCCCTGGCTCCTGCTGCGGGACCGGGCCCCGCTCCGCCCGGTGTGTACCTCAGGCTGGGCCTCGACAGGCCCGCCACACCCGGGGCCGCCACACCCGGGGCCTGGTTTATCTTCAGTGGTAGGGCTAGTGGTAGGGAGTATGTAGCCGATGGGGATATGGCCACCGAGGAGTACGTCAGGAGCTGGTGCTGATCGTACAGTAGATGGTGGTGGTGGTGCTGCGGCGGCTGGACGGGACTTCCCCGCCGCCTGCGCCTCCTCCTCCTCCTCCTCCCCATCCTCATTAATCGTGGATTGCCATCCCCCCCGCCTATGGACGCGAGGATCCCGCCCACAACCTGCTTGCGCCGGCACCTGCTCCCGTTGCTGCTTCTCTTGTTGCTGCCGCCATCGTTTCTCCCGTCCTAGCTCCTGATCTGAAGCCGCTGGCCGCAGCTGTGAACGTAAATCTGGCTCTTTAGGCTGTGGCTGTGGCTCTGTCGGAGCTGTAGCTGGCGCCGTCGCACCCTGTCCGGGCGCCTCCACCTGCTCCACCTGCTCCACCTGGTGGGCCATGAGTCTCCGCATGAGGGCCCCGAGGGGCCGCCACGACTCAGGCGGGCGGTTGAGGGCGGCGCAGATGGCCTCGTAGTGCGGTCGGGCGGCCTCCTGGCGACGGAGGTAAGGGCACAAGCCGAGGGGATGAGCAGACAGACACATGAAGAGGTCACAAAGGTTGACAGGGCAGAGGATGGCAGAGGCGACTCCACCGACTTCGGAAAGCAAGCCATGGAGGGCACAAGACATGGAGATGGTCCTGGGGTTGAGGTCACCCCCATTACGGGGTCCTCTGTTGAGTGCTGTTAGGGCACGCCAGGAGAGGGGGGAAGGGCGAGAGAAAGGCAGACAGGCCTCAAAACAAGCCAAAACCCCAACCAGCAACGTGTGCAGATGCGCTAAGGGGAGGTACAATGCACGCAGGCGTGCATACCTTCCATCGTATGTACGAATCTGGATCTCGAGGGTCGTACAGTCGACGCCGGTGAGTGGAGATGGCGCGCACGTGGGGTACACATTCACCATGCCGTACAGCACGAGCGACGGCATCAAAGAGCTGTACATCCGGCACGGGGCGAGGGAGGCGTGATGTGACACGCCGGGAGCGTAATTCCGGGAAGGGTAATTTTCACGCTAGCGGCCGCGGCTCACAAAAAGATGCGTTTGCATGTGCCGTACGCAGCTTTCTCCCTCCCTCCCCCCCGTAGCGGAGAAAATCAACACAGATGCGATGATGGGGATGATAATGCCGTTACCCGGAGTACGACAGACACCCGCTGTAGCGTACATGCCACACCATGCCTCTGAACATTCCGCCGTACACAGTACGGCACGTTACTCCTCCGCCGCCGCCGCCCCGTGCCCTCACGCACCTCCCCGGCCGGCAGCCCCCCAAGATGCTGCCCGGCCAGAGCCCCCTCCAGCACCGCCTCGCTGAGCTCCCCCTGAGATGGGGGGCACAGGCCACCAACGGGCCGCTGAAGCGGATCGGAGGAGCCGTCCTGCCGTACACGCGGCTCCAGAACCAAATTGGGTGCCCCTGCTGGTCGTGAAGTGTGGGCGGTCACAGATAAATTGGCGGCAGTTGTAAAGAAAAGAGATGTGGAGGACGCCGTGGGTGAGTGCGGGGATGGAGGAGGCGTGTGTTGAATGAATTACCAATTAAAGTGGGCTCAGCAAAAGCTTCATGGAGGTCTGCAGCTCGAGCCCTCTATCTATGCAGCTCGAGCCCTCTATACATACATGTCTGTATGTCTATATGTCTGTATGTCTAACATGGATATGTACTTGGAGATTGAAGTAATAATTTTGCAGAAATATACATCGTTGCAGCAAGGAGATTCCTGGATTCAAACTGGAAGCTTCTAGAAGTCAGGATCCAAGTGCCAGAATCCAGGTCGCCTTGCGATCCAGGTCGCCGCTACACCAGCACCAGCACCAGCACCAGCACCAGCACCAGCACCAGCACCAGCACCAGCACCAGCACCAGCACCAGCACCAGCACCAGCACCAGCACCAGCACCAGCACCAGCACCAGCACCAGCACCAGCACCAGCGCCCCCTACCTGGGCCCTGTGGCCGGTCCGCCCTCAGAATGCGCCGCGCCTCCACCACCTGTTGCGATGAGGGCCCCCCATCTGCAGCTGCAGACTGCTGCTGTTGCTGCTTTGGGTGTTCTTGTGTTTGTTGTTGTGGTGTTGGTGGTGGTTTTTGTTGTTGTGGTTGTTGTTGTGGCTGTGGTTGTGGTGGTTGTGGTGGTTGATGTAGTAGTAGTTGTGTTTGTTGTTGTGGTTGTAGACCGGTTCCTGCGGGTCCGTCCATTCCGCGCGCCTCCCTCCCATTCGTCAGCACCACCACCAGGCCCCGCACCAGCTGCAAGGGCAAGTGGTGAGCACGCCAAAAGGACTCCACCTCCGCAAGATCAGCCAGCAGCGGGCCAGGGACGTACAATTGCCGTACGAGATCATGGCTCAGTTCCACGTGCTGTACGGCATGGGCGGGGGAGGAAAGCTCAGTAGATCAATAGGGACATAACGACTACAAAACAATCCGCATCTTGGCGCGGCCGTTCTTTTCCTAGCCGGCCCTTTACGCAACCAAATTCACGGTAAGGAAGGAAACCCTTCATGTTGCATCGCCTCCCCTCCCCTGCACATCCCCGCCCCCACCCGCACCCCCGCACCCCCTTGACCTTCCAGAGGCTCCAACTCACTTCCAGTTTTCTCTTCTCCTCCTCCTCCACAGCAGCAGTAGCAGCAGTAGCAGCAGCAGTAGCAGTCGCAGCAGTAACAGCAGCAGCAGTAGAAGTCGCAGCAGTAACAGCAGTAGCAGCAGTGGCAGCTGGAGTGCCCATCAGTTCGCCCTGGTGGGCCCACCAACCGGCATCCCCCCCCTGTACCCGGGGGGGTTGGAGCTGCAGCCACAGCCCCGGGGGGGGCCATTGCAGGTCCCCAATGGTGAGCGGCTCTGGGGTGAGGATGTCGACAGGCAACGGCGGCAGCTCGCATGCGTCGCCCAGGGACCAGGTTCTGCCGCCGCCGGCTGTGGTACGGCAATTGGCTGCAGAAACTGCAGTACCAGCCGTCGGGGCAGCGCCGCTGACGCTCTGTGCCGACACAGGCCCTGATGCCGGACCCCGGCGGCCGTTGGCACAAGGTACAGCTACCGCCGCTGCAGCCGCCAGCGCATCGGGGTCGTACAGCTGCGTCAGCAACTGTTCGACTGACGGAGCAACAGCCTGTGCGGCCGTAGCTGCCGCCGCCGGCATCGCTGATGCCAGCGGAAGGCCGCCGCTGTAAGGATCTTTGCTACTGCCGCCAGCCACCTCAACGCCGCCGCCGCTATTGCCACCCGCATTGCCGTCCTTCCGAGTTGCTACTGCTACTGCTACTGCTGCGGTTGCTGCTGCTACCCGGCGATATCGAAGCGCGGCACCATCAGCTACGTCGCTGATGCCGCAGGGGCCAGCCGTTTCCGAGACCTCGTTTAACCCACCACGGTATGCACGACATTCTTGTTCACGTACTTGACAATCCTTGCTCTTCATCCGAGACCGCATGCCGCGCTCCCGTTCGCGATCTTCACGACCACTGCGCTTCTGCTTTTCCCGCTTCTCCTCTTTCTCCCTCTCCTTCTCCACCTTCTCCTTCGCGACCTTGTCCCGGTCCTTCTTAACTTTAGCTTTGTCAGAGTCCTTATCCTTCCTTCTGTCTTTGTCCCTGTCCTTGTTCTCGCGCATGGGCCGGCCCCCAATATCGCATCCGGCTGTATCCGGCTGCGTTCGCGCAACGGAACGAACAGCAGCAACATGATCAGCTGCAGCAGCAGCAGCAGAACCAGCGGGTGGAGGCCTGGTGCCCCCGGCACTGCGGCACCCCGTTGATAGGGCCCCTCCCGCCGCCTCAACAACCAGCTCCTCCTCTCCAACATCCGCCGTCTCGGCCATTGGGCTTGATGGCGATGTGCCGGCAGCGGCAGCTGTCGCGACGACATTGCCGGCAGCGGCAGCCCCTGACTGCCGGCCACTACCACCGCCACTACATGCCTTCCCGGGGAAGGCTAGAGCTGCAGCTGGCGATGACGCCGCAGCCGGCAATGACGCAGTCTTGGCAGTGCGAATACGCACCAGTCGTCGCGGTGCATGGCGGTCCTTTGTATCACCCGCTGGAACCAGCTGAGCTGGCGGCGGCCCACTGACGGAGATGCCGATCGCTGCAGCAGCTCCGCCGCCGCCGCCGCCGCCACCGCCGCTGGCAGTGGCTGCCTCCCGCCGGCCCGAAGGGCGCCGGGAGGAAATTTCGGCTGGTCTTGCGTCCGACCCAAATCGGCACTCAGATTGGGGTGACCCAGATCGCGGAGCAGCTGGAACGATTTGGGTCACGTTATCCCTGGGGCCGTGTGTGGACGCCGCTGCGGCTGCAGCTGCAGTTGCTGCTGTTGCAGCTGCAGTTGCTGCTGTTGCTGCATTCATCGCGGTCGGCAAGGTGCCCGCCAAGGGGTGGGCACCCGACGGCGCCGGGGCGGGTGTTGCTAAGGTGCAATCCGCCAGAGGCGGCTCCTCTGCTGCCGCTAACGGTGGCAGGCTAACACGCGACGGCGGGTCCGCCAGTGGCGCCGCCGCCGCCTCGCCGGGTGACAACTTGGCGATGTCAATTGAACCTCCTTGCGGAGGCTCCGTACGTATCTCCGTACATAGCTTCATAGCCTCAGGATCTGCAGTCACTACCGCTGCTGCTGCTGCTGTTGCTGCTGCAGCTGCTGTAGTTGATGTTGCTGCTGCTGTTGTTGTTGCAGCTTCGGCAGCGGCGGCGGCGGCGGCAGCAGCACGCTTCCATCGCAGCCTTGGGTCGTTTGGAATGCCGTGTCCTTCTGGAGCCGCTGCAGCCGCCGCCATGATTCGGTGAATCATCAGGGCCCCGTCTCCCCCGTCTCCAGGGGGCGAAAGGGTGAAGGATTCAGCGCCTGCAGCGGCGCCACCATCCTTTAGCGGCGGCAGCGGCGCCGCTGCCACTGGGCCCGCTGGGGCAGACACCGGGCCGCGGGCAAGCAGTGGCATGACACCGTATTTACTTGCGGAAATCAATGACAGGGCGCTGCTGCCGCCGCCGTCGTTGCCGCTGCTGGGGACATCGGCGGCAGCGACGGCGTGACGTCGCTCCATGTTCATATGGGTCGCGCCGCTTGCGTGGCAGCTTGGAAGGGGGGTCGGTAGAGCTGGATCCGATGGCGCATCAGAATGTGAGCGGTGCAAAGCAGCAGCTACAAGAACAGCAGAATTAGCAGCATCAGTAGCAGGTGCAGCGGCATTCTCTGCGCTGACTGCTGCGTTCATCGCTGTCCTCGGGCCTCTCAACGATCTATCACGAAGCGCTGCGGGCTGCGCTCCCCCCGTTGAAATGATCAGTCACAGACTCGACCCTCGATCTTCCGGTCACCTGAAAATCATCCGGACGCAGCAGCGTTGGTATTAATGAACCATAAAAGGCGCGCCTTGCCTCAGATCGTTTCACGCCAAAGTTTGTCCGAGGAAAAGCCGGGCCATGGAAGTTACCTCGTCGATGCGTTACGCTCGAAGCAACTGTTGTATAGCTTTACTGCTGGTGACCAGCAGAGATTATGTTAAGAATAGCCATGCGTAACTCAGCTGCTCTGCATTTTGGGGCGAAACGCGCCCGTGGGTCATTTTGAGTCACTTTTGAAAGGAAACACGCAACCAGCTACTGTCAGTTGCGCGCTTACGCCTTGAGGTGGTTAATTTCGGAATCTGGCTACAGGATAAAATCCTTCCTGCCCGTTCCGCCTTGCTACGAACGTGCGCAGGGCATCATAGGTCACAAATGCAGTTGAAACGCACGCATAACGTCTTTAACATCATTCCTTGGGTGCCAATTGATCTGTAATTTAGTAGATCTACGTTGCATGAGATGTGTTTCTGATACTGCCGCAGTACTGCCAAATGTGGACAGGCTTCCGTACAGATCTGCTCAAACTTTGCGTTACCCCGCAGATTCCAGCGCGCCAGCGCGAGGCTCTTTACCGCTAATTCCAGATCTAATTTGGATTTGTATTTGCTTGATTCTTCAGCGCTGCACCGAAGTAAACTCGAGATGCTACGGATCGCTTCGGCCAACCCTGCGGTGCGCGCACAGGTTCCATCCGTTTCGACCCTGGTGCTGCGCCGCCCTACTATAGGCAACGTCAAAGTACTCAGCGGCCGCTTCACGCTAGCGCCGAAGGGTACTGAAGAGGTTTCTTACGTGTAAGAAGGTAGAGAAGTGATGGGGACGGATAAATCACCTGCTCCCATTGCCAAGAACAGCCAAGATCCAGTTTTTCATGCATGTGCAAGCAGCCTAGCCGTATATAAAACGACTTGAACCGAACGAGCCATTTTGTCAATCTTACCCCCAAAACCCCCTGCAGGACATCGCAACCCCTGTAATGCCATCGTTTGATGGCTTCATTGGGTAATGTCCAAAAGCCACCAAGAAATATGACGCACGGTTGTTGTGTTTGCATGTCGTCGTGTTTGCGTGTAAAGTGTTTTGGCTCCGCCGGTCAACGCCGGTCAAAGCCGGTCTTCCATTTCAGTTCGTCGTCCCAGTTAGTACAGCTCCCGTACTAGAGTTTCATCTTCGTCCAATTTTGAGACCATACAGCCCATACAGCATCTCCGGAGAATCAGGGGAGGATAAAATACCAAGGAAAAGCTAGCCAACAAGCCGTTATAAGCCGTTACACCCAACGTACGCGCGCATGCCATGCTGCAGCCTCACAACACTCCACCCATCACCTTCACTCCCCTTTCACCCCCTTAACCCGGATCTATGCATCAGCCCGGACGCCCGCAGCTTCCGCCGACGCACCGCCCCACCCCCACACGGTACACATGATCACGACAGGCTGTGCATCTGTTCCAACCGGGAAGACCCTCCCTCCTCGTACTCCGAGGAGGAGGAGATTGGGGAGGAGAGGAGGAGGAGGGGAATCAACTGCCAAGCGGGGACGGCCGGGGTGATGGTGGTGTATTGCTGTGCCACCTCCGGCCCTACCTCTGCCTCCTCCCTCCTCCCGCCCCTCATCGCTCTCCTCCCCTATCACCGCCGCAGGTTGGACACAAGCTCCGACCCCGTGGGGGTGTTCCAATAGCGGCCCTTCGTATCCTGCATAGCAGAAACCAATCCAAAGATATTTTTAGGACTCCGAAGAAAACATTGGTAAATTTATTTAGTTCTACTGTCTATGGGCGCGTGCGGAAATTGTACGGATTACGCGGGAGTAGTACGGCCTTCACCAAATGATCTTGTTCAGTTTGAATACTGCTGATTTACCAAATAATATGTAAGATCTAGTGCAAAGTCGGTTGTAATAAATATAACAATTTATCTGATCAGATTTGCAGAAGATTAAAAAAAGAATGGATCGAGGCCGACTCGTCCAATTTTTTATAATTACTACATCCAAAAATGACGGACAGTTCTCAAATTTAAAAACATAGCATCTGAAGTTATAGAATAGCAGTGAGGGGCCACGGACGTTCGTAGGGTCTTTTGCCCGAGAGTCAACGTGGCATAGCAGCGTATATGTCTGGTCCACACACTGCAAAATATGCGCAAGCCAAGGAACCCAACCTCGGACAACCACGAAAGCAGCAAAACATGTCAAAGGGATCACACTCCTGACGTGGCCGTTTTGAACAGCGGTGCTGACGCGGCTCTGGGTTTTCGGGCGGCCTTAGGTTTTAGGGTAACTTATGGGAGGGTGGGATGGGGTGGGTGAGCCCGGAGCGGACCCCCCAGCGCCTCACAGCTAATAAGCAATAAATCACAAAAAAACCTGAAAATCTAATTTACTTGTTCAGTAATAAAAAGGGACCTCGCCACAGAGAAAAAAACTCTACTGCTGTAAGGCGTAATGTTGTACATGCGGTTTGATGGGATGAAGAAATGGCGCGGCTCGCTGCAGCTCTCCCCCCCGAATCACCACACCTTCCCCCCAAAGCCAACCCTTTCCTAACGGAGACACCGGGGAATACAGCTCCCAAAGCCCCAACCGCGTCTGGCCCACACCGCAGATCCGGCTCGCCCTCTCCAACTCCGAACGACTCTCCGGACTCTTCGGAACCCCTAGACAAGGCCCCCCCACACCCGCCCCCATGCGGTATCCCGAACCGCTCCACAGCCACCCATGAGCTACAACACAGCGACACACAAAGCACCCACCACGCGGAAGACCCCCTTCCGAATGCCTTCGTTGAGCGTCACGTTGACCTGGCTTGGACCGAAGTCTCGGGCCTCGGTGGCCAAGCACTTCACCAAGTCCGTGAACTTCCGGGGCTTGACGAAGAGAAGACGAGCCACGCGCTCGATGTCCCTCGTCACGCCAACGTCAGCGCTGCCGCCGCCGCCGCCGCCGCTGCTACGACCCTTACTGCTGCGGTCCCCCAGAGCACCACGCCGGTCGGTCTCTCGATCCAAATCCCGATTCGAATCCAGGCGACGTGTGTCCGAGTCGTGATGTATGTCATCCTTGAGGTGATGACGCCGCTTCCGGTCTCTGTCCCGCCTGGCTGGCTCCAGTTCCTTCACGTCCCCGAGGACAGCAGTGGCGGCGGCGGCGGTGGCGGCATGCACCAGCGACTGCTGGTCAGGCAGTTGCTGCTGCGGCATCTGCATAAGCACTTGTACCACCAACACCTGTTGCTGTTGCTGTGGCTGTGGCTGCGGCTGTGGCTGTAGCGGCGGCTGTTGCGACGGCTGTAGCAGCGGCGGCTGTTGCGACGGCTGTAGCAGCGGCGGCTGTGGCGGCGGCTGTAGCAGCGGCGGCGGCTGTGGCGGCAGCTGTAGCAGCGGCGGCGGTGGCTGTGGCTGCGGCGGCGGCTGCTCCTTAAACATCAAGTCCCGCAGCAGTGCCAGCTCGGGCCAGTGATGGTCGGGCCGGCGATACATCGCCTCGATAGCCGTACACATCATCCTGGCTGCCTCCGCGTCCGCCTGGTTGCCGTACGGATGGAAAGGTGGGAGCAATGGGGAGGGCAGGGGGTAACCCGGGGTGTATGCTGTTCAAGGCGGTGGGGGAACTTCCCCGATCCGGAACACCCCTCCCGCTGCCCTCCCGGAAAATCCCCCCCGCCCCTCCTCCCCATGATACACGCACCATTGTCGTGACCGCATCCGAGCGGTACGTGAAGCGGTGGCGCTGCAGGAACGCGAGTCGACGTGCATGCGGCAGGATGGCGGCCACTCGTGTTGCATGCGCACACATGTCGTACAGCTGCGACCCAAAGCCACAACGCGTGATAACAGGGAAGGGGAGGGGCTCATTAGGCGTTTGTTGTGTGTTTCAGGCAGAGCGTGACATGGGCAGTACACGACCTCTCCGCTGCTGGTGTGGCAATACGCGGTGCAGTAACTGCAAACCGCCTGCAGGAAGGCTCCAGGGGGCCGCACGGCGACATATGACCTCCTAGACTGGTTCCCTTGAAGTCCTCGGGCACTTCAACAACTTCGGACCACTGAATCCATAACCCCACCCCACCCCACACCACGCCACCCCACACCACGCCACACCACGCCACCCCACCCCATGCCACACCACCCCACGCCACACCACCCCACGCCACCCCACACCACGCCACCCCACACCACGCCACACCACGCCATCCCACACCACACCACCTGCAATGTGCGGCCCACGCACCTCCCCGGGCTCCGCCGCCAGCAGGAAGTCAACCAGTCGTTGGAACACCCGCTCGTTCCCCGCCAAGCTCACAGGTCGGTGGTCCTCCTGCGGCTGACTCACCTCCAGGTCGCCCGCCATCGCCTCCATAACGAAGGCAGGCACTGGAGCCGCCCCACGGGGAGCAGGATGGGGGCCGGGGGGTGGCGATCGGGACATGTCAGTGGAGGGGCGAGGGGGCTGCCCGCCTGGACGAATGGGCAGAGAGGACAGTCCTGCTATGCACAGGGGTTTGCCACGTCCAGCGTGCGAAGAAATACCTTAGAAGCGCACATGACTATAGCAGAACACCCGGGGAACCAGAACACATACGACATGGCTAGCTATCTTCAAAAGCTTCCCCGACACTTGCCGTACCGCCGGTGCCGTACCTGCACCGGTGTGCACCATGGCAATCTGCCGAGCCTCCAGCGGCCAGTAGCTCGGAGGGTGGCATTGGCTGTAGTCGCTACGGCCCTCAACGGTAGCGGCTGTAGCGCTAGGGGCCCCCTCCTCGACGACAGTCCGCCGCACCTGCAGCACCACCACTAGCCCCTTGCAGAGCTGTAGCGGCTGCGGGCTGTGGCGGCAGAAGCGCTCCACGTCATGTAGAGCGTACATGAGCGTGCGCGGGATGCACAGACGCCACAGGAGGTCCATCAGGAAGGCCTCCGGCTGCGGGTTTTAGAGGGTTTAGGGTTTTAGGCTTTATTGCATTTTCTAGGGTTTTAGGGTTTTTAACGTTATTGTCTGTGTGTGCTAAGGCTTATCCGAAAAATGGGGAGATGCAGCGGTCCCAGGAGGGGAGCTGTTCAACGGAAAGTGCCGCACAGGTACGGCAGGTTGGTTGTAACTCGGTATGTGGACGGGACGAGAGGATGCATGAGCCGCAGGCGGGGGCTGCATGAGCGTTGGGGAGGGGGGTTGGACGTTGCTGAATCTGGTGCAACAGCATCCGGCGACCTATTTTTGAATTTATAATTCAAACGATATCCATGGACAGCTGCAGTATGGTTACTGTCTGTGAAATGTGGAATATTTCAGCTGTCAGTGCCCCCGGCGGAGAAACTCGCACGCTCCATCACCCTCCGCCCTCTGCCCACCTCCCTCCCTTTTTCCCGTTGCCGGACCCACACCCGCATTCGACATCCCCGCTGCAGGAACAGCCAGTGTTTTTTTTAAGTAATATATTCCTTATAAGGATTAAAGAGGCCATTTTAGCCTTTGGAAAAACGGAATGAATTGAGGCCGATCCGTACATTTTCATTCCTCCAGCCAAAAACGTCCATTGCTGCCAGATTGCTCCGTAGTGTGCAGAACTTAGTATTATCGATCATAGAATAGATATGAAGGGCCGTAAGAAGGTCAAGCCCGTGAGTCAACGCGGCATCGCAGAATGTATGACCGGTCCTCACATAGCCAAACACGCAAAAGGCAACGACTCGAACGTCGAACAAACACCAAAACAGCAAGATAAGCCTGAAAATTTTCCTGATAAAGGCGTTTGGGACGGCGGTGCTGTTGTCGGTAATGCATCGGCAATGGTGTTGCTGCCAGCGGTCTTGGTCTATGAGGGGAATTGTAACTTATCGGGGGGGGTCTGGGGGGGGCTTAGCCCCCCCCAGCGCCCTACAATTACGGAATAAATTACGGCGACCCTAGCAACTTTGTTACTTAGGTCGGAATAAATTGAGACCCGCCCTAAATGAAAAAAAATCACTGGGAACAGCCCCGCGAACCGGAGCTTGCCAGGGCCACTAACGCGCACAAGCAACAAGCGACTTACATCACATTCCCACAGCTGGACAGAGAGTGGATCATCCGCCATCACGTCCACCGCCGGCGGCAGCTGCGGCAGCGGAGCCCCTGCTGGACATGCAAACGGCCAACTTCTGTCGTGGTCTCCAGCGCCGTACACGCCGCCACCTTTGTACGAATTCGCGCCGCCGTAGATGTCGTACACGCCAGCAGCGCGCGGTATAATCGGCTGCAGCTGCGCTGCCCCCGACCAGGTTCCGAGCTGAGGGAGACCGCGTGGTGGAGCCACCGCCGGGACCTCTCCTCCTGGATAACCATAACCGTACGGCGGGCCCACGCCGCTGTACGGCGTTGCATATGCGTGATGGGCGGCGGTGTACGGTACTAATGATGTTGCGGCTTCGCGCACCGCAGGGCCGGGCTGTCCGCTTGTGCTCGCCGTAGTCGCAGTTGGAGTGATCGGTTGGCCGTTATCGTGGCTCACTGAGCGCTGCTGCTGGAGGCTTTGCAATTGCTGCAGCTGCGGCTGCGTTTGCAATTGCTGCAGCTGCGGCTGCGTTTGCAATTGCTGCAGCTGCGGCTGCGTTTGCAATTGCAATTGCAAATCCTCTTGATTAAGAGATGCAAAAGACGCGGCAACAAGCCGCGGATCTGCAGGCACACCGGCGCACTGTCGCGGCGCCCCTTGATTGTGGCCTGTTCCCCCGGGCAAGAGCCCATATGGCAGTCTGCCACAATTTGAGCGGAGCCTGGGGTCCATCATTGGATTTTAGAGAAGTGTTCAGGTGAATTGATGACTGACGAGACCAGAAAACGACCGCTAGGATTGTTGTATTGACATTATAACCTTGTTTCGCGTGACGTGATCAACCTCATCGTGATGCTTTCGTCGATGAGCAAGTAAGCCAAAGGTCTCTCTCTTAGGAGAACAGCCGAATATTAATTAGAGATATCTATGATTTGCGTTCATGAGTCCCAAGTCCCCTTGAACCTCTCGCCCTGCCCACGGGACACCCAAGCGAGTTTTATTTATCATAAGAATAACTCCTTCCGCTCGGGCTGCTGTCATTGAAGCTCCTGCCGAAATCACCTTGCTACCTGGTTTCTTTTCCTTTACATTGAAGCTACGTTGATGACCTCAGCGAAGGTCACATGGTAGAAGAATGGCATGACCGCCCTGATACGTCGGAACAGCTCTCGACTTTTTTTCTCTTGCGCCTGTTGATGTTGTTACAGGGTGGTTAAGCTTCACCAGTGGCCTCCTTCCCGAGGCAATTCCCTGCTCTCCCCTGCTAGAGGGGCACCCTAAGCCATTCACCCCATCCGACTTCAGAGTGTACTCTTTGAGTTTGGCAACTCACCACCAGCATCCAACCAAATCTAGCGGATCAACGGCGCCTCAACTTAGTTCCTGGTCAGCTCGCAAGTTGATTTTATCACGTCCTACACCGTCCATAAGATGGGGGGCCACCTCCCATTTCACCACCTCTCTAACACCCCTGAGGTCGGCAGGCGGATTTGAACCCGGGTCGACCGGGAGCAGAAGTCAGGCCTTAACCTCTGCCAGCCGCCTGCCTGTTACTTTTGGCCCACACAGAAGTGCTCTCCTGACCATGTTTTGATTGTTGATCAAAAACAATGCGCCCACACCTCGTGCTGACCTTCAAACGATGCCAACTATTCCAGGGCTTGAAGTGGTTAGCAAAACACAGGAAGCTGTTTACATGGCGGACAGGCCAATCCTCCAAACAAACTGCACTTTTGTGTGATTTAGCGCGCCGCGCACATTCTTTTGCCAGCCTTGCTACGTTAATGTTACAAACGGTGCAACCTGACACATCCTGCGGCTCTCGAAAAACAGTCGCTGCACGCGCCCGCTCCGTGACCTCTCATGGGAAGCAATTAAAGATACACCTCAGCACCTGTCCAACTTGCCTAGCTCGTAGCGGAGCCAGAAGGTTCATAAACGATGCGCCTTCATTGGTCGCGTCTGAGACACAATGTTGGCTGACCTGCGTTTATAACCGCAGCACACCTGGGCAGGTCAATGCACACCGAGAATGCCAAGCCAGGATCAGCACGGGCGCGACCTCCGAAGGTCAACACAAAACGCAAAGACCTCTCATGAAACGCATAGAGCGATTGACTCACATGTAAATATATAAGCAAACGAACCCCACATGCGCGGATCTGTGCCGACAAGAAGGGACGGTGCCGAGGTTGCAAACTGGAAATCCGCGCACTGCCGCAACCTTGGAGGTAGCGCTCAAGCAATCTGTGCGCATTCGCGCTCGATCATTAACTATCCACGCCAGCGCACTCCTTTACGCAAACCCTAAGCCCACCCTTAAGCCGTGACCACCCAAAGATGTTCGCAGGAGATCCCCTCCGTTACTTGTGCTACCCTGCGGGTGCCGGCGTCGCAACGCCTGCTGGCAACCCCCCTACCTGCCTCTGTTGGCCTTGCACTACCTCACAGGCTTCTGGTTACCTCCCCAATAACCCCCCTGCGCCTACTGCGTCTACTGCTATTGCCTCACTGCGCCCAACACAGCGTGAACGCTGTCCCGAAGCGGCCAGCCGCCATGTGCCCCTTCTGCCGCTTCTTTTCTGCGAGTCCTGTTTCTATCGCATTTGTTGCTACTGCATTTACGGCCTTTTTTGCTGCTCCTTTTTTTGTTGCTGCTTCTTTTGGTTGGGGCTCGAAGCCGGATCCCTAGGTGGGGCAATTGCTTCCACCCCGGGGCCTTGCGCCTGCGCTCCCGCCGGCTGTTTCAACCCCTGCGGCGACCCTTGCTTCGTTGCTTTAGCCTGAAGCGCCGTGCGCTGCTTGGCTTGCGTGGCCGACCATGCCGCGTAGCCAGGCATTTCCACCAGCGGTACCCTCAGCATCTGGTACCAGCGGGGCAGGTCTCGGCAGCCAAATGCATGCAGCGCAGCCAATAGGCGACGGTGATGGTAGGGCCGTAGCTGTGGGTAGGTCTTGCGCATCTGGTGAACGAGTTGGTCGTACCAGCGCCGCGGGGTAGGCACCTGAGGGCCGCAGCGGGTGGGAAGAGGGAGATTGGAGTCAGAAAACCCGCATTCGGACATGCTGCTACGTGCAAAGGGCAAAACAGCAGGCCAGGGGCTGGCGAGTGAGGGCGCCGGTGCTCAGCTGTCTCGCGTCCTCTTTTTGCGACACGGTCGACTGAGGATGGTCGATCCTCAGTGGTGGCCTTCATGGCCTTCATGCACAAGCTGACTTTTTCAGTGTCCACAACCGGCAGCCCGCAACCCTCGTGTTCACCTCCCACGATCCCCTGCATGGAGACCGCCGACACACAGCCGCTGTCCGCCATTGATTTGACTTCCCTGTCTGCAACTCCTGTTGACTTGTGTGATTTGTGTGCATGTGCTGAGACCTGAGGCCTTCGCACTTCTCACAGATCTCAGCGGTGCGCCCCTTATCGATGGCAGCGCAACAACAGACAACGAATCTTGTAACCTTAGGGCCCACAACGCACTTTGCACTTCCCGAGCACCACCCCGTTCCACCCTGCTGGTGCAGTGCAGGACCCGCCTTAAAGAAGCTTACTAGGGACTAGGGCCTTGTATCTATGCCATGTATCTACGGGGCCGTGCTGGCCTGAGGCCTTCCCAGTTCCCTGGGGCCCTGACGGCCCGCATGACTCCCCGTCAGCTTCCCTTTCACAGAGGGCACAGGGCACACAGCAAACAACTTTGGCGCACACGCACACGCACTGCAGCGCCTGCTGTATACCTTGAGTGACCCCAGCGCCCAGGCCAGGTTGACCAGCTGCGACGGGCTAAACTCGCCGCGCTCCATCGCCCCACCGCTCGCGTCCCACAGCGCCTCAAGCAAGTCCTCCGCGGGCCGCACACCCAGGAACATCAGCCCGCGAGCCAGCTGGCTCATCTCCTCAGGCTTTACCAGACCCGCGACCAGCCTCTCTTGGGACGACGCCATTAACGCCTCTGTCCATACCGGGCGCGGCTTGTACTTCAGCCGCCCGAGTGAATGCATGGCTGCGGCCAGGCCCGGGCTGTCCAGCATCCGCAGCCGAGGACCCGTCGCGCCCAGGTAAGCCTCAATCCACGGCGGCGGCGGCTTAATCTTCAGGCGGCAGGCGCCGTACATGACCATCGTCAGCTGTACGTCGGTCATGGAGGACAGCCAGCGCGCCGAGCTGACGTAAAAGCCGTACATCCACGGCGCCGGCGGGCTGATCCGCATGCAGCCAAGACCGTACAGCAGACCAGCGAGCTCACGGGGACCGAGGGACCCCAGGTGCGCATATGAGCCCAGCAACAGCCGCCGCACAACAGAAGGCGACAGTCGAAGGGACTTACGCCAGGGCCGTACCTGTGAGTTCATGCGACCCAGCGTGTAGCACAGCGCGGCGTAGTATGGGCCATCCATGACTGCCGGGGCCCCGGCCATGTCCACATCGGCCGAGCTCATCACTCGGTCGCGGCGCTCACCGCGTTCTGCTATCGCTGCTGCTGCCAGAACCGAGTTCCCTTTCTGGCCTGTCCTGGACCCGCGGGCGCTGCGCTGCTGCGCCGCCTGGCTGGTGTTCAGGATGACCCGTCCGTCGCTATCGCCCGGCGGCGCTTGCTGTAGCATGGTGTGCTGGCTGTAGCGCAATACCCGCTGCACTGCCACCAGCGAGTGTTCTACACGCTGGTGGTTCCGGAGCGGCAAACTGCTAATGGCCCGCACCACGCGCACCAGCTGGGGCCCCGTCATGCGGGGCGCCGCGAATGTGACCCGACGTGTCAGCATGTCCCACACCCGGTCAAAGGCCTTGCGCCGGCCGCGGCCACGGTACACGCGGCCCGCAGCGTCAAACCGCGCTAGCCCAAACAGCGTCGCTACGAGGTGCGCTACCGAGAACGTCCGACCATGCTTAAGGAACAGCCGTGCCAGTCGTTGCCAGGTGGGCGCACGCGCAATGTAGCCCATCAGCCGTGCGCTACGCTGTGTGGCCTTCCGCTGCTGCATCACTGCCGCCGCCTGCTCTGTCAGTTGCTGGTCATTCTGGGCCGCCGCCGCGCACTGCAGAAAGCCCAACACATCGTCCAAGCCTGACGCTAGCGGCACCGAAACCAGCTGGCTGGCAGAATCCGCTGCCCGCTGCTGCGTTGCCGCCGTCGGAGCAGCGACTGCAGCCACCGCGGCATCAGCAGTTGCAGCCGCTCCTCCTTCCCTCCTGCGCGGTGACTTTGTATTCACGTTCCCGGGCGCGGCCTCAACTCCGGCCGGGATCTGGGTCACCGCCCCAGAGGTCGGCGCCGTGCTGAGCCGTTCTTCAAAGCGCAGGAGGTCGTTCCATGTACGGCTGATGAGCTCCGTACGCACGGCCTCATCTCGTGCCAGCAGCAGCTCCGACGTGTCCAGAACCCGCGTACGTGCACGTTTGCGGCGCACCAGCAGCGGCAACGCAGCGCTAGTAGACCCAGCTGCTGCACCGCCGCCGGCGCCAGCCTCAACACCAGCCCCGCCGCCACTTGCCGTGTCCGCCGCCACGGCTGCCGCCGTGCGATATACGCGCTGTGCGTTGGATGCCGGCTGCCCTGGACCCGATGTAACGGGCGGCTCCAACTGAAGCGCGTCTAGCAGCGGAGTCAGTACGTCTGCACTGCCGCCGGTGGAGGAGAGGTTCCCGGCAACAGCGGACCCGGCGTACAGCTGCGCTGCCTCCGGCGGGACCTCAGATGGCGCTGAGGGTGCCACAGGAGTGGCAGCGGGTGAAGCCGAGGAAGCGGCCACCACGGACGTTCTGGGCCGCGGAAAGGTGGGGAAGGCGGGGGGGCTGCGGTCCCTGGCGGCGGCAACCTCTTGGGATCCGCCGCCGCCACCGGTACGGCGAAGGCTGACGGAGCCGCCGCCGTCAAGGATGCCTGCGCTAGCACTGGTGCTGGCTGCCTGACTGCTAAGCCGTCGGTTTTCAAGCTGCTCCTCTGCGAGCTGACTTGGGTCATACTGCTCGCTCCCGCTGTTGCCATCGTTGACACCCGCTTCGTCAAAGCCGCCAAGGGCTGTAAGGAGGGCATCGCTGCTTGCGCCGGCAACTTGCAAGTCGTCCCAAGTTGTACGGTCCGCGACGACAGCTGGCGCGGGAACCTGCATGACACCGGTGTAACGTTTGGGACAGGATCGTTTTGGATGGTTGGGCGACGCCAAGATACCTTGGTCAAACAGCAGCCAAACTTGTCCAATGCTTGGGGAGATTGGGGTTAGCCCAGGGCCATCGCAAGGTGCGGACAACTTAAGACGTGGTGCTATGCCTCAGTTGACGCCGTTGACGGCAGGGTTATCAAGTGGTGAGCTGCCCGTGCGCACAGGAGAGAAAAGAAAGGCTTACCGCATCCCTCGCGAGGCGTGTACCCCTGAGTGTCGGTTCCGCTGCTCTCCGAGTGCGTATCCGGCAGCGACTTCCAATCTGTGGTGCAGAGGGCCCGATGAGTGGACGGTCAAGGTGTTGCCACGAAACGATGTGGATTTCAACCCCATAAAGTATATTGAAAACTTACCCAAACGCACGATGCATGTACGCGATGAATGCGCGTGCTTGCGGGCGCTCGACTGCAAGCACAGGAGCGAGCGGGCGAACTGGAGTTAGATCTACATGGATCCATTTGTTTTAATGGCTCATGCATCCTTGTCTCTAACGCTAAGTGGGACGTAAACTTTTCAGAGGCCATCAATAAGGACGTCACATAAGTGCGCACCTTGCATCCGCCGCCCCTTCGCTGATATCTCGACGCCATTGCCCAGGGAAGTGTCTCAGCATTATGCTAGAAACAAGCCTGCAAAGTTCTATTACCTCTGCAGAGTTGTAACAACGAGCTGCTGTCCAGCCATCATATGAGTTTTACAGGGGATGGAACATAAACAAAAGATGCAAATGAAATAAACGTATTTAGCGCGCAAATATCAACTGCTCATCATAAAAAGATCAGGAGCACGTTGGATGGATGAACATGCACTGCCGCTCCAATCATGTAACATTGCTACACAAGTTATTGGTTTGTCAATCGAAAACATGAGCAGGAGACATGTTATTGATTGAGATCAAAGCTTTTTGTCAGGAGTACGGCAGCAAATTGTTAAAATTAGGCAAAACACGCAAGTTTGGTCATTTTTAGGTGTGATTGATTGACAGTTGGAGCCTGTGTTGTAGGAACAGCTGCATCGGATTCTGAATGCACCTCAGGTCGTTCCGGCACCCTCGAAACCCCTGGACGCCTGGAGCTTAAATCTTGCACGAACATCATAGGCGTCCATAACCATGGCTCTTCGCTTAGCTGGTCGTCGGCTGCCGTCGCTAAGATATCTGTCGGCTTTGGCCACTAATCGCAGTGATTATGCGTTTGGCAGCCTCTTATGCAGCAACAGTATAAGTAGCAACGCTGGCGGTGCCGATAACACCTCCAGCGTCAACACCAAGGAAGAGCTAGGCAAGAGCAGCTCCGGAAGTCATACCCAGGAGGCGCCTGTTTCAGCAGTGCCCAGCGCCCCAACTGGAGCAGGGACCTCGCCAGCATCTACATCTCAGCCGACCCCCGTCGAAGAGGACGAAGAGTGGACGGAAGTGGTGCACTCCTCAGGACAGCTATATTACTGGAATCAACGCACAGGTAGGCTCTGGGCTACGCAGGAATCGGCAACGTGGAACCCTGGACTCTTTCACGCCTTGCTTCCTGATGACCCTCACGTTCCGGGAGCCTTGGACGGCTTGATGGCTGTCATGTCTCGTTTGGCGCGACCCACGCGCAATTAACTCACACGACTAAGTTGCACTCTAGTACGCCATGTCCGGGCACCCTGCGACGGAGATGAAGGAAAAGGAAGAGGTGCCTATGTCTGTCAGCATTGCCGCACAACGGGTGTCAGCTCGCAGTTACTCCAATCTTCGTCCCTTGTATGCGAAGGTGAAGGTAGCTGTCTAGCGGCGGTTAACTAAACCGACTGTTCCCTCGCGATGCCAGCCTTGGCGTCGCCGGAACTCGCCAACCATTCATTGCGCTGTTCCCTGCGCCAGCTGCCCGGACGCACGCCGCGGCTGCCGCCGCAGGAGCAGCAGCTGCAGCAGCAGCAGTGCACGTCGGGGTTTTCTTCCAGCAGCTCTGCCCGGCGCAAAGCTGCATAGCCACCCTGCCTCTCACACGCCTTACAAACCAGGAGTTGTCTTCGTTCGATTCCATTCCCCTGTCCTTTTCTCCATCGCCAGCTGCTCACATCATTCTGGGTTCCACGACAGGGACCCCTACATCGTTCGTGCCTTGTCCGTCAAAAAACAACCCGCCTGTGTGTGATGAAGCCCCTCTTAATGGAACCACACCACCACATCATCATCATTGTTGTTGTCTCCACGCTTCACCGCGCTGCATCATACCCAAACATTTCACACGGCCATTGCTGTACGCATCTCAAACCACGTCGACCACTACACCCCGCCACAGCCGCGCTCAGTATCATCCTCCCTCCCTCGCTGCGGCTCTGCACGCCGCGCCCGGCAGGTGAGACCACCCGGTTGGGAGAGCCCAAGCCCAACTCGGACCGTGGCAGTGGAGGCGCCGGAGGCGGCGGTGGGCGCCAGCGGGCCAGCGGCGGGTCGGGGGCCCGGACCGAGGATGGGTACGTCGATCCCCGGTCTGAGGCGCACTTGGAGGACCGGACGGGCACGTATGCGGCCATGGGGGTTATCATTGGTGCCTTCCTGGGTTGGGTGTCGCAATTCGTGTAGGCCACGGCCGTCTTTACGCGCTCGGAAGCCATGGCAGCTTCTCGCGGAGGTCCGGAGGTTGGAGCCAGGAAACGTCGGACTCGGGAGGTTCTTTTGTAGTGTGCGCTCACGCTTGCGTGAAGATGCACCAGTGTGTGACTGGCGTAGAAATGATCAGTTTTTGAGTGAGAGGGTGGGTGGGTGCGTGCAGACAAGGGCGCGCGGGGGGCTGCTCCACCATCTCTATGCCGCCCGCAGAGCACCAGGCTGGCGGCTCTCCTCAGTGTGCAGCCCAGGGCCGACTTACACTGCAGTAATGGCCCTGGACTGCGAAGGCTCCTGGCCGGTTGACAGCGCGTTGTGGAATGCAGCACTGGGGAGTGCACCAGTCGGGAACCGCAGCCAATGGGTTCACGGGGCTATTCCAGGAGCAGGGTGAGCACCAGCCTGCAATTTGGGTATATGTGTACCTATGGATTAAACAGAGAGCTCGATCGGGCGCGGGACTTGCAGATTAAGCGGTCCCCAGAGGCCTGTGCATAGGTCGCAAGGGTCGTTCGCAGGAAAGTTCGGTGCCCCTGGGTGACCCAAATACACTAGCAGGGGTGGAAGCCAAAGCAGCGGTGAGCATGGTACCTGCGACTCGGCAAAGATCATTAAGAGTTCATTCAATCCTCCTCTACACGCGCGCACGCACGACTTAGACCCGGTTCCGCCAACCGATATAGTTACAAGTTACAAGTTCCGCACAAGTGTGGGGGTGTCCGTAAAAGCCAGGGGGCCCATGGGCGGTAAATCGTTTTTAGTGCAGTTACGTGGTGGACCATCATCATCCTCCCTCGTCCGCTTGAGCACGAAGCGCCTTAGAGCAACGTGCCGGGTCTCCCAGACTTCCGAGTGGAACCTGGCTAGTGCACCAGGAGTGGGGCCTCGGTCATAATCGTGCACATGTTGCGCCGTTGAAACGCGAGGTCACCTCCGTACTTGGCCCGTGTACTTGTGTATGCCGGGCATTCCACAAAGACATGCATTTCGTCTTCAACCGCCCATATATAGGCACCATGGTTACGGTGCCCACCGAAGTACCACTTAGGGCTTTTAGCGGGCAATGGTACAGTGCTTGGGTTATGCCGACAGCAGCACCGGTGATCTGTTAGGCTCAACTCATTCGCATTCATGGCGTTGTGGTGCCATAGATATCACGTCATGCCAGTGATGTTACTGGCGGTATCAGGGACAATATGCAGGCAGTGGGACTTCAGGTTTGGTTCGGTGTAGGATAACCTGCTCTGCGCTAGCGCCGGAGACGAGCTGTGCCCGCCAAACAACGACGATGTGGAAACTGACGGAACGACGTACCGTGGACACGCGCGCAGCGTACATGGCTCACAGCTGAAGGTGGTATTTACCCTGGGGTTGTGGCGCCGATGATGAAGGAGATAATATTGGCCAAGGGCACCAGCTTGAGTCTCCGCTGATCAACGTCAGTTTCCTTAGACGCGTGTGGGGAAACAACACTGGGAAATGTGCATCACCTATAGGGAGAAATCCTAACGTAATTTTAGTATTTCAGCCTGACACTACCACGTTGCATATAGGCCTTAGCTATGATGACTTAGCCAGCACCGCGCGTACATAAGTGATCATACTAGGGCCTGTATGCATCGTGGTAGTAAATACTGGAATTACGTCAGGCACGTAGGGGACCGGGGAAGGGAAAGGCATCTGCGCAACAAGACTTCAGTAAGCGGCGGAACACAGTTCGCTCCTCGTTGATTCTGGCTCCTTGCTCATACAGTATGGAAATGACATATGTATGCAATGCTTGATGTACGTGTTAAGCACTCTTAAGGCTCAAGCATGGATAGAGTGGCTTATAAACACGGAACGGCAAACGCCAGATGTAACCTGCCAACTCCGAAAAATATGAAATCAGCATGTCCAAATGTGGGATGTGATGACGATAATGGGTTTTGCAAAAATGTCAAGCTTGCCGCTAGAACCCGTTAAAGCATGCATTCCGTAAGGACAGCCGTTACGAGATCCCATACGGCTGGCGGATGCTCTTTGTTGTCCAGGCAGTGCAACCACACAGCCATTCGTTCAGCATGGCAGCTGAGCTGTCACGGTGCTCCTACGACTCGGCCTATGCCGAGCTGGCAACCGGTACGACTCGGCCAATGGCAAGAGGCCCCGATTCCCTGCAGCCGTATATGTCCTCATTATACAAGTTCATTCTAATTTAAATACTATACAAACATAGCTTACAGTCATTATTACGAGGGTCAGAGTGGAGAAGGGTGTGTGAGAGGAGAGAGCTAGTACAGAGAGGTGAACTGGCGCTCCCTCAGCGCCAGGCTGCTGCGGCAATGACTGCAAGCGTCTGGTTTTCTTGACGCCTCCTATGGCAGAACAGGCGTTGCGGAGTAGCGTCAGGTGCGGCCGGTTACGATTCTCGTTCTAATTGCTCATTTACAGGTGCAGACTGCTCTGACGGCTGCTGTCTGCACGTGCTATGCAATTTGGACCTGCCGTAATTACGCTTGGTAAGATAATTTACCCTAACCCTGTATAACCTGGTTGATTTACGAATCTCGCCGCAGGATGTAGACCGACGACAGAATCCTACGGAAGACAACCAGGCGTGGCAAGGCGAGAGATGTATCGAGAGAATGATCTGCGGAGATGAATGTGCAGCTATTGCCCGGCTGTTTGGAGAAGCCTCCCCCGTGACAGACGCGCTGCGCAAGAGTGCGTTGCACGATTCCCTGCGCCCGATGTCAAGTGAGGTTGGCACGGAATGGCTTTTCCCAACACCAGGCGAGCTTTTGCTGCAAGTGGACTGCCCCCCGCGAAGCTGCAGGTTGGATTGCAAGGCGTAAGCTGGTATAAGACGTCCATCGGGATCGATGTGCTGGTGCTGCGTTTTGCGGCATTATTGTAGCATACGTGTGCTGTACGCCTTCCAAGCTGCAACATCTGCGGGACAATTTTGCTTATTCGAGATAAAGTTTTAAGCGTGTGAGCTGAATGCGTGATGAAAAGCGTTGTGATGGATGTGCTAATTGTGGCTCGTCGCGTACACCGTGTCGGCGGCTCCATGTGAGCAGGTGGGGAGGTGACGTGAAGAAGAGATGCAGTGTGTTATTAGACCTTAGAGAGTAAGTGCCCAGTGGCCGCCTATGCCTGAGACTGAAACCCAAACCAGCTTTGATACACTGCCTCTAATGGAGAACTCAACCCGCGCGCTGCGCGTCTATCTGCTGCTGTTGATGATGATGATACTGCTGATGCTGCATTGTTTCGCGCCTGCCATGGTGCTATGGCGGCGCTGTGCATTGCCTGCATTAGGAAGATTCACTGCTTTGACAGTGGCCTAGCCCAGCTGGTCTACCCGTACCTAATGACTTCTTATAACATAATATGTTTGCGCACACGGTCTTTGTGTTGTAGTCGGATGTCGCTTGGTGTTTGGCACCTTGGTGCCCAGCGCTGCACCAGGATTTCTTAGTGGTTACTTGCCGTACACGTTGCGGAACGCTGTTTTCGACACTGTATGACATGTTCATCATCTATTCGCACCTTGATTGCTAATGACTTATGCCTCTTGTTTCCTTAATTGTAGTCTTATACATCGCTGGTCATATCACATTCTTCCCTGCATGGGTGTGCGTAACATCCAACGGCATGTTGTGTGTCGTGAGCGGCTGGGCTGCACACGAGGCAGCCTTGTATGGACTGGCCCTTGTCTCATACGGCATCCCTTCAAGCAATGATGACTGAGGCATGCCCGCAAAAGAACTTTGTAAAAAAAACACGGATACGCTCTCACAGGGCACCTGCCACCGCAGCTGCGCTTGCCTCACCCCGAAGTGCAGGGAGGGCAAAGCCTCTGAGGAGTCATAAGAGTTACAACCCTCAGCCAGCCTTAACCGCCCTTTGCCCGCGAGCCAGGTGCAGCGCAGCGAACCACCGCTGATCTCTTGACAGAAGGGAGCAACGCTGTTCCCGGCTCTCCGCGAACCTACCTAAGGGATTGCATGCAACACATACATACATACACACACACACCTTACGTGCACAGTTTCCGCACGGCGCTCCGCAGCTGCTGTCAGCAACCTTGGGCAGCACAGGGGCGATGTTCGCTTCCAACATAACAGTAAGCAGCGGAGGTGCGCTGCAGGACCTTGTGCTTAGTCCTGCCGCCACACACCAACGCAGGCACCGTGCATGCAAATACCCTTTGGTGCAAACACTGGAACTCATCTCCCAAAAGAACAGGTGCCAGAACTCATGGATACGTTGCACATAAACCTAACCCCATTTGGCCACAATGAACAGAGAAAGGTCCATGCATTCATAAAAGGCGCGCAGCAGCATCGCCACCACTCATAAGGCTCAAACCCCCAACCGCCGCATTGCCCCCACACAGCGTCTTCACTGTGCTAGCTCCCCAGTTGGCGGGTAGGCACTTCATGACGCACAGCGGCATGTGAGGTGCTAGCTCCCGCGTCCACGCCTCCGCTCTGCGGACCTGTCTTGAGGCCGCTCAGCCGTGCCAGGCTCCGCAGCGCGCTCAGCCGTGCCAGGCTGTCCTCTGACAACCTCGCCTGGGGCGAGAAGGGCCATGCGGGGTTTTGGAAAGGGCCGCAATGTATGCATGACCCTGAGTAAGTAGGAGCTACTCGGGAGCGGCCGTCAACAAGGGGCGACCGAGGAAAGAAGGGAAAACCGAGGGAGGGGAAGGTGGGGTCCAGAAATATCGCACGACCGGCAACACGCTGCTGGCACACAGCGCAGAGACCTTCATCGGGTGATCCAAGTCGTCTGGGCGCTAGCGCCTCAGCTTTTTGCATGTTTCCTTCTCGTACACATAGCCGCTGGCCCTCACCCACTCGCGACATTGGGGCCATGTCCGCTTTGCTCATCTTCGTTGCGTAAATCCGCATCCACTAACAGCCGGATGGACACTCATGCATTTCGACCCTCATCCAGCAAGGTGCGTGGGACTGCGCCCGACAGCAGCGGCGGCGGCGACTGTGGCGCCACGCGCAGCGACCTTGTAAGGTCTAATTAGCGACCAGCCACAGTGCCCATCAAGCGCTAAAGGAACACACACCTTCTTCATCCCCTTAAGGGGAACCGTAGGGCAGTTCATCCCGTTTAGTTCCCCTCCAGGTCAGCAGCCAGCACCAGCTGCGCGCCGCGCGGCGTGGCGGCGGCACCATCAGTGCCGGCGCCGCCGCGGCATCCCGCCAGCTAGGCGAGTCAGTTGCCTGCAACCGGCAGCGGGCAGTAACATCGCCAGCGGCGGCAAGGTGCAGGCGATGGCGGAGAGGCTGGCAAGGTGCGGTAGCAGAGTGGCGTTCAGAGCGACTGGGCCGCCGTCCGGCAGCGGCGGCGTTGCCGTCGGTCTCAGCGGCACCACCAGCGGCACCGTCATCGTGAGTCACAGTCTCATGAAGGTAAGGTGCTGGTGGGATCTGGGAAGCCAGGACAGCTCCAACCGGGCTGAGGAGCCGCCCGGGGCCAGACAGCGACGAGAAGGACACAGAGGACACAACGAAACCCGAACTGATGATAAAGCTCACAGACGCACGGCTCATGGTGTCTGTCTCATACAAACGGTGGAACTCGACGGCTGCTAGGGCAACGCAAGGAAACCTAGGGTAAAACAGTCGTGCTAGACCAGCTCTTGAGCTTACACAGCCTGTGCGCGCAGAGCAAGCTATTCTCACACATATAATCGGGCACCCGATCCCCGCAGCTGCGGGTCACAGACGCTCCTTTCACTTGCTTCGGCCCGCGCACGTGGCGCCAACGCCCCTCTCACATCCGCGCCACCTATCCCGCTACCACACGGCTTCCCTTTTGTACAGCGCAACCCCCCTCTGCTTTAACCAACGCACAAGAGCTCACAGCTCCGCACCCGGTCATCTTCCTTACCGGGCACATCCAAGTGGTGCGACCGGAACGAACCTAGGTGGCGGTGCAGACGCCGCAACGGCGGCAGCTGGATGCCGCAACGGCAGTGGCAGTGGCAGTGGCAGTGGCAGTGGCAGTGGCAGTGGCAGTGGCAGTGGCAGTGGCAGTGGCAGTGGCAGTGGCAGTGGCAGTGGCAGTGGCAGTGGCAGTGGCAGTGGCAGTGGCAGTGGCAGTGGCAGTGGCAGTGGCAGTGGCAGTGGCAGTGGCAGCCAGTGTTGATGCGAAGGGATGACGTGTCGCCCCGTGGCCTGTTTAGGTAACTTGTCAGGTTGTCGTGAGTAACAGCTGTGGCTTGTTTAAGACTGCCCATCTGTGAGCAACGGCTGGCAGGTTCTAGTGTACTGACAACTCGTCCATCTGGATAAGCTTTCCAAGCCTTTATAAGGCCTTGCTATTTATTGGTAATAGTACCTCAGATTCACACGTTTACGCCTAGGTAAAGGGGCTATCGGTGGTAGGTCGCGGATCTCCCGAATACGTGTAACGGCTAATGTCTCCTTAGTCGTGTCTGCTAGGTCCCAGTGAGATAGCGTCTCACCAACAGCTTATGAGCCCCGGGTAACGGTTCCCGGCGGTTAATATCTGTAGTTGCTTTTTAGCTTGAGCAGGGAGGCTCGCTAGGCAACCGACATGGGAAAAGGGTGTAACACCGTCCTCCTAGCGGACGGGTCTAACTACTCGCAGTGGCTAGGAGACTTCAGTGATTTCCTCACTACATCCAAGTTGAGGAGCTATATGACCAACCCGTCGCCTCCGGGCCGCAATGCGCAAGACGCTCTGGAGGAAGATGCCCAGGCGCTTGGCTACCTGCGTCTGTCCTGCGAACTGCCCATAAAGCAGTTGCTAAGGAACTGCTTTACTGGCAGTTCGCTTTACTGACCGCGTCCTCGTCGACGGTAAGGTGACTGTTAGCAGCGACGTCACCTTCGACGATGTCCTCCGCGGCCTGGCGTCTCAACGGGCGGGCACCCCCTTCGGCATCAGCCCCGCCCGTCCTGGCAGCAGCGACCCCGTCGGCGGCTCTACACAGCCCGCCACACCGCCGCCTCCCGTGGATGCCCTGCCCCCAGTAAACCCAGCGCCCGCCCTCCGCCCCAATACTTGCAGTCAACGGCAACCGCTGCACCCGCCGCTGGCCCTGGTCAGCCCGGCCAACAACAGCAGCGGCGGCGGCGGAGATTTGGGTAGTCCACCGCTGCTTAACAAAGCGTCGGGTAGCACCGATTGTGCTGAGGCAGGCGACGGCTGTGCGGGCGGCGGAGGCAACAGCACGGTGCAGGAGCCGCGCAGTTATGAGGAAGCGGTGGCGAGTCCGCAAGCTGACAAGTGGAAGACTTCGATGGATGACGAGATCCTGTCGCAGCTTTCCAACAAGACATGGGAGTTGGGCACGCCGCCACCCGGTGCACGCATCCTGGACTGCCGCTGGGTTTACAAGATCAAACAGGAGCCTGGCAGTGAGGTACGCTATAAGTCGCGCTTGGTGGTGAAGGGCTTTGAACAGCGAGCGGGCATAGACTATGGAGAGCTGTTTGCGCCCACTACGCGTGCAGCCTCCCTGCGGGCACTTCTAGCTGTGGCAGCGGCCAGGGGTATGACGGTCCATCAGATGGACGTCAAAACGGCTTTCTTGAACGGCGACCTGGCAGAGGAGCTGTGGATGCGACAGCCACCAGGTTACAGCAATGGCGACCCGACGCAGCTGTGCCGGCTGTTAAAGTCTGTTTACGGCCTCGAGCAAGCCCCGCGCTGCTGGTACGAGAAACTGGCGGCGGAGTTGGGCAAGCTAGGCTATGGGCCGTCTATGTCCGACCCCGCACTATTCGTCAAGCGCGGGTCCGACGGCTCAATTTATGTGCTTGTGCACGTTGACGGCATGCTGGTGGCGGCGGACAACTTGCAATTGGTCACGGCCGCCAAAGCAGCCATCACCGGTTGCTTCGCAGTGTGTGATTTTGGATAAACACGCTCAGCCTCGGCAACAACCCCATCACGTCGGTGCGCTCCAAGCACATCGATGTGCACCATCACATCGTGCGCGAGAGGGTCGCGCGTGGTGAGGTGAAGCTCAGCTATTGCACCACCGACGACATGGTGGCTGACATCCTAACCAAGGCACTGGGCGAGGTCAAGTTCGTGCGCTGCCGCACAGCGCTGGGCGTCACTTAGATCGCCAGAGGAGGAGTGCTGAGGGCTTTGAGGAATTGTTTTGAGCTAGGCTTTAGGGGGTGCTGAGGGTGCGTGAGCAGGCGCCCGAATGGGCAGGTCAATGCCTGAAGGGGCGCCGTAGGCAGTGCGTACGGTGCTGTACGACGCTGTTTTCCCTGTATATGTTTGTGCAGCAGCGCCAGACCGCATAGCCATCAGGCTGAAGGCTGGCAAGCTGCGTTTGTGTCTGCTGAGTGTTGAGCAGTCGGCCTGGACCGCGGACTTGTCGGCCGAACTAGCTCGTCGGTACTAGCCGTTTGTAGTCAGGCCCCAGTGCGACTCGAGGGGGCGTGTTGATGCGAATGAATGACGTGTCGCCCCGTGGCCTGTTTAGGTAACTTGTCAGGTTGTCGTGAGTAACAGCTGTGGCTTGTTTAAGACTGCCCATCTGTGAGCAACGGCTGGCAGGTTCTAGTGTACTGACAACTCGTCCATCTGGATAAGCTTTCCAAGCCTTTATTGGTAATAGTATTTCTTGGTAATAGTACCTCAGATTCACACGTTTACGCCTAGGTAAAGGGGCTATCGGTGGTAGGTCGCGGATCTCCCGAATACGTGTAACGGCTAATGTCTCCTTAGTCGTGTCTGCTAGGTCCCAGTGAGATAGCGTCTCACCAACAGCCAGCCCCACGTCAAGACGGCTGAGATCCTTCCAACGGCCGCCGGGCCGCAGCTAACCCACCGGACAGACCGCCCAGTAGCTTTGCGGCCAAATGCTCCAAGGTCCGAAGAGGCGCCGCAGTCGGGCCCAGGAGCACCTGCTGGCGCCCCTGCTGGCGCCCCTGCTCCCTGCCGCTGCTGCCTTCTTCTGAGGATGCTCTTGTTGGTGGCTTTGCGCTTTTAGCTTTCGTTGTTGTCGGTGGTGGTGCTGGTGGTGCTAGTGGTGCTGGTGGTGCTGGTGGTGCTGGTTGCGATGAGGTATAAGCTGCTTGAGCTGCGGTTGATCCTTCTCCTGGGCAGACACCGGCAATGACATGTTGTGTACGAGATTCCGCAGCTCTAGCGCTTTCCGTTCCCTTACACCACCGAACCATGGGACCGCCATCGCCATCGCTAATGGAGCTGCCGTCCTGCCCGCGCTGCTGCACACAGGCAACCTTCCGGTTCCTCCGTCGCCGTTGTGGTCGCCGTGGCGGGCTGTAACCTCACTGCCTGACAGCACCCCGGCGTGCTTGTTGGCCCCAGCCTGTGTCGCCGAGTCCCCCATCCGCTGGGTCCCCTCCTGAACGGGGGCTTCCGCAGCACCCACATCTACAAAGTCCGGGGCGGTCGTCTCCTGGATCAAGCCCTGCTCCCCGCTGCCACAGCTTGGTGGCAGCCGAGGTACCGACACGGCACACGTGGCGACGATGGACGCGGCGCGCTGGGCAGCTGCGGCAGGATGACGTCTAGCCACTGGGGGCTGTGCACCAGCCGCTCTCGAGTGACTTCAGACTGGGGGCGGTGAAGCAACTGAGTCAGGGAGTCGGAGGGGTCATATGGAGGGCCTGAGACCTGCGCGCGCACAGAGAGAGATCCCCGGGGGCCCGTGTGGGGGCGTAGGAGGATGGAAGCATGGACCCCTCTGCTGCTGCTGCTGCTGCTGCTGCTGGGAAAGCACCATGCAGCGTTCCATCTGACACCAAATGCGGCCACCTGCACTTGGCGGGCGGCTCCACCACCCAGCCACCTGCAAGCGCCCGTCCCCACACATGGCGGGCGGCTCCACCACCCAGCCACCGCAGCACCTGGGGTACCCTCCTCCAGGTGATTGCCCGGGGATGCCCTCATGGCGCTCCCTCGGTCTCTCCCTCCCTCCCTCTCCTCCCTCTCCTCCCTCCCCTCCCTTCCTGGACAGCGGCCCCACGGACCCGCTGGGGTGGCTCGCAGCATCCCGGCGGTCTCAAGATGTCTAACAGGGCCAGGCGCCGGAGCTCCGAAACCGCGCCTAGTGTGCAGGGCTGTAATAGCTCGCCAAGCTCTGAGGGGTCCTGCAGGTGACGGGAGGCGGCAAACCATTTTATGTATGAATGAGGTAACGCACACGACGGTGAATGAGGATGATGATTGTTGGCAGCAGCATGCCTCGCAGCATAGCCACGCGCACCTAAACCCCAAGCGCACCTAAACCCCAAGGAAAAGTGCTCACCGTGTTGTTGTTGTTGGTGGTGGTGGTGGTGGTGGTGGTGGTGTTCTGGGGAATACGACAGTTATTGATCGAAATTTAGCTTCTACACGACTCGAGTAGAACCCCTCGCTTGAATAAAAGCATAGGCCTTCTTCAGTATAAATGGTGTCCGTCTGCACCGGGCCGGGCTGCCTGCCACCGCATTTAGTGCCGCTGTCGCACTCATGCAGTCGCCTATCCAGCTGTTGCTGGCAGTCCGGATGCCCACCCACAGGGACGTCAGCGGGTCCCAAAGCTGCGCTCTCCGTAGCTATACGATAACAGCAGCTCCGGCCCCATCCAGCGCACCGCCACTAGTACTGCTACACAACCTGCACCACCATCAACAGCACCGTTGGCGCCCCAGACTGGGACTGTGCCGGCACACACGGCGGTGCCGCATGCCCACCACCACCGCAGCACTCCCAAAGGTGCCAATCGAAATCCTGCCAAATGAAGATGCTTTGGTCGGGCTGCATCGGAGCGCCGCGGATGCAGGATAATCTTCCAGGGACCCGTGGGTCTGCCGCGACCCAATTGCACAGCGTGTGTGGGACGGGTTGCCAGCTGGACAACACCCGGAAACCGAAGCGCCGCAGGCGGGGCAGCGCGTTGCGTGCGGCCTGCAGCAGCACGGGGGTGGGGAAAAAGGCGCTGCCCATGTCGCCACAGCACAAACGCAGCCGCAAATGGGACACAGCCGCTTCCGCGTCTTCAGCGACGCCAACGCTGTGGCCACCGGCCCCGAAGCTGTTGCGGAGCCGGGCGCCTACAAAAACGCCCTCGCCATTGCTGCCGCTGCTGCTTCTGCGAATGGTGTTGCCATCGTCATTGCCATAGGCGTGGTCGTCGCCCCCGTCCCGAATGTCACCGCCGGGATTACCGTGGCAGCCGCCACCGGGATTGCCGTCCTCGACGCCGCTGATACCGCGCGCGGCTGCCAACGTCCCACGTCCAGGCTCCGTCGCTTGATTGCGGAGGGAATTGCTGCTGCCAAACTGTCCCCGCGCCTGGGCCAGCTTTGCCAATTCCCCACCGGCCTCTGCTTCCGCAGTGCCGCGAGCTGCGCACGTCGCCGGCGTCGCCGCCTTTGCCTTTCCCCCGCTGCCCCCCGTGGCCATGTGACCGTCCAATGCAGGCGCGCCAACCTGGACAGCCCAGTCATCACATCCAGGCGGTCGACGGGTATTGACATGTCGAAGCACAGCCGGGTAAGACCCGACAACGCGGACACGCGGCCCAAGAGGTTGTGACTGACATGAACGCCGTACAGCCCCAAAGACTGCAGCTGCGTCAGCGCCAAGATGGCGCTGAGACCAGGCGCACGCTGGCGGTGCTGCGCTGGCGGCGGTGCGGTGGGACCGCAACAGCATTCGCAACAGTCTGCTGCATCACAGGCAGCATGGGGGATGCGGAAGGTGGGAAGCCAGCATGGCTGCTGTGGAAAACAACCTGATGGATGGGCGCACTCGCCGGCAGAAAGGCCGCGGCGGTGTCGGGCACCTGGCTGGTCCGGCATACCTTGTGAGCTACAGCCGCACGGTAGTGCTGCCGCCGCCTCCGCCATCCTCGTCGGTGTCGCCGCCTGAGAATGTTGAATGCACAAGTACTGCTGGTGCTTGGTCGCCAGGTGCTGCAGGATGTCATGAATTGGGGAGACAACGCTGGGCGTCATAGTTTCATGCACGGCCGCTTTATGAGCAGCGGTGGCAATGGTGCTGCCGCTGCCATGCCCCTCACTGTCCTGAGCCCTAGGGTGCTGAACACGGGTACCGAGGGAAATGGAGGAGCGCGGGTTGTCTGGTTTTGCCCGCTGCGGTCCAGCGGATGAGCTTGCAGCTTCCCTCGTCATCACTGGACGACGAATCCTGGCCGTCCGATATCTTGGCCCCACTGCCACCAGCGTTCCGCACTAGCGTCAGTCGCAATCACCAGTCGCGCAAACCCTCAGTTGATGCTAAAAGCAGCCTGAGATCCACCAGGCCAACCGCTCCAGGACGGGTTTCACACAGCTGGTGGGGAAGGTCTGCAGGCCGGCCACCTGCTGGCCACGGAATCGCCTTGCCATGATCACTGCTGCCTGGCTTAGTTATCAGACAAGCTGAAGCTGCGCGAAAGCAGTGTGGCGTGGCTGTTGCGGGTATCGGCACGCTGGGCTGCAGCCTGGACCACGTAACAACAGCCGATATGTGACTTGCTTCTGTTACAAAAGCATATTCAACACCGTCACCGTTCGCACCCTGACAGTATCCGCGGCACTGTGCGACAGGATTGCCTGCGTATGCGCGCAACCATGCACTCTGCTTTCATTGAGTAAAATAACCTATCACCTTTCCAAACCTGAAGAAGGTCCGCAGGAAAATTTGCCCACAAAGCACCTGGACATGAAGCAACCAGCTCATAACGCCGGAACAAGACGACAAGCACACCGACACGGCATTCCCTCTTTGACCTTTTTAAGGCGCTAGTCAGATGCAGTCTCGCAGTTGACACTGCGATGCTTAAACCCTTGAGCCACCGGGAGCATTAAAACTTTGCTACAACCACACGGCCTTTCGCCAACCCCACACAGCGCACAGCTTTTCATCAAAATTCACGCTCACGACTTATAAAACAATAACACCAAGTATGGATACGACTCGTCCAAGAATCATGGTCAAAATATTTTGATCTGTACCCCATCAAGCAACCAAGTTCAGGCAAGTTCTCATTGTCCGTTATTTACTCCAGCCCTGCGCAAGCCATGCTTTATGCAAATGCTCTCGTCAAGTGCCCCTTCAGGCCCTGCACAGACTGCACAATGTCCGCGTACAGCGCATCGTTCTCTCCATCCGTCCGAATTCGCAGCTGCTGCACGGCAAGGTCGAGCGCTTCCGCCACAGTGGTAGCCGACACATTCCCAGCGGTACACTTCTGAATGGTGAAGAGCACTCCCACGCAACCCACGATAACGTCTCGCAACCAGCTTTCCGCAAGTTGTTCCTCCGTCATAGACTCCTCCATTGGGGCCGGGCATGCGCTAGGCGCTGCCTCGGCCGTCCGTTCCGTTATCCCAGAAACCTCCAATCCTGGCCGCCCAAACGAGCTTTCGTCCTCCGTTTTCACACAAGTGGACGTCCCAGAGGGCTCCGCCGGCTCCGCCGAGGTATCGCGCAGCCTCGTTGCACTGCTGTCAGCCAGCGCACTGACCTCTCTGCCATCGGAGCTCACGTCGCCATCTCCAGGAAGCGCGTGCGATGACTGCATCGCCGCCGCCATGGCCACCTGCTCCTGCATCAGGCCCTCCCCCGCCGCCGCCACAGGCGCCTGTAACACGAGCTGCTGCGGCAGTACGGCACCCGGCGGCAGCACTAAGGGCACTGACGCCCCGCCAGGCGCCTGCAGAATGATTGGAGCCACGACTGAGACCGGCTGGGGCGCGGAGGGGATCAGCAGCGGCTGCCCACCGACGCCCTTGCCTCGGCACCCGTCGACTACCGTCCGTGCCTCCACCAAAGCCTGCTCAACAAGCTGTTCCGGAGTTGACGCCGACACCCCAGGGCCAAGCGGCAGGGTCCCCTGGGCAGGCAGCAAGGGGAAGGCCGCAGGTGCTGCTGCAGAGGCGGTGGTGGTCGCAACCCCAGCACGGGGCCGCTGCGGCGGCACGACAAGCAGCGTGCCTGGCGAAAGGGGCTGTACCTGCATTGGCTTGGCTGTCGTTGGCCGGACAGGCGCCCCCGACGCTTGGGGCACTACTGGCGCTACTGGGGCTGGTGCGACTTGTGGTACAGTGGGGGATGGGGCGGCCGCCGGTAGTGCAGAGGAATTTGTCGCCTGCCTAGGTGGCGTTTGGGGCGTCGACTGTGGCGGCCCCTGTGCCTGTGGCTGTGTCGGTACCACGGGCGGCTGCGGAGGCAGCCCCTGCGGCTGTTGCTGAGGCAGTGACGTCATGCCCGCCGTCGCGGAGTCAGCTGACCTTACTCCGCCGGCAGCCGCAGCTGCTGCTGCCGCACTGGCCGCAACAGCCGCCAGCTGTTGTTGCTGCTGTAGCATTAGAGACGGGCCGAAGGTTGCCGCCGCAGCCGGCGCCGCCACGCTGATTTGTTGTTGGCGAGCTTGAAGCCGGCTCAGAGCGGCCTCGAGCACAGTGTTGGTATCCCTCAGTTTAAGCACAACGTTAGTGTACTTCAGTTGAAAGTTGTCCGTGCGGCCGCCATTCTCGTCGGTATGCAGCCCCGACGCCGCCTCGTTGTTAAGCTGCGTTAGCTGAGCGACGAGTTCCTCTTTCACCTCCAGCGCGCGTTGAACCTCCGCCACCATCGCCGCGTCTTGCTCACGCATCTGTGCGAGCCAAACAACAGCGGGCGAGGAAGCAGCTCGGCGACCCCAGCGCCAAAATGCAACACGACAAGGAAACGCATGTGCTTGTCACGTATTATGTTGATGGGTTTTCACGGCTGCCCCAAATCAACCCGTCCTACAGTCAGTTCTTCAACTAAAAACTTTACACTTCACATACACGGAAAACTGTATGCCCCCTCGGGTACATACAACGAAACACAACCCCAAAATTTCCCCCTCTTCTGCCCTTACCAGCTAACATGCGATTTTCCGCCTTGGTTTTATTGCGCGGCATCCGTGCGAAGACAGCCATTGCGACCGGTATCGATGTGCCCTTCAGTAGGCGCGGTCATTCAGCACTGAATAACCGTTCCGCAAGCAATTTCCCCATACTATCCTTCCATTCACTTGGTGCGGTGCCCTTAGAAATCCCGACACTTAAGCAAATTCTCCGCAAGACGCCCCATGCTGTCAAACCCCTCACCATCAAGGTATCCAGGCCTGTTGCAGAGGAGCCCAGAGGCCGCGCGGGCAGCGTCGGCGGCCGCAAGGCAACTCCTTGTGGGGGTAGGAGACCACGCAGAGTAGCAAGGCGCACGGGATCATATGCCCGACCGTTGAGCACGAAGGGCACAATGGCCATTTGCAGCGACAGGCACTCGTGTGGGTCGACTGGCATAACGTCCGTGTCCAGAATCACCTCCGTCATCAAGTCACCTCGATGGAACTGTACCCTGCGGCGCAGATAAGGGCACTCAGACTGGATAATCGCGCTGCTGCTAGCGCGGCGACGTCGCATCGCGCTTCTGTATGCACGAAGACGCAAGGCGTGCGAGAGGCAATGTCGATCCATCAAGCCAATCTCAAAGCGGTCTAAGGCACAAAATATTAGAGATGCCGCCATCGGCGCCTGTTGAGACCGTCCCCAACCCTCTTCACCTGTACTTATTGCCTTTGACCGTTAGGATGACGCCATCATACAGCTGCCGCGAATGGGGGTGGCGAGCCGTGACCTCTTGACCCACGCGCAACTGCCGGGGCAGCTCGTGCGGCACCTCCATGCCCAGGGCCACCTCCTCATACTTCAGCCGCGCGTGTTCCCTGCGAGCGTCGACGAAAGAGGATAGCCTGACTAAACCTATCAAGGTTTAAGGGCTTTTGACAGCTCGTGGTCGCCGTGCAAGTGCCTCGGCGGGCATTGGTATTGCAAAAGAAATGAAGCCACGTGCAAACGCTTTCGTTGCCAGTCGTCTAAGAGTTTCATAGGGTTTCAAAGCTCGCTGGACGAGCAGTCCCCCTACACGGACCCGCGCGTGGGTCGGCCCAATTGGCCCCCTGCTCAGTGTGGCATGCATCAACATAACCCATACGTGGGTGGGCGGTGCAGTGCAGTGGATGTGTGGAAGTAAGGCCGGCAGTAAGGCCTCCGAGGTGCTTGCCTGTATCCCTCCAGTCGCAGCCGCTCCTCGCGCAGAAACGCCAGCGAAAGCCGCCGCGGCCGACCGAGCGATGCGCGCAGCACCGACCACTCTAGACGTGTCAGCTTTGAGGTTGGCAGCTGCATGTGCAGCGCACAGAACTCCTGCAAAAAAGGGTTCAGCTGCTTCACGAATGGTACATGGAAGCAGTAATGCACATGAACGACCATTGACCCATTACAGGATAGCTGGACCGGATACCGTGCGGTTTCCCAAGCAGCCAGCCGCAGCCCTCAAGTTTGACGCGGACTGCGTTGCGACGGCTCAACTGAGCTTTTAAACAATGAGACCGAATGCGCGCGATGCCCTCCAGGGACGCTAGCTTCCGGAGGTCTCATCGTGACTAGGAGAAACATCTGTAACAGCAACAAATGCTAGGTGCGGAATAACGTCTTTGCCTCCCTAACTCACGAGGAGCTCGTTCCGCAGGAACCAGGGTCGATCCAGGGCGCTGTACAAGAATTCATATGTGCACCAACGTCGAACGCGGGGCCCCAGGCAGTGCCGCAGCGCAGCCTCTGCAGCCGGCATCGCTCTCGACGTTTCCCCAGAAGCTGTGCTGTTTGTCGCACCCACGCCTGCCACATCCGTCACCGCTGACACTGGCCCCGCAGGCGCTGCTGAGGCGACCCCGCCGGTGCCAGCACCTGCCAACGGAAGCCAGTGCCAAAGACCAGAAGGTCAAAAGGAGGAAAAGAATACCGACCCCGGGATGGCGCCAATGCCCACGCCCAGCTTAAGAACGCTGCGCATTTCTGTACAGAACCCCAACTTCCTTGCAAAGCCCTGGCCCTGCACGACTAGCATTAACCATTATGCTCTGCTTGACTGGGCAGCTTTGCAATGTTGCGATGCGTAGGCGAGGCTAGATACACAGCAAATAACCCTCCAGTTTCTTACCTGTTTGCGTCGATGGAACTTTCAGCGATTCCCACATAGGGGGCAGGCGCTCGGGAAGCGACTTGCGCCGCCGTGTCCGCCCAGGGAGTGGCTGGTTCGCCGCACGAGCGGGTGGAAGGCGAATACTGATAGGCCCTGCGCTCTGCGACCCCGCTGCGTGGCTTTGCCCACTGCCGCCAGTATGTACCCTCGCCCGCCCCGATGTCGGCGCCGGCGCCAGCGCCTCAACGAGCGGGCCCAGCCCAGGAGCTGCACCAGCCTCAACGCTTGACAAAGCCACTTCCTTTTCAGTGGCTGCGCCCACAGCGGCAGGCGAAGGACGCTCACCCGCACGCCGACTGCCAGGTCCGCTATTCGCAAGGCGGGCAGACCCACGGGTCCTCACGGGTGGTACCGAAGCTAGGAGAGCCGCTGTGTTGCTAGCCATGTCGGTGATATGGGTGCTGCCCCCATCTTCTGTGGGAGGCGAAGCTGCCGCGGACGCCTGCGCTGGCACCGAGCCTGCAGCGACTGCTTGCGTCGCTTCTGCCGCCGCTACTGCTGCAGCCACCGCAGCAACAACACTCCGCACACCCCGCCCACCCGTGCCTTCCTCCTCCTCCGCTGCTGCTGCCGCCGCGAGAGCAATTGCCGTAGGCTTGCGCTTGCGGACTGGTCTGCCTGCAGGGCCCGGGGACGTTGTTGCTGCTGCTACTGCGGCTGCGGCCGCTGCTGCCGTCGCCGCTGCGCCATCGGGCGTCGCGTCACTTCCAGCCCCTGTGGTTGTCTCACTGGGTGGTGGCGCAGTAGCATTCGCCTCCCCGCTCGCGTCCGCCGGAACAGGTGGCGATGCAGTGACTGTACCACGCTGCTGTGAGCTCGTAGGCGACCCCCGCGGTTCCTTCTTAGGCCTTCCTCCAGACGCCGCGCCGGTACGACCAGACGTGTTTGTACTCGCAGGCGCCACCGCCGCAACGGGCGCCCCACCACGTGGCCTAGGGCTGCGAAGCCCCGTAGCATTAGCCATAGGTAAAGCATCGGCTGTGGTTGTGGCCCCCGCTGCCGACGACGACCGGGCCCCGCCTTTCACGGGCGTTCCCGATGGGGTTGGCGTAGTCCGCGATCCTCGAGCCCCTGCATAGCAGTGTCAACACGCCGTGATTCCGATCAGGCCGACGATAAAAACGCATGCTCCAGGACCAGGACACTGCCTTCTTCAGTTACAGCAAACCCGCAATCGTTGCAGCGCATAACTGCCCACGGTCGGTAAGGAGAACTACCTCGCTGTCGCTTTGGTGGCGTCTCCTGCATGTGCTCCGGCGGTTCGGGTTCTGGTGCATCGTAGTCCGGGTCGGCGGTGTTCGACGCAATCTCAGCCCCGGTGGGGTGGTCGTCCAGGGCGCTGGTGGTATGCGCGCTAGCACCACACGCTAGCGAGAGGAGGGCATCCACACCCTCGTCGACGTCCGTTATAGGGCGACCTGGTGGTAAGCAGGAGGCACAGGAATTGGAAGTACGGCCCGCGCAATGCAGTTCGGTACGGCTTTGGAGGATGTTGGAACGTATGTGGGCCCACCGAGACTCAGTTACCCCTTTTGGACGCTAGTCTGGGCTGATGTGCGGTGTTTCCTGTTCTCCGTGGCTTTTAGGCGTATAGATATTGCCCTTGGGCCTTCGGCTCGTATGGGTAGTTTTGCAGGTATGGGGTCACGCACCCCCCAACCATGTAACACACACACACACACACAGTTCGATACGGCTTTGGAAGTAAGGCAGTTCACAAGGCGGACAGTTCCCTTTGCGATAGTTTGTTAAAGTAACGGCTGGACAAACACACATTGCCGTAACCATTCCAGCTAACTTCACTCTCGACAACAGCCCCAATTCCCAAGATCCAGCGTTAGCACCCGACACAACCCTAGCCAGCCAGGCGGTGACATGCCCGCACGCGCTTGGAGCGCAGCAAGACGCATGAGCCCCCCATAATCCATTACCTCGCCAACGGTCCAAAATAGGTGAGCGATAGCGCGGAGCATCCTGTTCGCCAGTGTCTTCAAAGAGGCGGCGGCTGCGCTTGCGCTGGGAAGATGTCCAGTCCCCATTAGGAGGCGAGGGTGGCGCTTTGGCCACCACCTACAAGGGCATCGCAGGCTGAACATTGATGCGACAACCCATTGGCATCACACCAGTGCATGTCCAGCCTGGAGCCTCAAGTGTAACACAGGGGAGAAGCACAACGCGAAGACAGGCACACTTCTTTTTTCACCCCTGCAGAGCCTCATCATAGCTGCAAAGCTTCGGCAAGCAGACCTGCCACAGCGCAATGATTCTACCTTCGCTCTGACGCTTTTGGGCGTGGCTTGGCTTGCCTTTGCCAGGCGGCGTGCCTGCTGCTCCTCCTCGGCAGCAAGCCGTTGCGGAGTCGGTTTCGGTGTCCGTCGGGGTTTCTGCAGCGCAACGTAAGAACCTGCTTTACGTAGCATACTTTGCTGGGATTCAGTAGATTTCGCACTATCAGCTTGCAGCCTTCGGACAGCTGCGGCTGTCCCCAGTAGGAAGGAGTTGAAAAAGCCTTTTTGCCAGCTATGCGCGTGCTTCGTGCTGTAATGGAAAGCTCGTTAAATGTTAAACATATGGCGAACACACCGCACCTGGCTGCTACTGGTCGCGACCTGGGCCTCCGCTTCCACCACCTCTCCGCGACGAGGCCTGCTGCTACGAGCCATGTCTTCATCCTGCATCTCATCCCTTACAAGATTCTGTGTTGCATGGTAGTGGTCATTCACCATCGCCAAGAACGCAGTTTCAAGGTCTGGACTGGCTGAAAGGCTGAGGAAAGACGTGTGCTGCTTGTGCAACATCTCGCACTGCTCAATCGATAATTTGGTATCCTTCGACATCTGTTGCATAGCAAGTGGGCGGCAATAGGCGTCCGGCTCCTGGTTGGCTAGCTGGCGAATGGGCACCGTCTTAAGTTCGGGCCCCAACAGACAGCGTAGCCCACAAGGCTAGCGCTCCGCACCTTCGCCCAGTTCGGCGCTCCATGCTTATGGAACGACCGGTAGAATTTCCTGAGGATATCATCCTCTAACTTCAGCGGAGGGTTCGCTCCAGCCATATTTCCTCCTGTGATTGGCTGCGCCCAAGGAGCCGCTCTGCTGGAACCCTCCAAATCAACTTTTGGACCACCTATAATGGTATACTACGTGTCTTGGGTGGGTCCCAGCATGGCCAGCAGTGTGCTGTATACATTGCCAGCTCTTGCGTGAAGGAGTTGTGACAGTGACGCGTTGTTCTTTGATGAAAGTCAGAATAGGTAGAAAGATAGCACTATGAACCAAGATGTGTTTGGGATTGACTTGCTGAGTGAACGGAGAAGTCATTGGTACGACCCCCTTGTGGCAAAGGAAAGGTACTCAGGATTCCAAGAGGCTGATGAGAAACGCATACGGGTCGTAAGCTGTACAAAGTCAGCATGGACAGCTTGTGAAGGTTGAATGATTGGGTGTTATTGCTGTTTACTTGTTCCAGCAAAGTGCACCACTTCCGGATACGATTTACGCATAATATACTCCTCGGACTGTGACTGTGCCAGGTGAATGTGTCCTGCCATGTTTGCTTGCTGCGGATAGGTTCAGACCTGTCAACGCGAGCTCAGCTGTCAAGGTACAGGGAACCCATCCCACTACAAACGTCAGGCACAACGGGTTATTGGTATGATTTTTCATCCTTTTGCTGAAGCTCTCTGAAAAATCTTGAGGCAGCGGCAACTTACTTCAGTGGTTACTGACTTCGATTTAGCTGTGTCGTCTTCTACAATTTAACGCCCCCCATAAGAAAGTATGGCAATGTAGCTTTGCGGATGGCATAAGCTGTTTACCTTGCAAGTCAAGCGGAATCTTGGAAGCACTTGGAGTAAATCGTACAAAAGTGTTCAAGTTTTCCAACTTTCCAAGGCGTTGTTCAGACATAACGTGGCATCAAAAAAGATACACTTATGACGGGCTGCTCTTTTCAACTAAATCGCACAACTAAAATATTTGTAAGCGTGTCATATTACATGCGACAAGTTGTGCAGACGACGAAATATAGCCACAAAATGTACTAACATGTACTAAGGTATGTTGGGTCTTTGTTGCCATGTGCTGTCGTCGCAAGCATACAAAGCCCTGCAAGTGCAACGCCGTTGCTTATAAAAGCCATCTGAACCCTGCGGATTGCTTCATACAGCTCCTCACAGACGACTTTCCTTGAGCACTAGTTCGATTGAGTGTAGAGAGCCCATTTCCGCCAAGGCCAGCGACATGTTGCGCAGGCTCTCACGCAAGGCAACACGTTTGATCGTCCTTACAATACCTATTTGACAAAGATAGTCTCCTTGCCATGTGGATTTGGCAGTTCCAAAGCAATCCTGTTGTCACCCATCCTTTAAGATTTTTTTTCGGGCGCAGTTTATCGTACGCCGGACTTGTGCACAAGTGTTGAAAATGACAAATAAAAATCACACGCTTCAGACCCCACTAGGTTGCCAAGGCAACAACCACCCCTGCATGCCCATCAGCCGGCGCATCCATCAGCACGAGGAGGGCTGCATTCTGCCCGTGATCAGGGCCGGCTTCGGCCCGTACGCGAGGCGATAAGCTTGGGAACTCGCCACTCGCGAGCTTGGGAAACAAACAATAAGCAAAACCATAACATATCTCTCATGTGTACACTTCAAAAACTCCAACGTCAAAACTTCATCTGTCAGTCAGTATGGCCTTAAACGGCCCATCCAACGTCCTCCTGAACACTCAACAAACGCCAGAGTACGAAAGCCGCAGGGAGAAAGCATTGCGCCTGGAATACGAGTGTCACCTTGAGCCCATGCGCAGGACCTACTATTCCCGGTTTCATAAACCCTTCAAATCTCTGACTGACTCTCAACTCACGAACTTCCCCTCAGGCTTTAGCAGTCACCATTACCACCACCACCGCCGCCACGAGCAGCAACAGCACAAGGGCCGGTTAGGCTGCTTCTGTTGCCCCAGCAAAAGTGCTCTTCCGATTGGCCGTGAGCGGGTATGCCCTGTAACGTGAGGGCAACACACGGTCTGCCGGCAAGAGCGAGCACCACACTGGCCACATGCAGGAGTGTCCCCCCCAATCGCTATGCCCAGAAGCACCAGACCCCAGGTACTCCCATCCCGAACCCTAAGACCTGAACGACGCTAGCCCGGCAGGAGCAAATTGCATTTATCCATGAGTCCATTGAGCACAGCCCCAGGCAGCAAAACCGCGTCGCCCCGTTGGGACTCGGACAGCTTGGCACTTCTGTGCCGTTGTCCTTCTGTGCCGCGCCGTCCGTAGCGGCGCGGCGGCGTCGGATATGGTCCCGAGTTGTATCCAGAGGACAAAATCGAATTAACCTGCCGTCAATCAACGGCGCAGAGCTTGGCAGTAATTGATCCCTTAGGCTCTTTGCCTCACTCCTTTCCGTCGGCGCTCAAGACAAACAAGCCAAGCAGCTCTCCTTGCGCGTAACATTGGCACACCGCTTTCAGGCTACCTTTCAAGGCCCTAGACTCGCAAAACACCGTTGCCGGTGGGCCTGGGGGAGCGCACTGCGCTTCGACCACTGCAGCGCGAGCGCAGGACCTGCTGAGTGCAATCCGAAAACCCATTCGCCTCGGGTAAATGCGTCACCTTTTGTACAATACTCTTCTTTCTCTGTCTCCACCACTCCTTCCTCTCCACCACTCGCTGGTCCCGTCACCGCCATCAGGCAAGCAACCTCGTCCCTTCGCTCAATCGCTCGTTACCTGAATGCCGAGGGACCCTGAGAGGTCATCCAGGTCAGCTCGGGGAACTGTTCCGCTGATGCCAACACGGCGCGCCGGAGACACGGATCGTCACCTGGCCCCAAACATTAGATGCTAGTACGGACACGCACCTTACCAGAAAAGGTTTAACGAACACAGACAACTGTGCCACTCATTGATTAACACCAGAAAAGGACCGCCGCTAAAGCAGCCATATGACGAAGCACCCTCTCCTCGTTCTTCCTCTCGACCACTACCTACAGCCTACCAGAAACCCAAAACGGCCCAACAGGTACAACTAGCGCCACGGCCTCGTTCCCTAGCCCGCGCTCAAACCATTTACGCACAGGACCTCCGGCTCAAACAGTTTGACCCGAGAGCTGCAGCTCCTTCTTCTCCAGCTGCAACACCTTAAGGTAGTTCTTGAGCAGCATGAACCCAAACAGTGCAGCCCCTACGAAGGACGCAGTGGCGCCCGTCGTCAGCGCCGACACCGACAGCACCGTGCCGATATTCACCAGCGTCGAGGCAGCGAGGGCCGCTGCAATGACACGCTGCCAGGCCTGTTTCGCGGAACCAATACAGGGCAACGGGGGAGCATTACGTGAGCACGGGATGAACACTTGAGAGCAGCAGCATGGCCGCTAAAGGGAAGGGAAACGGCGGGGAAGCGCACGCCGGAGAAAGCAGTCACTATAAACACTGACTGACTGACGGCCTCCCGATGTAGTCCGGCATTGTATGGATCGCTGGCCCTCTTCCATGCAGACAAGCAGCCGCACCTGAACCCGCGTCAGCGCGCGCTCTGCTTCCAGCGCACGCACACGCAGCTTCAGGTCGCCCCGCTCCAGGCGCTGCATCGTAACGGCGATGTCGTCGATCTTGTTGGGGCCCACGAACAGGTTCTTGAGGGCGCGGTTCTGGCGGGAAAAAGGGAAATAGCGGGGAGTGCACGGTGGGCTGTAAAGCGGCGCCAAGGCAAGGAACTACAGGAAGCGCACATTGGGTTCAGCACGAGGCCAGCCAAGCCCTCCAGTCTGCTCGCCATGCGCGATCTCCGCTGCGGTTTCCAAACGCTCACACGACACATCGAGACAAAGCTGTGCGAGAATCCAACGCGCGAGCCGGTCAGCCAGCCAACCAGCTAACCCCGCCAAATGCACGCAGGCCCGAATAATAGTTGTTCGTTCGCGGGTGCTATGCGTCTCCGGGTTCATCATCCTCCACATTGGCCCTCTTACACGCCATTTCGCTAGGTACGAGACCAAACCATCCTGACACCCAGATGGCCGACCTGGTTCTCCAGGCCCTTCTTGAACTCGCGCTGCAGCTTGGAGCCCACCGGGTTGCCTTCCAGCAGGAGCTCCCGTGCGTATGGCGCCGCAATCTCCGAGATGTCAAACCGTGGGTCCAGGCTCTTCCCAATGCCATCCAGAACGGTGAAGGAGCGCACCACGAAGGTGAAGGTGGCAGGGAAACGGAAAGGCTGGTCGTTTGCGGCCAGGAGCAGATCCTCACCGATAGAAGCCAGGATCTGTCGGCGCCGCTCCTTCGCCTCATCCTGTGATAACAATCGCGCAATATTATTTTCAAGTCATCTTCATTATAATAGATGGATTATTGTTACAGGTCGATCGTGTTCCGAAGGCTATGGCGCTGTGTATCAAAGCCGGCACGTCACGCACCGCACGCCGGGGGCGCGGTCGGGCGGTACAGTCGCACGGAGTCAGTTTGGCGCCCCTTCCTTTACAAGAGACTAGGGTTATGGATGGGTTATATATACAGTCGGGACGCAATGGCGGACACTGGAATGCTTGCAGTGAAATTGCGCAAAAATCTCCAAGACAGAACAACCTTCTCCCCAGACGTGTCGCTCCTCCCTGAAGGATCCCGCACTCGCCTTTGTGCGCTGGGGCTTGAAGGATTTATTGTAGTCGACGCCCTTGGCCTCGCGCTCCGCCCGCTGGGAGTCCAGCCGCTCCTGAAGACAAAGGAGCGCAAGGAACAAAATACCAAAGTAAGGTTTGAAGCTCACTTAGCAATCCAACCATTCAGTCAACCCGCAGCCAGCCAAGCGCCATGCTGTGAAAACAGTCAGACAGCCGTATCCAGCGGCATAAACCGAACCAACAGCCTAGAGAATCGACGAATCCCCCTTAGGTTGGGCTTGCGAAGGAGGTAGAGAGCCGCGCCCCATTAGTCGAGGCAGGGGCCTCTGCGCGGCGCAGCTTCCAGGGAACTCTTAGGGTTTATGGCGCACCTGAAAACCCTTCAGGAAGAACTCCGCGGTGCGGCGCACGGCGGTCTTGTCACCCGTTGGCAGGTACACTCCCATGGTGGTCAGCGCCTCCAGACAGCGATCCGGATCCCGGTTGTACACGCCTGCAGAGTCGCAGCCGAGCATCAACGACGGCATCAACGGATAGCTACCATGGCTACAGTAACAGCGGCAGGCTTCGCGTCTGTTCAAAATGCCACCCGTCCTGACCAGCTCGCCTGTGTCTGCAGTACTCCGCATACGCATCCGAAACCACCAAGCCGCACCCGGGCACCCACGGATGCATTCCCTCGATTCAATTCTTCAGATCCTGAGAGGACACCATCCCAGACTCCAGCGCAGGGATCGGACGGCCCCTGCCATTTCCCCTGCCATTTCCCCTGCCATTTCCCCTGCCATTTTCCCTTCCAGTTCCCCTGCCATTTTCCCTTCCAGTTCCCCTGCCATTTTCCCTGCCATTTCCCCTTCCCCTTCCTTCCCTCGCACCATAGAAGAGCTCCAACAGTCCGGACTTGACCTCGGGAGCCAGGCTGCCCATCATACCGAAGTCGTAGTAGATGAGACGGCCGCCGTTGGCGGGGTCGACTGCCACGTTACCAGGGTGCTGAGGAGCACATCGCAATCAGGTCCGGGAGTTAGAACGAGTTAGGAAAGGGATACTCGCACGACCGACCCATGGGCGGACCTAGAAGAAGGAACAGAACAGTAGGGACCGACCCAGCCTCATTCGACAAACTCCCCCCCGCCCAGCCGGTAGCCCTGACGGAGCGCCACTCACAGGGTCTGCGTGGAAGAAGCCATGTCGCAGGATCTGCTGCAGGTAGGACTCCACAGACAGACGCGCCAGGCGCTTGCGATCCAGACCTAGCCGGTCAATAGCTGGACCATCGTTAATCTTGGTACCTGCAGAGCCACAGACCGGATAGGATATGCGAAGATATGGGGTAGCCAAACTAAAAACGAAGACTAAGGGGCCAGGGTTACAGCTTACGAATGGCTCCAAGCGACGAACAGTCAACCACGGGCATCCGAACGTGCAGCAAACACACACTCAGAAGCAGAAAAACAGATGATTCACTTCCTGAAGAAGAAGATTTTGCATGCGCTTCGCCGAGGTTTTGACCGTGTGGTGCGGTGCCAGCAGGGGTGAAGTGGGAACATAGGCCAGGACCGTTGACGGCCGCTCGTCCTGGTGTCTCGTGGCGTCGTAGGCCTCCTGACCAGAATGCATTGGGCCCTTTGCTTCGGGGGCTTGCCAGCTGCAGCAGCCTCCAGCGCACCCGGAACAAAGCTCCATCTCATTGCATATCAGATTTCGGTTGGTAACCTCTACGACCTGTTGCCATACGCTCATCCACCCACCTGGCACGTACTCGAGCACCAGCACCTCCTGCCCGCTATACTCCCAATACACCTTGGGTACTTTGACCCACTCCACGTCTGCGAAGTTCTCACGGAAGCGGTCCGCGTTCTTGCCCTCCAGCCTGCATGCAACGAGCCGTGCGGGGCGGGGCGGGCTTGGCGCAATGCGTGTGCGGAGCAGCAGAGTAGTTGTCGTGGCAGAAAGCGGCGGGGGGGGGGTTCATAATGCAGGGAGGGGTGAGGCACGCGCCTGACCCGCCTGGGTTCAAATCCCCCTCTGCCTCTTTGCTTTGATCCCCCTGTGTCGAGACTAACCACAACCCAGTCACACATACACGCGGGTCTCCGCACCTGTAGTCGATTTCTTGGTACAAGATGCGGCTGCACTCGTCGTAGATGGCGACCCAGTCACGCGCCGCGCCGTCCGTCTTGGGGTCTACCTTCTGCAGCCACACCGCCAGTGCGCGGATGTTCTTCAGGTCGATGTCGAAGAGATCCTTGAGGCCGGGACGCTGAACCTTGACCACAACACGCTGCCCGCTACGAAGGCGTGCAAGGTGCACCTGCATGCAGCAGTTGATAAGCGGTGCTTGATTCAGTGCACTTCGTTAGTGCTCAATGGTTCGTCCACCGCCAGGGATCCGGGCTGAGTATCTCGTGCGTTTCCCACAAGAAACGGCTAGGCTCCAGGACTGGTGAAAGCGCGGGGCACCTGGCTTAAGTGCTTGATGGAGAGTCTCACCTGGCCCAGTGACGCCGCGGCGATGGGCTCCATTTCGAACTCTTCAAACACCTCTTCCACGGGCTTGCCGAGGGAGGCCTCAAGGATGCTGCGGGCTGCCTCCCGATCAAATGGGGGCACGTTGTCCTGTTCGTGAGGGGTGCCCAGGCGGTGGCCGCGCGACCATGTGGCGATGGTGGGATGGCAGCGAGGTGGGCAAGTTTGTCAGGTGGGAAAGGGCGAACAGGGTAGTTCGGCATGGGGAGTCATGCACCGCTGGTTCCATGCAGCTACGTGACGGAGCCATGCGGCTGGTGGCGCGGGGTAGTGAATGGCGAGCCATCGAGGAAAATTCGCTGATGATGATCATGCCGCGCAGTGTGTGCCCATCCCCTTTCCTTGCCTTTTTACCTTGCCTATATTGCCCGCAGCTTCCACTGATCCATTCCCCCACTTCCCGTGTTCAGGGCTACACTGTTCAATCCATCGGCAACTCACCGTCCGCATATCCCTTTCCCTTCATCCGTTCCATGTCCAACCTGCCCTTACAGCCCCCTTCCCTTACTTGCCTGCAGCTTCTCAAGCTCTTTGACAAACTCCGGTGACAGCACGTCCACACGCGTGGAAAACTGCTGCCCTATCTTGATGAACCTGATGAGGCCAAATACCGGCCGGCAAGCAGCGACAGCCATCAGTGAGTGGTCTCCCCTCATTTCCAATGCATGATGTGGGATAAAGAAGGCGCACTTGGTTGCTTCTCAGGACAGCACGGTTATGATCACAGTCTGCGGCAGGAGCATCCGGCCCCATCCATCTATCCTAGCCTTTCGCACACACCCCTAATAACACAGGGGTTCCCGTCTGGGTGTGGTCTTGAACCCCTAGAATCCTAAACCAGTCAGGGAAAGGACGGCGAGGGGAAGGGGTCAATACCTTGCCCCTCCAAGGCCCTTCAAAACCACCTAGCCAATGACATTGCAATTGTACAACGGACAACCTGCGTGCGAACGCGGGGTGCCTCTAACTCACGTGGGGCCCAGGCGCACCAGCCCCTCCCGCAGCCAAATCGCCAGCTCCTTCTTGCGCGCGGAAACTGCCTCCGGAACCATGCCCTCCTTGCCGTACGTAAACTTCTGGTTTAGAAGCACGTAGCGCCAGGCGAACTGGAACGCGAACGACCAGATCTCAAATGTGCGCTGTGCAGGGCGGGGAGCGGCGGACACATGCGTGTTAGCATCCGCTGTGTTAAAATGCTGCAGGAGGGCTCCAACCCCTGAGCACCCCTCAAACTCAATCGCTGTAATTCGGCGTGTACTTAATCAGGAAAGGAAAAGCGATCTCGTTACATCCCGGCAATGCCGAGGTGACAGCTGACCCTGCGGCCTGCGTCGTGCAGCGGCGAGTGCACCCTACCACGGGACTCAGGAAAATGCGAGTACGTGGAACGGACTGTTGACGCAACCTCCACGCCGTGAGGAAACACGTCCCCTTAATGAACGTCCCCTTTCCACACAATGCGAGCCGCGCCAGCGCGCACGGCAACAGCTGCCCGGGCCAAATGAGGCACGGACACCTCCAAACCCCCAAGGTTGACGTTAAAGTTTTGTGAGCGTGAACACGCTTTGTCGAGCCGGCCTTTCCACGCCGCTGTGGTATATGGAAGGGAGTGTACCACAATACGCTGCACCTATCATGGGATTCCTCTCCAAAGTCCTTTTTGTTGCGTACGCACCCATCGCCGTGCATCGTGGGCTCTCACCCCTTTCATATTGCTTAAACAGGACGCAAGGGTTTGTCAACACGTGGGCTTCAACCCATCGTATAGCTCCCCAGCAAGGCTGAACTTGCGCCTTGTCTCAGCATTCGACCCAAATAGAGAGGTGTTGTGGTTCGCTGCTTGGCCGCTGCCTCGAAACAGTATTTTAAAAATCCCCCGCATGAGCGCCGCGTGCACTGCGATCTATCACCAAAATGCCTGTTTTGTCCTTCTGGTGCACCTCGCCATCTCCATGCAAGGCTTCCTCCCTGTTGTGTCCTGTTGTGGGTGAAGACGCACCTGGAAAACGGAGTACGTCTTGAACTGGCTCCATCGGCCGCCTGGGTTACTGTACGGGGTACCCGCCGCGGTCGTGGGTTTCTTAGCCTCAGGTGCTGTGGCGGCCACAGTCTCTATCTGTCCACCTGCTTGCGGGTCCATGGCGTTATCCAGAGAGACAGTCGACATGGGCGCCACCTCGCTCACTGGAGGGCTCGGAGCCGCAGGCTTGCTGGGGGCCGCAGGGGCGTCTACCGGGGGGGAGCTGGCGGCAACCACGCCGTTGCCATTGGAATTGCTGCTGGTGCTCGCGTGCACACCGTTAGTGCTAACACCATTTTCCTTGCCGTTACCGTTCCCAATTTCGCTCACACTGGCGGTTTCTGAGCTGGTGGAGGCCTCTGCAGCGCGCGCATCATACAAGATGGTGCCATTGCCCAGATTTGCCGAATTATAGACTGTCGAGTCAAAGTCCACGGCCTTGCTTTCCGAAGACTCCTTTGGATTTGCCTCGGCCAATTCTATCACGGCGGCCTATTGAAGCAGTGGAGCGCCGGCAGAAATTGTGCTGAGAGTGACGGACCTTTCAGAAATGCAAACCAAAGCGCGCAAGGCGCATTCTACTGACCTCTCTCACGGCAACGCGATTGCGTGCACCTTGACCGTTCCATGGGCGTGGAGCGACCAAGCGACGAACAGGTAGCGCGGTGCCAAGGTGACGGACAGTGCCGCCAACCCGCCCGAGCCGCGGTTGCATGCAAGGCAACATGGTTGTAGGCTGCTTGAAAGCGCAGTAACGCGACTTACACCTAGGCGAGTTTCTTACGTCTACTGTGCCAAGGACACCTAAATAATGTGGCAATATTACAGGTCCAGCGGCATCCCTTCGCTGCTAGTGCAGCTTTGGAACGTAAGATTGGCGAATTCCGGTCGCAATGTTCAGGTCCAAACGACGCACGGGGACCGTACGACATGGAAGCCATAAAGATTTTTTTCCAAGGAGAAACGTTGCTCTAAAAAGCGCAACTGTTTCATGTTGATACAATTTCTAAAAGATCCTCCTTTTCCACATCGTCATGCGCGATTTCGCTTCCCCAGCGCCAGCCGCGACCTGGAGGCTGTTGGTGCACCTCTGCCTGCCGCACTCGCGCCCTGTGTGCCTGCACATACAAACGATATAGAATATTATGCACTGAATAGAGATCTGTAAAGATCTTATGTTCTGCCTACCCGCTATCGTGGCTTGCATTAGTCCAGAGCTTGCAGCTGAGCGCGATGGCCTGTTTGGGTCGTCGTTCGCTTCTACCGCCTGCACTATAGCTACGCCTATCACTTGATTGCCCGCAGCTGAATCCTGTCCCATTCTGCTTGGCTCGACCGACTTGCCCTGTGAAGCCTGGGCCAATGTTGTCTCTGGCTCACGTGTGGGCATCTCACCCTTTCCTGCTGCTATTGCTGTTGCCTGTCCGAATGGCTGTGCCGCTGACAAGGATCCCAGCGAGGCAGGCCCTCCTCTAGATACCTCGGGTTCGTCTGTATTAGCCCTGCCTCCAGTTGCTGCGGGCAGCACTGGTTCCTTCTCCTGTCCTGTTCCTTGCACCAAGTTCATCCCGGCCTTCTCCTGGGCGCCGGCACCAGATTGCCCAGCAGTGATGGCCGATGGCTGCCCCCCTATCGAGCTTATGGCTACTGCGGCGGCCAGGCAGCCATCTGGATTCGCATACTTTCGAGTCCATTCTTCAGCTCGGCTCCGAAACAAGTGGGGGTGCGTCTTCAGCTCCCTGGCCTGCAACAGGGCCAATATGGCGCATCAGTTACGCGAGGTAAAGAAATGTCGATGCACCATGTGGCTGCCTTTCCATTTTCAGCCGTAGCCCCTGCATCAGGAGTTCAAATTAGCGCAACCCCGCACGCGCTAGTGGCAAATGGGACACCGCCTGTGAAACCCGGACACCGCTGAAGTCACGCCTGTCAAGTTTGGACAAAATACTTACAGCGTCGACGTCCAGGGGATCATCTGGGTTTGGCTCCGAGAGCAACGACTGAATACTGAGTAGCACGGTCCGCAAGCTGTGAGCAGGCGTCCAGGTGCCCTGGCGTGGTTAGAAATGGTGCCCATATATATTATAGACAGACACCGTTTAGGCTTCACAGTAAGGCGTGAATTCAAAGCTGCCAATTTCAGAAAAAGGTCGATGTTCATCTTCTTAACATGGCAGCGGCAGCAGCTGTGGAACCTGCAAGCTGTCGGCTTCGCTGAAGAAGCCTGTCGACACCTGTCCCTTCCCTTCCCTCACATATGTTTGATCTGGACATATTCCTGGGTTACAACCGCACGCGTACTCCGTACTCTGATCACCATACCTTGGGGGGCATGTTGAGGGTGCTCAAGCAGATGTTCCCATCATGCGAGATGTTAGGATGATACACCTGAAGGAACGGGTGCACATACGGTGAGCCAATATCAGTGAATGAAAGGCCTATGTTCTATCAGGTCCCTTCTCAGGTTACGCATTCTTCGCGACATCTCACCTTCGTTTTAAACTTGACGTTTGGTGGCTCATGCGGATACCTGACAGCAACCAATAACCGTCGTTCGGGGTCGTCCCGTGCAACCGAAGGGTCCCAACTCGCATGCGCACCGGTCAGGAAACAATATCCGTAGCTGGAAGAGGCCTCCGGCATATGGCGTGCCTTCCGGCCCCATGATTTGCGCCTCAACAGTTGCCGCATTGTTCTCGCAGGGAAGCCAGGCCGAGATACCAACTGGGGGCCCGTCCAAGAGGACCTTTACATCATGCGACATCCGATTAATGCTAACTTTGGAGGGCGCCATCGGTGGCTTGGAGCAGGACAGCAATTAGAGAAATGCCTACAAAAGTCTGAAACGAGCGGGCGGTATGTCAGCTCTGTTTCCAGCGCCTCCTAGTATATGAGCTCAAATAGTGGAAATAGCTGAAACAACTGAAACCCCTTACGATGCCCAACCTCTATGGAAGCCGAGTACGAAAGTCGTATTCCTTGGACCTGAGTCGCTCGCAAACCACAGCTCGTGCCGAAACGGGCCACTCTTTTCACAGCAATAACTGAAGGGAACTGCTGGTGACTATTTGATATGCGCTACCGCTTTGCCTTCGTAGCCCCTCTTGGACTGGGCAATGTGCTTGACTAGGGTATAAAATGGAACATTTTCACTGAAGAGACGAGATAGTGGGCCCCGACGGGTAAAAGCTGAAATGGCCTACGCCTCAGGTACGCATGGAATGACATAACCCAACTTTATCGAGTTTCGCGTTACTTTTTTGTCTCCAGCTTACTGGGGCCTCTTTAACCTAAGTCTTGAAGTTCTGCGTGGGTTGGGCGTGGGCTGCTAAGTTGTGGGCACCGCGCCCCAAGACTTGACCGTCAGTGCTATTGGTCTGCGCTATGCCAAGCTGATTTACCCAAACATGGTTACATGCTCTTTGACATCAGGCGAAAAGCGGAGCGGTGCTCCGTCGTTAGGCGGGCCAGGACCGCCTGCTAGCGGGACGAACATTGGTGCGTCCGGCCCGTCACCGCCATCACAGCCCCGGAAAAGCAGCGGCAGCAGGCCAGTGCTTAGCGCAAGGCCAACTACTGCCTCCAATGCAGGCCCAACGGCCAGCGGGCCGCTGGTCGCAAGCATGCTGGGTGGCAGCTACCCGTACCACAATCGGACCGCGTCGCCGGCGCCACAGCGCAACGTGTCGTCCCCGCAGCACCCTTCTTCGCAGCGCAGTACATCGGCATCTCTCCAGCGGACGTCTTCCAGCAGACGTAAGCTGAGCGCGCTGTGCTGGGAGCGCAGGGTAATGCCGACAGGCTAAATCGACTGGCGCTAGCACGCTCTTTGCGCGTGGCAGTTATCACCAGTTGCACGGGGCCAAGCGCAATAGCAGAAACGTGTTCTTCGATGAGGATTCACCCGGGCCAGGCCGACATTGGGCCAGTTAAGCTAGCGGCAGGGCCGGCCCCAATATACCTGCTGACCGGCACGCGCAAACCTCCTTTCGCCCTCCGCCCTCCGGCCTTTAATGCAATGCAGAACGGAGCTCCCACGGCCAGCTACCGGGAAAGCCGTTCTTTGCTGCGTACGGACTGCAGTACTCGGGCAACGGGCGAAGCGGATCGGGAATGGGTAGCTCGACTAGCCGGACATCTGGGACCATGAGTCCCTACCGCAACCGGCCCTCCTCATCCACGGGGCCGCCCTCCACGGGCGGAGCTCCGCCCGGGGTTGCATCGGTGCCGGGCAGGCCCTCCACGTCCCAGGCAACACAGCGAGCGGCGGGTGGGTGCCTGTCCAGCGGGAACGTAGGACGAGTCCCTTCGACGGCACAGTCGCTCTGTGTCAACTGGAATTCCCTTAGTCGTGCTATTACCTAGGATATCCTAGGGGCGTTTTTTGAACGAGGCGGGCTTTGCCCGAGAAAGCTTTCCTGAAGAAAGGGCTTAGCGTGCGTAGGAAGAGCCAGGCACAGCCTGCCCAGCACGGGTGTTGCTCCGTGTACGTGACCAATGTCCTGGTTTTGGGTTACTGTTTGCGCCACCGCGCTAGCGCCGTTCCCCTCGCTTCTATCTTCGCCGCCGACCGGTAGTCTCCTCTGCATGGTCCTGGCCCTCTTTTCCCCAGGCGAGAACTGGTTCGGAAATACAAAGCTTTCGGTGACGTTGCCGAACGAGGTGAGGCTGCGTGCTGTAAAAGTTGGCCTGCCGTAGGGGCCGGGGGCCCCCTGTTAGCTGCTGTCCATCCACAGATACAGAGAGAACGAGGTTGCGGAAGTGTATTTTCTGGGGCTCCTAACCGTGTCATGCGGTGGCGCGTGGCTCCCGGGCCGCCCTAAAGAGTCCCCGGCAGCTGGTCCGGTATTGATGCGGCCCCTTGTTACTTTGAACCGAAGGCGGCTGGTGGCGAGCCGCAACTAGGAATTGGAAGTTCACACAAGCTGATCAATAAGAGATCGATAGCTCCATTTCTTGGCGTTTGGGGCTCACCTGCAGGTCACCTGCAAGTTTTCCTCCTATGCAGAGACCCACGTGGCTGCCTGGCGTCTCTCTTTGCGACGTGCGTTGCGTTCCCTCATCTTCCCCACGTGCAGGCGGCCCGGGTGGTGCAGGAGCTGGGGCAGCTGTTATCCGTCTTCGCCCCGCCCGCGCCCAGCACCGGACCGCCGGGGCCCAAGGCACCGGGTAGCTTCCGTGCCAGCAAGTACGTCAGCGGATCCGTTAACAACTCCACCTCAGGCATCGGCGCCGCTGCCGCCGCGGCAGCAGCCAGCGCTGGCTCTAACGCGCACAAAGAGGCCTGGGGCAGCAGCGGGGCAGGGGGCTCGGGGGATATGATGCTCAGCGCGAATGGCAGCAGCGCTCTAATGAGGCCCACAAGTGCTGCCAGCAGCACGGGCAGCGCCTCCAAACCCGTAATGGCGCAATTCGTAGGCGACGGCCGACACACACACGGCCAGGGCGCGAACCTGAGCCTCATGAGGCTGCAGCAACAGCAGCAGCCGGCGGTGTACGGTAGCGTATCGGGCGCTGCAGGCATGCTAGCTGCCGCTCCTGGAAGCGGATCCCAACCGTCGCCCTCCCACTCCCACACGCAGCAGCACTACCAACAGCCTTCCTACGCGCCTGGCGGCCCTGGGCAGATGCATGGAGGCGCATATTTGCCTTCGGCTTTCCTCAACTACCAGTCGTCGAGCGCCAACGGCAGTAGCAGTCCATCGCAGCCGCCGCCGCCGCCGCGCCTGAACATGGGCATGGTCGGCAGCGCTGTCACCATGGCCAGTAGCCTACCGGAGCCGGCGGGAGGGAGTTCGTCCCAGGTGACGTCGCCGACGAGCTCTCCCCACGGGATACCTTCCTTGCAGCCCTACCCGCAGCCGCTTCAGTTTTCGCAGACCTACCCCCACAGCGTACCTGGACCGACACGGTTCTGGGAGGGACCTTCTCCCGGGGCGGCGTCAGCGCCGCCCATGCCGTCGGCGGCCGTTTACCCGCCGTCGCATGGCTACATGACAGGACAGACCCCAGCTTATGCGGGAGCGGTACCGGCGGCATCGCAGGTAACGACGCCGCAGAGAACTAACAGCGGTGGTAGCGGCAGCGCCGCCGCTGCTGTCCAGTACCACTATCTGCCGTTCGTCGACGGGCAGTCCGGCTCAGGCTCCGCGGCGGCGGCGGCGGCAGCGGCACCGGCCTCTACAGGCGCGTCGCATGGTTATACGACAATGACGGTAGCGTCAAGTCCTGGGGCGGCAGCTGTTTCGTACGGCCAGGCGTTGGGCTTGCATGGGTCGCCTTCGCCGTCGACGGCCACGTACGCCGCCACGGCGTCCCCATCCTTATTAACGTCGGCCGGTGCGGTGGCGGCGTTGGGCACGCACCCGCCGCCGCCGCCGCTGCCCGTGCCTACAGCCCTGGGACCCGTGCCGCACGCTCCTTCTTCGTCCCTCGCACCGGCCTCCCACAGCGCGCCGCTGCACTTCGCCATCCCGCCGTCAGCTGGCGCAACCATCGGCGCCGGCGGGGTTTTGTACAGCCCCGCAGGCAAGTCCGTCCGCGACTCGCTCCTTGGTATGACCAATTCCGGAAATTCCAGCTCGGGGAACATCTCCAATCCAAGTCCGAGCACCAGCGCTTCCCAGGTGCAACCCCTGCCGGGCTCTGGGGCAACGGGCATGGCTGGCTTTGCCGGCGCATCGCCCTTCTCCACATTTCCTGGTGCCGCGGCAGCGGTGGCGGCGACACCGCCGCTGAGCTCCTTCCGAAGTTCCGCCCTCGCCAATGCACCTCACCCCATGGGTCTGCCGCCGCCGTCGCCGCTGAAGATAGTTCCGCCGACGGGCAGCGCCCCGGGATCGGGCCGCGGCGCTTTCATCAGGTCAAGCTCCTCACGCTCGTCCAACGGTTCCGGTTCCGGCTGCGACAACGGTTTGTACTACAACGGTACACTACTGCCGACGGTGCAAGATGTGGAACGGGAGGATGTAGCCGCTGCTGGCGGTGATTTCGGCGGCGGTGGCAACGGCGCAGCAGGACAGCCTCCCCCGCAGACCCCGATGCGGCCCACGTACGGCAGCGGCAGCGAGGACGGCGCCGTTGTGAGCTCTGCTGCGCCAGGGACGGGGTACGGCGGCGGAGCGCAGGCAAGCGGTGCCGCTGGCGGCGGCGGCGGCGGCGCTCACGTGACTTGGGCTGCCAGCGTCACGCACGGGTCCTCGGCGCCGGGCACGCCGACGCGCATGTACAACACGTCCTACAGCGACCTCGCAGCCCGGCGGGTCAGCGCAAGCCAGATGGGCATGTTTGACAGCACCTCGAGCTCGCCCTTTGCGCGAGGCTCAGAGAATTATTCTCGCGCCCTAATGGAACACGGCACTCTCACGTGCGTGCGGCCCTCCACCGTACCCTCCAACTTTGCCGCTGACAGCCAGCCCGACCTGGGGAACTACGGTGAGCTTCAGGGCTCCGGGGATCAGGTCAGCGGCGGTGAAGCCCCGGCTAGCGGCGGCGCATCAGCCTCCGTGTCTGCCTCCATGGCGTCGCCGACGTGGACGCCAGGCGGCGGCGGCGTTGCGACGGCATCGTCGTTGGCGGCCGCTACCGCCGCCTCTTCCGCGCACCAGCCCTGGCGGAGGTCCACCGAGAACGTGGAGCAGGCGGCAGTAGCAACGGCGGCGGCGGCGCCCGGATCAGCCGCGGCCTCGGCGGCGCTGCAGCACCAGCAAACGAGCTCCTCGACGACGGCCCAGGAGCAGTATCAACAGCAGCATCGGGGGGACATGGCCTCCGTCTACTCGGGCGCGTCGGCGGTGATGTCGTCTGCTTTCGCGACGGCCCGGGAGGATGGCGTGTGGGGTCGCTCCAGAGACTCCACGCCCGTCAGGCTGCCGCACGGCCATTCTTCCGCAACTGCGCCAACAGCCTCATCGCAACAACAACAGCAACAACAACAACAACAACAGTATCCGCAGCAACAGTATGCACAGCATCAATCCCCGCAGCAGCAATATTCCTTGCGCTTGTCTCAGCAATATGCTGACGCATTGCGGCAATCAGCGATATCAGCCGATGCCACAGTGACGACGACGATGGCGCCTCCGGCAACGGCGGCGACGTCGACGTCGACGATACCGCCGCAAGGATACTCTGCAGCCGCCGCACCTGCAACAACAACATCATCTGCGGCTGGGACCGGTACGTCAGTTCCCGTGTCAACGGCGACGTCTGCCTTCGCGTCCCCATCGGCGATGCGGCAGATAGACATGTCGCCAGCTGTTGGTGCTTACTCTGCCGGCGTCGGCGGTACGTCGGCGGTACGGCAAGCTGAGAACGTCACCGTCACCAGCAGCAACCTCGCCTCCGCCACCGCCACGACCAACAGCCACTCGTCTGCCCCGCCTACTGCCGTTAGCCCATCAGCACCACCTGCTGCGGCAGCAATGACGCCGCCGGCGGCGGCAGTGGCATCCTCTATGTCGGCTGGGGTTCCCGGAGACCAGTCGGCGCGTCCTCGGTCCGTGATCCCACAGCCGTCACCGAGAAACTCACCGTGGGCCGACGCCAGCACCGCCCGAGTCCAGTCCACAGCAACCACAGCACCTGCGCAGTCCACACCCACAACCTCAGCCGCTGCCGGCACCACGAACAGCAGCGGCCACACGACCGGGGCCCCCGCTGCCGCCACCACGACCACTCCGGCCGCCACGATGGCAGCATCCGTTACCACGCCGGCTGCTGCGGTGCCCGCCCCCGCTGCCGCCGCCTCGTCCTCACCCGCCGCTTCCTCCGCAGCGGGCTCCGCTGTCAGTAGCGGCAGTACGAGCAGTGGTACCGCCAGCAGCTCAGCGGGGTACGGCAGCGGCAGCGCATCCGCTTCCGCTGCGGGAACGTCGTCATCCTCGTCGTCGGCCGCGTCTGCTGCCGTCGCCGCGGCGGCGGCCGCTGGGCTGCAACAGCACTCGTCCAGCCGGCGGAGCGGTAGCATAGTGGGAGCGCGCTTCAACCCCGCCACCGTGTTGGGATCCGAGCCGGACGCCACCTTTGGCAACTTGCTACCAGGCTACAGCGTGGGCAAGGTCATCGGCGAGGGCGGTTTTTGTCAGGTAAAGCCAGCCGCGATAATGGCTCCTACGCCCTGCCGCGCAGCCTGCGTACTCCGCTCTGTCTCAGAAGTACGCCGCTTGCTCGGTGCTGCATGCTATGGGACGTGTTTCCCATGAATTGGTTTGTGGGGCACCCGGGGGCCAGTGCTGGGGGTTATTAAAGTACAGCGGCACGTGGTGAAGTGTGCTTTGTGGGGCTTGAGGTGGCTCTGCACAGCGGCACTGCTCCGTAGCTCCCTGTCGTATTGTACGACACTTCCGCAGCGATTCGAATTCCAGCTGCACGCTTATAGTTGGCTGGACGTCCGCTCCCTCCTGCCCATAGGGAGCGCGTCTAACTGTCTCTCCAGACGTCTCACTGTCTCTCCAAACTCCCCTTTCCGCTCCTGATCTTGTCTATGTCTTGTGTCTTGTCCTGTATCATCCACCAGTCCTCCAAACCTCACCCCCCTCGGCCCCTCCACGCCGTGGGCCTCCACCCCTTCGTTGTTCCCTACGTTGTTGTTCTCAGGTGCGTCTTGCTGTCCATCACCTTAGCCAACGCAAGGTGGCGGTCAAGGTGATTGACCGGTCCAAGCTGTCCGACCCCAACGAGGCCAAGCGCATGCAGAGGGAGATCCGCGTCATGAAGCACCTGAGCCACCAGGTGAGCACCGGCGGCGTTAAAGGGGGCCCCCCCCAGCGCGCGTCGAGAAGGCTCCGGAAAGGGGCTCGATGACCGCCGCGCCCATGCACGCCGGTCATGATTGCGGCCGGCTTGCGGGTGCTGGGGGCTGGACTGGATGTGCGGCCGCCAAGCGGCGGAATCCTGACCACACGATGCCTGTGTTGACGTGCTCCTCTGCTTCGCTTTTTCACACCTAGCACTTCAGTTCTTTTTTGTTCTTTGGTGCTCCGTCGCTTCCGCCGTCGCTCATCCTCCTCCGTCCCACACGCCCCACCGGCTGCCCCCGACTGGCTGAGCCTCGTGCAGTGCGTCATCAAGCTGTTCGAAGTGGTTGAGTCCCCGAGGCATTTGTTCCTGGTCATGGAGCACGCGCCCGCTGGGTCACTGCTAGACTACGTGCGCGCGCGCAAGCGGCTGCCGGAGGCGGATGCATGCGTGTTCTTTCAACAGATCGTGTCGTCGCTGGAGTACTGTCACTCGCGGGAGGTGGTGCACCGAGACATAAAGCTGGAGAACATTCTGCTGGACACCGATCAGCGAATGAAGCTCATCGATTTTGGGCTGTCGGCGTTCTTCGTGCCCGGCAAGCGCTTGCGAGTGCACTGTGGTTCACCTTCCTACGCGGGTGGGGAAGGGAAGGAAAAGGAGAAGGGAGGGAGAAGGAAGAAGGGAGAAGGGAGGGAGAAGGGAAGGAGAAGGGGTAAGGGAGAAGGGAGGGAGAAGGGGTAAGGGAGAAGGGAAGGAGAAGGGAAGGAGAAGGGGTAAGGGTGTTATACGCAGCAGCTGTAACATCCGGATGGCACCTGATGTTGCGGTGCTTGGTACGATAGTGCTGGCTGCTATCTGGGAGAGCGGAATGGACGGCAACGAATACTCCTGTTTCTTTTCCAGTAACTCCTTCCTTTACCTCATCTACACGTTTACTGTGTCCACCCCGTCCCACCCACCCTGCGGTGCAGCCCCCGAGATTGTGGCTCGGAAGGCCTACGAGGGGCCCCCCGTGGACGTGTGGTCTCTGGGAGTGGTGCTGTTTGCCATGGTGGCAGGCTACCTGCCCTTCCACGCCAGCGGAGGAAACAAACAGGTGACATACGTACATACATACGGGTGGCCTGAACAGCAATTGGGTGGAGCGATGTGCGCCCGTAATCCTTTTCCTTCCGTGCTCGTTCGGATTCACCCACGGAAGATGTGCTTTAGAGTGATTTTTGCGGTGCGCGGAAAATACCGGTTCCGCGACATCTATATCCGGGTCGTGGGAGGGGGGAAAGGCCGGTCCTGCTCATAAGTGCGCTGGCACGGAGCGTAATGTGCTGCTGCCGCCCTCGGCTGGAAGCAACACACCTGCGAAACAGCTTCCTTGGGTTCTTATTCCGCGCTTGCCTTCCTGTCTGTGTGCATGGATGATAATCAGGAGCTCTGCAACAAAATTATCGCGGGGCAGTACACGGCACCTGACTGGCTGTCCTCTTCAATGAAGGACCTGCTCTCCAAAATGCTCACCACGGATCCGGAGAAGCGGATCACCTTTCCACAGGTTGGTGCAGGGCCCGACCGGGGTCCTGGTCTGTATGGGGTGCTTGTGCCCGTTAGCATAGGAGGGGTATGAAGCATGGTGACCCAGCAAGGCACCACAGGGGCATATCGCGGCGAGCAACACCACCCCGCGGCAGGCTCAACATTGGTGCACCGCGCAGCACGGCACGGCACGGCACGGCACAGAACCTGGATTCCTGGGCTTTTCCAGGCTATCCCGACGACCACCGCCAGCACAGTTGCCTGTTGAAACTTATGAGCACTCTCATGAGCACTTACGGGAGAAGGAACGGATGATGGATGAGCGTCGATGGACGGCGGCGATGTGCAGGGGGGCTTCTTGGCAGCTTGTGGGGAAGGGACAAGGGTCCTCGTGGCACTCTTTGCACACCTATACACTTGCTACACCTTTGGAGAGTAACGCAATTCAAGGTGTAAAACACACACACCCATACACACACACGCACGCTACTTGTATTCGCTCGTGTCAGCATGCAATGTCCTTGATAATAATTTGCCTGCTGCTGCCGTGTCCTGGGGCTCTGCGTGGCCAGGTGTGGCAGCACAGCTGGGTGCGCAACGGCCCGCAGTGGCGTGAACGCGGCGTCAACTGCTACGAGGTGGCACCCGACCCGGCGGCACCCGGCGGCGTGCGCTGTGACGAGCAGATCGTTGCGGAGCTGGAGGTCTCTGGCTATACCCGGTCCGCCTTGGTGCAGCACCTGATCGCCGGTGATGCCAACCACATCACTGCCAGCTACTTCTTGTTGTGTGAGGCCAAGGCTGACGCGCTTCGCCGCATGCGCGGAAGCACGCCACGCGGCGGGGGCAGCAGTAGCAGCCGCAACAGCAGCAGCGCTGCAGCCGCGGGCGCAAGCTCCTCGCGGTCGTCGACGGTCGCGTCATCGAGTACGACAGCCACAACGGCGGCTGCGTTTGCAGCATCTTCGCAGCTGGCATCGGCGGTCGCCAAGGTGCGTGCGGCGGAAAGCCCAGGCCGGGGAAGCAGCACCAGTCGGCCGTCGACGGCAGCGGGTGGCGGCGGCAGCGGCGGCAGTGGCGGGTATGCCTCCGCACGGGGCCACCGCACGCCGCATGCTGCACACCAGGGCGAGGAGCTGGGCATGAACGCCGGCACGGGTCGTATGGCGGTTGCTGTGTGAGCACGACTGGGGGTCTTGGCCGCTTGCGTGGGATTTGAGTGCTTATTACCTTGCCGGTGAATGCGTATGCTCGTTTGTTTTCCCCTGCGGGCTTAGCAGTGTCGTGACGGACATTACATGGCAGCGAATGCATTCGCATGCTGGCAGCCGCGGCTCCATTTGACCAGCTGTCGTTGACAGTCGTGGGTGTCCTCGGGTATGTATGTCCGTATGCATGTGTGCACTTGTACGATTCATCATGCCTCCGGAGTATCGTGTATATGCTATCTGTTCGCAGCTGTTTTTGAGCTGCGGGGTCTTCGGTGCTCTTTGTTTGGTAGTGAGTGCATGTATGTGAGGGATGAGGGCGGCGAGGGCTGTACTGGGACAAAGAGGGGGAGCGACGGGGTTTGCCGAGGCGCTGGCGCATGCTTCAAACGCTGGTCATCCACGGGTGCCTCGATGCGAGAGATGAACCACAAAAAAGCGACGCAAGTTTTTAGTTTTTTAGACGGGAAAATGGGTGATACTGATGTGGAGGGGTTGTCGGGCTTGGCTGCTCCTTTCTAGGAGCTCACAGTACAGGCGCTGGGATGCGCAGAGGGTGGGCCCGCGGCCCGTGAAGGGTCTAGGGCTTCCAAGCTACGGATCCCATCGTTTCTGCCTGGCAATGGGCTGCGGCGGTGTGGCACGGACGACGGCGACACGGACGATGTGTCTGAGCTTTAGGGTGGCTCTGAGCTTTAGGCTGTTCGTTTTCAAGGTGCAGTACACTGATAGGGCAGAACTACAAGGCGGGTTCCTCTGGTCTTGCTGCGGGTTCCTCTGGTCGTGGAGCCCGAGGGGACTGTTTGTGGGTGCCCTATCGACATTTCGTGTCTATGGAACGGAAAGATACACATAGCAAGACACTGGGTTGCTGTGACCTGTCTGAGCATGCATCTGCTTCGGACTGCGACTGGCCATTGACCTTTCCACCCGCAGCGTGCAGCTGTGGCCTTACAGTCTGGTACAGCATGGTACGGTATGCTCGGTGATTTGGGTTTTAGGATTTATGCTGAGGGTGCATCTCTGCTTTTTTGGTGCATTTCCGGGGGCATCTGCTCACCATTTGGACTGACGTATGGTTGGTTTGTTGGCTGTGGGTCACCGACTCGCTGGCGCAAGGGTTGCACTACTCCGCCCATGCACTGGACAGCCTTTGCGGAAAAGGACCACGACTGGCGGACGAACAAACAGATAAGCACTAGACTAACAGATGAAATAGTGAGGCCGACCAGAGCCGGCGCTGGAGAGCGACAGACAGTTGACCATCATTCAAACTTGCTGTGGGATCTGCAATGCAAGTTCGTCAAGGCCAGTGACCTAAACCCATTTGTACGCGACCTGGACATGGCTGGGCTTAATTGGATTGATGCATTGATGGCCGTCCTCGTCACCTTGCCGGCATGCAACCTAGCTTACTTCCTGTCAGGAGCAGGGTGCTGCGCTTCACCCGAGCTCGGTCCATTTCTTCATGCTCTTCTCGGCAAGTGTTCACGGGGCCCGTGTTTGATTTTTCGAACTGCTGAAGATGTCGATGCCTGGCGACTGGACGTCGTCGGCGCGGCTTTGTGTGGGGGTAACGTGTCATCTGTCATGCCATGGCGGGGTTGGGGGTGCAAAGCACGCTCGCAGCTAAGGTGGCGAGGATCTAGTTCGTGTAACACCGTGCGACGTGATGCAACTAAGCGATGGACTTGAGCCTGCTTTGAGCAAGGCAAGATCCCTCTTATCTGTCTTTTCTATCCAACACTTGAGTGGTCCGTCTCCTCCCTTGTCACCGGTACCTAGCTCATTATGACGCGGATTGCATTTGCCTGACGTGCCGCTGCCTGCTCAGAGCATGGGGGCGCCGTGCGGTTGGTGCCTGTGGATTTCTTTGCGCATCCAGCTGCGTGCTATCTATCTAGGTTGTCTTGGCTTACGTTTATTTAGTAGGAAAGCTTCTGCTGCATTCCTGCGCGCGTGTGTTGTGCGTGGGCGCTGAGATTCCGCCGAAGCGCATTAAAAATTGTAAAACATAGTCGACGGTCCGGTTGCGAGGTTCGCCATCGACCCTCCTCTCCGCCTTGTATCGACATGGGGCGGCCGTATCAACCCACAGTGCACTCTCGCTGTCCTGCAGCGTGCGTCTTTTCACGCTAATGCGCCGTGCTGCGCATCGCGTCTGACTTACACTGTCATAGCCACCCATACCTATTACAGGGAATCCTGCACTCGCAATAGGCGCCCAAGAGAATTAACGTACAAGCGTGTCCCTCACAGACCACGCAACGCATCCTTACAAGACTATGACTGTGTCGTGTGCCCGGATGTGGCCTAAAGGTGCCACAGCAGGTCAACGCTCTGGCCATCGGTTCGCCTTACGTAAGCAAACAGGTACAAGGCTTCCACGGAGCGACCAGGTACAAGCCCACGTGGTATCGCCTCCGTCGCAATCAGGCATAGCATGCTGCAATCAAAGCTTCTCACTGGGCGCGACAGCGCACCTGCCACAACATGAACATGATAGCTCCAGCGCCCCCTTCGAACAAACCCCTCAACGTACACCCACCCCAAGTGTCAAATCCAACACGTCGACCCGGCCGTGAAGCTCCATCACGAAAAAACCACCGACAATCGCGGCCGCCAGGAACTGGATTGCTAGACGACGAGGTTGCACCGTTCGTCCATTTAATAGCTGCTGCTCCGCGTATGTGGCGATTTGTAAACGTTACTGGCGCCCCTATCGGTGGTAATAATGAATGGCAATGCGCTAGATGCCAATCGTAGCTGTGGGGATTGCGGATGCTATGGTGGGTTGCTATGTCTGTGAGTCGAAGCCAGCTGCTACACCTACTACCGCTGCTGCTGATGATGATACTGCTGCTGCGTGGACCGACACAGCCGCACTGTTGTGAGCGCACCGTGATGCCACGACTAAAGCGCGCCGCTGTTCTCGGACAACATCGTCCCGGTGCCTTTGTCGGATTGAGTTAGTCGGCACACCGCGCACCGGCCCCAATCCACGTATCGACGGCAACGGGAACTGAGTCGGGCAGCCTAAGCGGCATCATGTGAACGTCTGCGACGGTAGCGACTTCAGCCAATCTGGGGAGTCTTGGCCAACACGACAACGCAAGAGGTTGCCAATGGCCGCTACTGTTGGCCATTTAGGCTCCGAGAGTTCCCTGACAATTTGGCCTTGAGGCTGGTTTGCGAATGGAAGGGCGCTGATGTGGCCCCCTGGCTGCCTCTGGACGTAACCTCTACCGCTATGAACTCGAGGGGGTCCTCAGGGAGACGCTCGCATTCATACAGCTTTTCAATAGCGCTGTTTAGCCTCTCCATTACCTGAGGAGGTGCATGGGCAAGGCAGGACGCAAAGTGGATGGCAGAACCGCCCTTGGCAGACGCAAGGGAGGCCTGCAGCAGCTTAGGGTCAAACCCTGCGGTTCGACAGAAAGGCGCCTTGCAGGCCATCCTTATCTGTGGTGATTCCCGCTTGGGAATTCGGCATGCTTGAAGCCTTCGAGTGTTTCGAGCGATCACAGGTATTATATCTCGCCAAGGAGGGACACCATTCAGTGGTATGCTAGCATGTGGAGGGCGCAACGAAGACAGCGCCCTCATGCTAGAAAAATGTCCTACTTGCAAAGATATACCTGGTGGCGCGCTAGATATTCTTTGAAAAGCCGTTTCCGCTCCAGAGCCCGTCGATACGCCTCATCGAACTGCTGTTTCGTGAACTCTTGCAAGTTCGCGTCTGCCATTTCCGCTTAGAAACTTCCAAATGTGCCCCAAGTTTCTATGCTAACAGCCGGTAAATTCGCTCACGGTGTTGTCGCGACGTAGTAACTAGCCACCCTACGAGCGAAGCGAAGCGACAAAGAAACAGAGCAACTGGCCAAATAAAAGAGTTAGAGTATGGATTATTTATGGCAACATTATCAGCTGTTGTTAGGCTTGCGGGCGTTTAACCTTAGAGGGGAGAGAACTCCAGGCCGACTGCTAGTACACGCTCAACCCACCGGTAACCACGGTGTTACTTGCGGCTGCAATTTCGCTTAATGCTTAAGCTTTGCCTCCCTATGTTTTGGACCCTTGGGCTATGAGGCCTCTTGACGTTGCGTAGGAATTTCAGGACGCGTGCCACGCAGTGCGGAGGCAAGTGCTTCGCATCCTCAAATTTGAGGAATCCGTGTACCGATTAGATGCTTGCTCGCTCATGAAATTTTGTGTTCTTGGCTCCTGGTCTGGTCTCTGGTGGAGTCGGTGGGTAGTTGTACAGGACTAACCCCCATGGCCTCTTGCCCTCAGCCTCAGTTTTCTACATACTTCGAGGAGAATTTGAGCGGTGTGTGCATTTCTTGACGTGTGGAGTCAGCCAGGCGCAGCGCATGGAACGGCGTCAGGATCCAAAATGAACCCCTAACTGTACGGCGTCTGGACGGTTGGTTAAGCCGAGGCGACCCACAGCCACTTATCTTATTTTTTCACAAAACGCATTGTTTGCTAAGGGATCGTTTTTTTAGTGAGCTTTAGCACCTCAATATTGATTTTGGTGTGATTGCCTCAAGGCCATGGTGAGATTTCTTTCAGGCCTAATCGCTACCCAAATCGTCCAACAAAAGCCTGGTATTTAACTTCTTAGGAGTTATCTTCTGGCATATTATTTGTGCTTTGCTGAGCGGGTTACGATGAAGGTTCAGCGGCACCTGTTGCATATGGACCCGATCAGCTGCTGTCATCGCCGTGTCGCTGCTCGGCGGATTTCATTACCACAACCGCGGTCAGTGATGACAGCGGCAGCGGTATGCCCAGCAGCTTCTCCCGCAATAAGACAGCTGCTCCCTCGTCGCGACTGGCCCCGGGTCGGGTTCCAGTCGTGTGCTCCATCACTCACCCAGGGACAAGCTCCGTTTTGGGGGTTTCGTCAACATATCACACAGTACGGCCGCCGCCGTTCCCGAACCTGGAACTTGCTGTGTCGCGCACAAGGCAGATCGGAAGCTAGCAGTAGTAACACCAATGGCGTTGCCGTGAGTCAGTACCTCCGTCGCGGGCCCTACTCCGTCTCCCCTCCGGTGCAGCTGCGCTTCCCCGTGGGACAGGGCCGGTCGGGCGCCCTCGACTGCTCCGTGAATGTCTTCCTGCCCCGGGGTAAGGCGCAAGGGGCGGGGCCGGGGTACGCGGCCTCGCTGCAGGACTTCGAAGTACCCCATCGTACCGCTTTTGAATGGACCCGGTCCCCAACCTCCACCACCACATTTTGCATGAAAATGCATGTTGCATTGGTAACCAATCCATGGCTAATGTGACTCGACGTGAAAAACCTGCACAAGCACATCACGGCTTTCGCAGTACAGGCTAGGGCAGAACCTGAGGACCAGTAAGAGACCTTTACGTTACGAGTGTCCTTGCCGATTCTTCCATGCCCATCACAGCCTCCATGTTACAACCCTTCAAAGGGCCTTTCCTACCTCCGTGCTATGCACAAGTTGCTCTCGTTGCCCCAACTGTACGTCTGGTGTTCTGGTGTTTGTTTGTAACCCGCTCCCATGCGACTCTGAACCCATTTCGCCGCCCGCTTGCCCTCGCTCCGCGGCCCTGCCTTGTCTCGCCGTACGCTGAAGGCGACTCGCAGACCGGCGCTCAGCAATGGCCATTGCTGGTCCTGTCCGCGGGGTTCCTGCTGCACAGCGGTATGTACGGGTCGTATGCAACCGATCTGGCGTCGTGGGGCCTGGCTGTCGTGCTGTACGACCTGCCGGAACTCGTGGATGACGTCATGATGGTCAGCGCCCTGGGGTGAGTACTAGTGGGGGCTAGGGCTGATGCATACACTAACCGGCAGTAGCAGTAGCGGAGGAAGTTAAGGGGGTTATCTAGAACAGAATGATGCACACGATAGGTGCAAGTGGTGGAAGTGGTGGGTTTCGAGCTCACAGGGTTCAGCGCTAATATGTGCCGCTCTGCGCCCAGAGGAAGATGTGGTGGGGTGCGTTTTGGCTGCATGCGTGCTTACATGAAGGGTTGCCCATCTCTTAAGGAAGGGGATATATGTATTAAACACGTCATCTGGCTGCTCGGCACCTGGCGCGCCTCTACCCCGTGGTGACGTATTTCTGCCGCGGCCACTGCAACCATGACCTGCCAGGTCCATCCTTGACGCGTGCACCAGCGACCCACGGGTCAGTCACTACGTGGACAGCCGGGCCATTATGCTGGCGGGCCACTCCCGCGGCGGAAAGCTGTCCGTCCTGGCTGCCGCCCGTGACCCACGGGTCAAGGGGATCGCCCTGCTTGACCCAGTCGACGTGACCAGCATGACGCCGATAGGTAGGTAGGACATCACCCGGTATCTCTGTTATATCAAGGCGCCTGTAGCCGTAATTTATGTAAATCGGTGCGTTGGGATGCATCCAGCATCCAGTCGTCTTCCGCCAGCTCCAAAGGTACCTCTGAGCGCAAGAGCCAATAACCATATTCTCCAATACCATCCTCTCGCAGCACGCGGTCGCATACGCGGCGGGAGCAACTTGTTTCCGTACCTCCTCTCAGTACTGGGACGTGCACCCGTGTCGATGTTTCGTTACCCTCCGCCGGGTGAGGCCCTCCCCGTACTCCCCCGCGTCTGCAGGCCCGGGCTACCCCTCCGCCCTGCCCGCCATGAGGGTAGCCTGCGGCCCTCCCCGCAGCATCCCTACCTTAATCGTCGGTGCGGCCCGCAACACCGGGGTCATCCCTGCCGATGCTAACTACCGGTGAGCTGCTGGCGGTGGAGGGGAGGGAGCACTGCAACCTCTTTCAACCTGACGCGGTGTTGGCGCTTTGACACCTTGCACCTTAGAGGCAACGCCGTAGCGAAGCCGTCGAGAGCCAAAGAGACATTCTGCGGGCTCGTTTTTATTCGGAAGCTTTCACGGGTTTCTGCAAGGTTACGAACATTGCCATTGCCGCACTGCATCTCGTTTCGCCAACGAGCTGAGGACGACGCCATGTTTGCCGCCCCTGTACCCTGTTGCCGTCCCGGCCCTTGCCCAACCAATCAACATCCACCGCCCACTTCAGGCGCTTCTTGGCGAGCTGTCCGGGCCTCTGTTGGTTTCTAGAGCTCACAGGCGCGGGCCACCTGCAGTTCCTGGACGCCAAGGTCAGGAACCTTGGCAAACCTTGCGGACTGGGGATGTGTCCTCCTATGCTCCCCTTGCGCTTCACGTTCGTAGTTCAATCTGTGCTTTTACGAAATCGTTCATCTACCGGGAACAAAACCTTTTATAGTTCCTTTTGTTTGCGGTGCAAAGCCCAATTTAGGCGTTGTGGGTGATGAGGTGGAACTTGTGCAACAACGTATTGCTGTTTGCCGAGTGCTGCAGGTGGACCTGCTAAGCGCCTTTGTAGAGAGCGGGCCCACGCCGGATGAGGCGGTACGGCGAGTCAGCAAGGCGGCCGTGCTGGCGTGGGCGCTGGAGCTGGCGGCGCCTCTGGCGCGGGGGGAGCCCCTAATCGGCCGCCAGGTAGACTGCGATGTGTTAAAAGTTGTCCACTTCGCGGAAATAAAAATGCGTCATCGAAGGTAGAACGCCCGATGGAAATCCCGGACGGTTTGCGAAGTATGGACAAGGTCTGCCGCTCGGCGCGGCTGTGTTGAGTGGCGTGCTGGTAAAGACTTTCGACCTTACTTGGCAACTCCGTCCCCAGGTGTTGGAACGGCTGCGTCAGGTCACAGCACTGCTGGGCCACCAGGCTCCGCTCTCTTGGTCGTTCAAGGGCTTCGACGTCTTGGGTGGGCCTGCGAGCAGCGGTGACACCAGGAGCAGTGGTAGTAAAAGTGCCACTACTGCCACTACCGCAGCTGCGGAAGGTACACGAACAAGCAGCAGCGGCGGAGGCGGCAACGGCCGAAGCACAGCTGGCTCATACGGGCCCGGAACAGGTGGCGCAAGTTCTCAAGAGGGCGATCACACGCAGCAGTCTGGCACTCGGACTGGGCCGGTGTCGGCACGGAGCCCAGGTTCGTCATCGTCCCATGCTATGCCAAGGACAGGTGGTGCGGAAGGCACATGAGCCCTACCGGCAGCGGGCCATTTGAAATCAGAGGGTGCCCTATATGTAGATATATGAAAGCCTTCCCAGTCACAACACCTTTTCTGGTCCGCAGCTGCCATTGCGGTATGCATATCGAGGGTGCTATAGGCACCCCATCCACCGCATTTCCTTGCTTTCAAGGTTCCGAACCAAAGTCTTTCCCGAAGGGGAACACCCCTACGTCTTCTTCCCCTTTAGTTCATCCCCGAAGGGGAACCCGTGCACAGCGCACGCACCTGATTACGTGAATGGAAACTCTTGCAGTGGAATCCCTACACGCCTCGACGGTACGTTCTGTGTGTAATTCTGGTCCGATGCCCTTGTCAGGCGACGGGAGCGGCGCTGCGCAGCGCAAAGGCGGTCAAAGCAGAGGTTGGACCTACGAGGACCTGATGCGGATGCGTGCGCGGGAGCTCAAGGCAATCCTGGTGGACCTCGGGGTGGACTGCTCGGACTGCTTTGAGAAGATGGACCTGGCAAACCGGATTATGGAGAGAGGGCCGTGAACCGGGCTGGGGCCGGTTGCATGGGCAGGGCGGACAGTGGCGGACTGTGAAATGGTTAGCATGTGGCACCGCCAAGCTAGGCAACCTCTTGACATAGTGAAGCGACACTGCTCGGCAGCCCTTACTGTCTGGCATTTCAAGGCAGTGGTGGGCAGCGGTGGGGTGCTTTGGGGGGGGGAGCAAGCTGATTGTGTGTTTCCACTGTAGCGTCATTCGTCCTTTTTTCCGCTTCCTAGTCCGATCTGAACAGGAACACGCGGAAATTCACCTCCTCCAAGCGCGGCGCGGGGAGGGGCTCTGTATGCATGCAATACATACCCTCATGCACAAGAAGCCACAAGAAATCTCTGCAAACACACAGGCGATTGCAAGCCGCTGCGCACTGGGCATAGGACGACCAAGACCGTCAACGTGGCCTCTGCAGGCCCGGGGAACTACAAGGCGGCCCCCACTAGGAAGCCCTATCTCGCCACGCTCTACCAACGTTGCGCCACCCGGATAGATACCCTGGAATCTGCCCTAGCAAGTGCATCGTCATCGTCATCAGCAGTAGCAGCAGCAGTAGATGCTTTTAAGCCCATTTCATCGACAATGCCGGCATCCAATACAGGAATGCCCCAATAAGTAAGTGAGAAGTTTGCAAACATGGTGAAAGATACCGTAGTCACACAACTGAACGCGTCAACCTGCTGCGAAACTCTGCATGTACTTCTCCCCCGAGCCCCTTTCCCCCCGTCACGTCCAGACCCTAGTTTTGCAGCAACAGTAACTGCAGGGAAGCCGGTGCGCGGAAGCAAAGGAGGCTGGTTCCTGTCCTGCTATTTTGGCGGCCAGCTCTTCATGAGTGCCTCCAACTTATCCTTCATCATATCGCGCGCCTTGATCTGTGGCAAAGGGAAAACGTGCGCGTGTCCATAATGGGATGTGGATCAGGAGAACGGCACCCAAAGAATGGGGACGTAAATAGAGAGAATTCCGGAATAAGGGATTTCGCGGCCACGATACAAACCCCAAACTGTACCGTGCTCTGGCACATTGTGTATAGGAACCGCTCCACCCTGCCGACCCGCCACATCTCCTTCGCACACCCGCTGCACCACAGTGGCACACCTTCTCATCGCGGTCCTTGAGGTCCGCCTTCAGCTTCTCAATCTCGCGGTGCGCTGCCGCCAGTTCGCTCGCATCGCGTTTGCGTTCAGCTTCCAGGCTCGCCAACCGCTTCTCAACCACCGTTTTCTCCTCCTTCAGCTCCTTGATTTGCTCCTGCGTAAGTATGGATCCGCAAGGACACATGCTCTTTGCTTGCATGAGAAATGACGCACGATCAGCTGCTGCTGTTTTTGCTGTTTTTGCTGCTGCTGTCAGCAAGATGGACCCCAGGAGAATGTCCACCACGACGGGCAGTCTTACCAGCAAAGACACCCGGTTCTTGAGCCACGCAACCTTTCAGCAGGAGGAGCGCGACTCACTGAAAAGACCTTAGGGTTTTAGAATTTTTTCGGCCGCCATTCAGCTGTTCCCGCTTCGCTGCTGTAGCCGCAAACGTACCCTCCTTCCCCCATTGGACATTGGCACACTTTCACAAGCAATTCCTCAATGTGAAGCTCACCGCCTGCTGTCGACACTTGAGCTCGACCTCAGCGTTGCGGCTGCGCAGCGCCTCAATGTCTTTCGCCTGCTGCTGCTCCGTACGACATGCCTTACTTAAGCGTTGCTTCTCATCCGCTGTGGCGACTGCATCACGCAATCGTTTCGTGGCGGCTGTGCCTAGATCCGCCCCACTGACCGCCGCTGCGATATCCTCCATGCTGTCTACCGTGGCGCCCTGCGGAGGAAGCGGCGGCTTGCTGACGGTGGAACCAAACGCCGTGATGGTGGAGCGGTGCTTAGCGCGGTTGGGGTTCGTGGCCGGGGCGGGCACGGCGGACGTCATCGCCTGGACGTCCATCACATCCCCACAGTCCTGATCCCCCTGGGGGCCGTCCACCGCGGCAGCGGCCGGCCCCATCTTGGGAGCAACCCCCGCTCCGCGCATTGACCGCCTGCATGGTGATCCCCAGGAGGCGAAGAGCTATGACAACAATGGCATTGGATGGACTCCCTGCTGCCATCCCGTGCGTGGTTTCATCACGTCAACCGTCGTACAGAAAAATTGGCTGGAAGGATGCCTTTCGTTCCCTGAATCTGAATCCAATCCTAGATTGCGGAGAGGCCAGCAGAGATACGAGGACCAGCCGCTCACATAATGAAGGTTCATGCCAAGACCCCAACATGTATTGGATACGTACCGGTTGGACACGTGAAGTTGAGGAGCAGGGCGGCAGTCGCGTAGAACAGTACACACGTGGAGCACATGTGGACCAACCACAACTCCAACCAGGCAATCCAGCATGGGCTTCGTTCGCAGCTGGCACCCAAGACGGCTCTCACCACAACACCCTTTACTGTCGCTCTTTCCCGGTTTTGGGAACGAAACCCGCTACGATAAGCATCCACGCCCCGACACGTGCGAACATATGGTAATCATCGCTCGACACGTCGCCCCACCTCGGTGCTGGCGGCCTCGACTGGGCTGCCGTCGCGGCCGTCCCCGTTCCAGCAACCCGGGGCTTTCGCCCGCCGCGCCGGGGCCCAGGCTGCACATCCTCGTTAACACGCTGGGTTCTCCCGGGAGCCTGCACGTCGCACTGGTCGCCGCCGCTGGTGTCCACATCCGCCAACGCTTCATGCGTGAACTCCGCTTCCTCGCGGCCCTGCTGCCCCACACCGCCCTCCGGGCTCTCTACCAAGGCAACCAGGTTACCTTTCCCCTTGGGCGCGCGAGTCACCGCCGCAGCTGAGCTGCCTGCCGCCTTTTTGCTGCCTGCGGCTGCTCCCCCCCGGCACCCACCAGCTTTGGGGGCCGCAGCAGCAGCCCCGGCTTTCTGGGCAGACATCGGCGCAGCGGCAGTGCCCGCAAGGATAACCCCAGATACGGGACTCTTAAAGCCGCCGGCCGCGGCAGCCGTGTCCTTGCCAGCTTGCGTCCTTGGTCGCAGCGGCAGGTCGTCCTCGTCCTGATACCCCTCCTCGGCGCCCGTTTCTGCATTTATGCGAGCCAGAAAGGTCATGGCAAGGGTAAAAATTTATGGATAGCTCTTTACAAACTGGATGAGAATACGTTGCAGTGGGACTGGTCGACTGTAGCCATTTGCGTGAGGAACTTGATTGTCTTTGTGTCCAAGGCGGCGGTTGGTCCTGTACACCGTATCCGGTCTCCCGAACTGGAGAGAGGTCGGAACCTGGCAGCAGCCGAGGCGCCAGAAATTGTACTGAATAGTAGCAGTGCGGCGTTGCCTGGGTGCTACTTCGTATGTGAATGTGGTGGCACAAGGCTGCCCGTGAGACATGAGCACGTGAGCCGCCCCACTTACCCTCCAGGAAGAGGGGCGGCTCGTATTTTGGGGGCGGCGGCTCCTCGACTTCCGGCGCTGCAAACGACTTATCCAGGAGCTGACTGTAATTCTGCAGGGCGTGAATTGGCACATCGGAAGGTTGTGCAAGCAGTTGGCTCTTGCTATGCGAAGTCCTTCCTAGGGGTAGGTAACGGGCCCGCTGCCAGGAAGACTGCTTACCCCACCCCAGCGCTTAGTGAGGTTCTCCGTCAGCGTTGGGCCGTTCTGTTTGCGTCTGCCTGGCTTACAGTCCTCGGGGTCCGCAAGCTGTCCGACGATCTGGCCCAGTGCCAAATTCATCTGCCAGATATCTTCAGCTGTCCTTGGCTGCGGGGCGGCTGCGCCCGTACGTTGCGTTTCGCCGTGTGTGGCTCGGCTGCCTGCCGCTTGAGCCTGCTGGCCTTCTGACTGCTTTCTTGATGCTGCGCCAGAAAAATCTTCGGTAACCACCTTAGCGCGTCCACGTCCTCGCTCGCTTGGACCTGGTTTCCCCGCTGCTCCGTTGCAGCCGGCTGTGGCTTCAGGGCCTTTAGGCATTCCTGACACTTTGAGATCTCCTACGTCGTCCTTAAGGGTGCCAGGGTCAGGCCTGGCAGCCGCAGGACTGCTTTCCTGAGGAACTTCCGACTCCTCAACAGCCGCGACTGGGCCATCACCGCCATCACCGCCTTCTGTTCTGTCCAATTCATGCTGACAACGTGGCTTTTGCTGCAAGTTGCGCACTTTGAGTCTCGCTGGTAAGATGTTTCCGAATTCGGTTCTTGCCTGTTTTTGTCCACCGAGCATGGTGTCTATGTATAATCCAGGAGAAGTATGGAAGTTGGTATCCTGGATTAACGATGGGTGCTGCTGAAATTGTTTTTCGTGGGTACGTGCAAGCTGTCGCAAACCGAATTTGAGTCACGTTCAGTTAGTTCGTGCCCATATTGGTCCAAGACGCGATATCCCTTACGACTCATAATATCCATCTAACAAAGAACTGTGTAAACTGATACAGGCATACCAAATACAGGTGGTGAAGCGCGAAGGTCCGAGGGTAACCGTGGCCTGAGGTACATGAGGTACAAGGAAAAGGAGGATCTTCGGCCGACCTCACTTATATACAGTAGATATGCAGTTTGTTCATATTGCTGTTCTCTTGCCATGTATGCGTCGCGTGCAAGGAGCCTGCGGCAAAACTGTATCTCCTCAGAGTATTGTAAGCTAATGTTAGTTATTGTGGCAGGCAGCCTCTTTGTAAGCCATTAGCTCCAGGCGTAATAGGTGAACGAGAAAATCTTATGCTATTCTATTTCGGGACAGACCACCGCTTGTGACGCTTGGTTTAGTCCGAACCTCAATCGCTAGATTCCACGGTTGCTGTGACCAGCATTTGCTGCCCGATAGACGAGGTGGCCTAAGTAGGCTGCGGACGCTGATATGGCATATTTGCATTCGGCCTCGCTCCTCCTTGTACTCGGCACCTACCTATTGTTTGGCGTGGCCCAGGACATCTGCAACACACACCACTGGGACCTCCAGGCGTTGCATAACTATTGCACGTTGGCTGGAAGGGCAACATACCGGTCTCCGGCTTGTACCATCTATCGCCTCTGCGACAGCGCCCCTGCAGCCTTGCCATCACTTGTGCCTGCATTATGCAACTCGGAGCGCCTCTTCCTAACCTTATGCACCGACCAACCAGAGCTGTCCGAATGCGTTAGGTGGGTCGTTGGAAGTCGTTGCCCCACTGGGACTTGACGGGATGTGCCCAAACCTTACAGGCCGCGCGTCATTCAAGGCATCCTGTTCACACAAATGTGCACATTCAGGACGAGGGCTTAGATGTATTTGGAGCGATGACCTGGCGCTTTGTGCGTGCATCGCCACTAGATGCGTGGCTATGCAAGCGTTGCAGCGCACGATTAATCTCCTGCCCCTCTTCTATTGCCTGTCTTGACTACACTCGCTTGCATCGTCAGAGATGCAATTTGTATTCTCCATCACTATCGCCCAACCGCAGATAGGTACGCCATACCCCGTCATCTCCGCTATCAAGCCCCATCCATACCCCCTCACACCTCAAACTGCAAAATTGTTCACCCCGCTCTACGCCAGTGCTGCCACGACAACAGCCCTCAAGAACTGCTACTGCTGCTACTGCCGCAACCATGATCCGTGCAAGTGCAGGTTTCGGAGACGCCTTGCTGTCGTCCCTGCACATGAAGGCTGCATAAAGCCCACAGCACTGAAGCTTTGGAGTACGCAAGCTGTGCAGAAATTCCTGGCTACCCGGTGCAGCCATGGCCTTGGCAACACCATCACCAGCGCCAGCACCATTGCCGCCACCGAGTGCGACCTCTGCACCTCACCAGAGCTGTGCGACGCATCCGATCCGCTGCGTAAGTCAGTAGAAGGAGTCCGCTGTAAGACAGATGGGGACGGGGACCCGCGTGGGCGTGGCTGGGGGGAACACTGGAAAACACTGGGATAGCCTTTCTCGGGAGTGTGGCCACGGCCGCGGCTGCGGCTGCGGCTGCCGCTAAGTTCCGTTCCGTGAGGTGTCGGAGGAGGAGGAGGAGGAGGAGGAGGCCCAGCCGCCTTTCCTGCCTGGGAAGACCAGTGCTTAGCGGCAGACCAGGGCCTTATCGCGAGATACGAAGCTCGTACGTAGCAGCAGTACGACTGGTACGATTAATAAACATTATGGATGCGGCTTTTTGCTTTCCTGATATGGCCCTCTAATTGGCGGCACTCCGCGGGTTACTCGTTGCCGCGTCCTCCCCCCAGTCACCTACACTACCCTCTGCTTGGAGGATAGCACCGCCGCGGGTTGCGAGCCATGGGCGGAGTTTTGTGCACATGACCCGCAAGCTGCGGCGCCGGCACTGTGCGTGCACCCCGGTGGATCGGCCTTGCGCACCGCCGTCGGGTTGCAGTCGTACCCGCCGCCGCCACCCGCCGACCCGTGCATCCTGAACTCAACGGACCCGTCGTGCAAGTCGTACAAGTACCCGGACAGTGCAGCGCTCGCCAACATCAACACTCTGTGCAACTCGATGCCGGACATGCCGGGATGCGCCATCGCCAGGGCATGTGCCTCGGTGAGCTGCTGAGCCACTGCCTACTGTTCTCAGAGGAGTGATCCCATGTGCGATCCCAAAGTTTTGCCAATGCCAGCTGCTGGTGTCCATTGATGAGCCATTGCGACGTCCCCTGGATGGAAACTTGGGTCCCTGGGCACGGGGGGCTGGGCAGGGATGGGCACGGAGGGGCAGGGATGGGCTCCATCACCTATTGAGGGAAAGGTTTTGTGGGGGATTGTGGGGACACTTAGCCGGCCGGCCGGAGCTAGGACTCAGAAAAACGTTCAGATGTGTACGTGTAAACCACAGAGAAGGTGGCGTATGTACAACTGTACGAACTTGCATCTCCCCTCCCCTCACTCCTCTTGACCCCCCCCCCAGGACCGGCGCCGTGTGTCGGACAAGTACTGCCGGCCCTTCGTGTTGCTGGCCACCCTGTGCCATGACATGCCGGGGATGCGGGGATGCGACAGTTACAAGCAGCTGTGCAAGATGGGCAGCGTGGTGGAGCAGTGTGTGGTAGAGGGACCTGTACCGCGGTGGGTGGTGGGCCGGGGGTGTGGGATGGGGGCGTGGGGGAGGGATGGGGGTGGGGGGGAGGGATGGGGGTGGGGGGGAGGGATGGGGGAGAACCGCCTTGTGTTGTGATGTCTGGCGTCTGTCGTGTCGTCTCCTGCGTCCGTCCTGTCGCATAGGGGGCCCAGTGGAGGGGGGCTACGGAGGGCCCCAGCGGCAACACGGCCCCTTCAGCGCCATCTTGCCCGCCCACCCAGTGCTTACCACAAGCTAAGACTCTAGATCAGACACCGCTCACACACCCTCCGCCCCCTTGCCGTCCACCGGGCATGTGAAGCCTTCACCTCCAGGCCGTCCATACCACAATCACCCCGCAGGCTCAAACCCGCTTCCCGCCGAACCTACCTCAAAACCTACTCACCCACCCATCAACCTCTCCGGACTCGCTCAGTAAAACCCCACTCCGCATAAACCCTAGGACCAGCTCCCGCCTTCACCACCTGTATTGCCTTAACGCGCCCGCCGCTGCCCCCCCTCGAGCACCCACCTCAGGGCGCCAACCACGTCCCAGGCCCGCAAAGCCGTGTTCGGTGCGTGTGCTGATCACCCCATGTCGGGCTGCGCCAACTGCACTTCCATGGACTGTCCGGACCCCCTGGCCTCTCTGGCTGCCATTTGCCACGAGATGCCCGACATGGCGGCATGTGCGGGCTTCTGGGCCTTTTGCGAGGCGGCCGGACAGCAAGACGTGGCGGAGTGGTGCAGCGAGGATGATGATAAGTACGTAGAGCTGGGCTGGGGGCGCTTGTGGGGGGAAGGATGTGTGGGGTGGGGGTGTGGTAGGGGGTTACCTGTGTTTTGGGTGGTGGGTAAGGAGGGGTTGGAGGTGCGGTGGAGTATGTGTGGGCTTGGGCCGCTGCTTGGGAGTGGTGTTGGTAAGGCGGGGTGAGTCTAGGGAGGGCTGGGGGGTTGGAGAGATGGTTTTGTGCAGCTAGCTGTGGGGCCGCGGGCATTGGGGGCTTCCACAATTGCGAGCGACTGGGGACCTGGCGTGGCGGGCGCCTGGGATCCCTTAGAAGGTGCTCGTTTGCGGCTGATGAAGGGCTGATGTGTAGCTGGCTAGTGTGGTGTGATGTAGTGTAGTTTAGTCCTGACTTGAGTGAGAATGAAAGCAATGAATCTTAACATGCACAGACATGCCGCCTGGTGAGTCATCCTGTGCTCGCCCACATGGTAGGAACAGGCTGCAGTACATCCCTCGTAGCTCTCTCCCCCCCCACTCCACTACTTGCCGTCTGTTACTGCCGGCCGCCGGTGCACGAATGGCTGGGTTATTCCCCCTCCTGGACCCCTCCTGGGCCCCGTGTTCCCCCTGACCTGTCCAACCCTCTCCCCTACTTGCATATAATCCCCGTCCCCCATTTGCCAGTGGTTCGTCTTACCCCCATTTGCCCGCCTGCCCGGCTGTGCAGGTACCTGCCCGCCATGCTGATGTACTTCCATCAGCGCACGCAGGAGCTGCTGCTGTGGAAGGAGTGGAGGCCCAGGACGAAAGGTATGCGACCTCCACACAGGGGGGCTCAGCGAAGAGGGGGGAAAGAGAGGGGGGGAGGACTGCTGGGGTAGGGTGGCCTCCTAGGGTAGCTAGGTAACTGGGCAGTTGCAAGTATTTTTTCATATGATACCCCCCCGCCGCGGCGCAACCCGTATCAACCCCCCGCACAGACAGACGCCATAGTTCTCTTCTCTGTTCCCGACCACCACCGCCCCTTGGCCCGTTGCTGCTGTCGCTTTTGCAGGCCAGTACGTAGGCAGTGTGTTGGCTATCGTGGCCATGGGTGTGGTGGCCACGGGCCTCAAGACCGCCAAGGGCGCACTGACACTGCAATGGAACCACCAGAGGGCACTCAGAGGGGTGGAGCCCAAGGTCATCAGTGTGTGGGTGCCACGAAGCGGGCAGGGGACGGAGATACTGGCCAAGGCGGCCATCACAGGTGGGGCGTGCCCTGCACTGCCAACCCCGTATACGCTAACCGCGTGATGGTTCCCGGGCGATGATGTCCGAGGGGTTGTCGGTGGTTTTGGAAGAAGCGTGCGGGCGGGCTGGGGTGTCACTGTGCGGATGCTCTTTGCCTGGTGGGTTCGGGCCTGGGCCTGGATCGGGGTTAGGGATGGTGGGGACTTGGGGCTTCCTGGTCGCTGGTTGCCTCGTTATCAAACAGGGCCCTGGTAGCCCCTTTCTTGGTTGTAGGGGTTTTAGCTGATTTTCCCACCCCGACCCACCCGGACCGTCGGTCCACGATTTGCACCAATATCGTAACCCTCGCCCTAACCCCGCCCCGCATCCTCCTTCCCAACACTCTCACCCCGCCTGCGGCCCCCTCAGGCATCAGCCTAACACTCGACTACTTCAATATGCTCATCGCAATGACGTTCAATGTGGGTTTCTTCTGCGCCGTCATCGCGGGGTACATCATTGGCACGTTGCTGTTCAGCCACGTATTGGAGAACTACGCCGCCATCCTGCACCAGCGCCGTCGAGACGCGGACGCGGCGCTGAAGCGGCGAGCTCCGTCGCAGGGCAGGGTGGCGATGGCGAACGGCAATGGCAGCAACGGCGCCGGCGTGGCCCTGCAGGCCAATGGTAACGTTGTGGTGGCCCCGCTGGCCGGATCAGCCGCGGCTGGGGCTGTGGTGGCACTCGGAAGTCATGTTACTTCGGACGAGGATGAAGGGGAGGAGAAGCTGCTGCTGGTCCTCGAGGGCGAGGGCGAGTGCAACTGTGTTCATAGCGCGTAGCAGTGAGCGAGAGGCGGTGAAACCGTACCGGCTAGGAGCGAGAGCGAGGCGATTATCGGGCTGCAGATGTTCCCAACGACTGCGTGGCGCAGTGACGGCTACACGGGGGGCAATCTGTAGTGACCTGCAAATCTGTGGTGGTGGCCGGGCAGGAGGTAGTGAGATATGGACGGCATAGGGAAAGTGCAACCACTGATACAAATGGGCAAATTTAATCTACCGCAGCGGTGCATGAGGCGGTAGTGGACAGTGCGTTAAGTAAAGTGGACACCACGTGGAATGGGGAATGGAGAACGGATGAGTCGCCATCGAACGCCATCCAGGCACCCGGGTGTGTTGCCGCCACACGTCAGTGCTCCACGATGTCCCACTGATGCCAATCGAGACAGGAATAGTCTGTATGTGTGTGTATATACTATAAAGAGGGAAGGACGTTTGGCTTCGTTTGACCGCCTTCCAATGTTTTGCAGGGTTTATAAGTGTTTTCCTGAAGGCCCTGTCGGGCGGTTGTGACTGTGGTGCGGACGTAAAAGTCGCGTGTTGCCGCCACTGGGTGGGTTTTCCTGAGCTGCTGCATGGATTTGTCCTGCGTGGAATGTCCTTGAGTTCGTGGGACGCTGTGATATACACACATGTTATGTGTTTTTGTTTTAAAATGGTTGTCCGGCATGTAGTCGTTGATAAGGTACGGGAAAATGCAGTGTGGGAAAATGCAGGAGTCGGTTTCCCACACTGGGAAACCGACTCCTGCATTTTCCCACGTGTCCAGGGAAGGTGTATCCCGTTGGCGTGCCGGAGGGAGGCTGGGCGTGTGTGGGAAGAGGCAAAAGAGGAGGAAGGCTATGGCTGGTAAAGTGCTAAAGGGGTCGGTGTTGCTTGGGGGGGACATGAAAGGGGCACGGGCATTGGAGTGGGCCTTACCGGGGATTGGAGGCTCTTTATTACCGAACGTATATATGAAGGTAGGTACGGAGCTAGGTGGATACATGTTGAGAACAAACACCATGAATTCAGTTCTTTTCGCGGCCTTTTTTTGCGGTCCCACAGCTGGAACTGGTTCTGCTGTGTTAATGTTGTTGTATTAGGCACCCGTTGCATCCTCGAAGCGCACCATTTCTCTAAGTCGGCATGGGTGAGGTCAACCTACATATTCGTTGTGCGTAGACGCCCTCTTTCCTTTCTTCCCTCGGTTCTTCTGTTGAGGAAGAGAGTGAGGGGAGAGTGAGGGGGAGAGCACACGATAGTCACATGACTCATCAGTTAGGCAATACACGCCATGAGCTCAACTGCCAATGGGTTGACGGGGCATTCACGCCCTCTCTCGCTCTCTTTATTTTTTGAGTCCCTGAAAAGCAACTTTCGCTTGGAAGGGGGCAGTAAGGCCAGGACAGGAGGACACACGTCTCCTGTACTTTGTTCAGATGTTCCGGCGCTTGGAGGCGCCAGTTGGTGGGTCTTTGAGGCGCAGGTTCAATGTTTGGTTGCCAATTGTGAGGGGAAAAAACAGAGATCGAAAGTAACCTGTGATGATTGTCATGTGGGCGAGCACTGCCAAGCTGGTGGGTAGGTATGCAGTCCCTAATGCTTGAGGAGTGAAAAGCCATGAAGGCATCTGGACAGGGCCTTTCAGGGGTTGCTCCTGGGATATACATACAGACCAGCATGTGTCCTGCGAAGTCGCACGATGGCCCACAGGTTCAATCTTTGCTTTTGGCTACTTCCAGTTTATAAGTCTCGACAGTCTTTCGCTGGCAAGCAGCTCTTGAAGACGTTCATGTCATCATGCTTCTGTACAGCAACACCAGGACCGGGGGGTTTTCCGAGTGGGCCGCAGCAGCTGCAGATGGCCATGTGGGCAGACGGGACGATGGAAGGCAAAGCACGGAAGATGTAAAGGCAAGTGCTGCCTGCTGTACGAAATTGTATTAAAGTAGGGCAGAACATGAATAAATAATACACTGGCTAGGCAAGGTGTAGTATCCTGGGTATCACGGGATCTGACATCCGCCGATCGGTTCTTTTTCTGAAAAGGACGTGATACAACACAAGGCAAGACATAAGGGACATCGTGCACAACAGTCAAGCGAACACGGTGCATGTACCGGACGAATTTTCGACTACTCCACACCAGATGCCGATTTTCCTTTTGCCCAAAGGGCACCAAACGGCGTGTGACTTAGCCAACTGCTGCTCGGGAACCTTACATGCATCAGCCGCCGTAACAACAGTGGTTCTGAACTGATCATATCACCCCTGCTGACCGCATAACCAAACACTGTCAGTGACCTCTAGACGGTAGACTGACTGCTACGGCTGCTGCTACATACAACACTTCGTGGGGGAAAAAAAAGACCCCAAAAACTTGATGCTTTCACCAACTCCGCGCGCGCCAATACACGCCTGCTCCTTCAATACAAAGACGAAGAGAAAATCGTCTGGGGTCTAGAGAAGCAAGTATTCAAGCGCCAAGGCGAGTGGGGCCCCGGACATTGGAAAAACCTGATGGGGAAGGCAAAAGGACGTCACTAGCAGCTTCATCAGCCGAGCTTCATTAGCACCGCGCATACAGCCCTAGAGGTCCCTGTGGTGGAAGGGCTCCTGTACCAAAAGAAAGGAAAGACCGCCCCACGTAGCATAAGACGAAAGATACTTAACGATTAAGAGGCGGGCATCGCAATCCACCCAAGGCGCAACGCGCGCAGCATTTACTTCCCCACCCCAACCCAGTAAGAAGGTAAAATAGAACAAGAAGCAACCGCACCGCTGGAGCCACAGAGTCGCTCGCCACCTGTGCCCTCTCCCTCAGTCGCGCGCGTGCTAACCTTCGCACACACACACATCCTGTTTTGCGTCCCCAATCCAATACGATACACGCTCAAGCAGGGTGTCCATGGTTGTGCAGCAAGTGAGGTACCCCACCACTACCTGGACCTAGCAGAAATCTCGGAGGCATGACAACTCACATCATCATCGGAGTACATCATCAATTAAAAAACACAAATCCAAGAGCCTCCCATCGGCTGCGTCACGCGCCTTCCGGCGGCAGCACCGCCCACCGCACGCACCTCGCCGGTCATCCTGTCATCCTGTACATATGTGCAAGAAATTCTGTGTGTGTGTGTCGTTAAGTACGTGAAACACCGCGGAACACCAAACCTCAAGTTGACGGTAAGCTAGGCTGAGCTGACCCAGCTTTAGCACTGCCTCACTGCCTGAAGCGAGCCCAGCGGAGTGGAGGGGATATATACATACTGACATACCGACATACAGGTGCCAGGGCCTTGAACCCCGCCCTTGACGATCTCCTCCCTGGCATGCGCTGCGTTGGCGCGCTCATGCCAGCGGCAGAACCGTCAGCCTCGCAGCTGGTGCAACGCAGCTCAGCAGCATTCTAATGTTGGCCTCATGCAGCACGTTGGACCCCGGTCGTTCCGCCAGGACCACCTCATGGATCTGGACCACCACAGCAACGAGGGATGACAGCGGCAACCAGGAGGAGGAGGAGCGACGGGACAAAGAGGTGACGAAAGAGAAGGGCGCAGAGTTTATTTGGCGGGGCAAAGGGGAAGGCGATAAGCTCCCGGCGGACATCCGCCTTTTTGACCAAACCAAACACCATCACAACAACAACAACATCATGGCCAGCGGGACCGTCAGTGAGCTGCCCTTTCGCATATTATTCTATTATGCGGTGTAGTGGCAGAAGTGGAAGCGGCAATACGAAGCGCTGCAAGAGTTGTTCCTAGGTAAGGTAAGCAGCACCGCCGGATGGTGGAGCAGCACCAGGAGGGCTGGCTGGCGGGACTTCCCCACCGCGCTGCACATGCGGACGCCGCCTACCCGGCTACCTACCACACCCGTAGGCTGTAACACACACCCACACCAGCTCAGCAACAACCCAGGGGCGCTAGTGGCCAACACGGAGAGCTGCGGATCTGCAAAACCCCCACAAGGTTTTCCAAACCTCTCCTCCCGGGAACCTGATACAGCTTGGCACCTAGCGGCCATGTGGTGGCGCTGCAAGAGCCATAGTCCTGGCCCGCGACCACGCCAGTGTACGGCAAGTCGGAAACGCCGCTGCTTTGTAGTACGGCTGTCGTACCTGATCGTATGAGGGTAACCCGAGGTGCGTGACGGCGTCCACCACGGCGCTGTGGAAGGGCGACAGGGAAGGGTTGTACGCCGCGCTCTCTATGTAGCCCCCGGAGAAGACCTGGCCGCTTCTCGTCACCACAGCGGCGCCCGAATGGCATTTGGTGTAGGGTGCGTAGCACTGCATGGAGGGTTTGGAGGGTTTGGAGGGTGGAGGGTTTGGAGGGTTTGGAGGGCGCCGACACAGTAGCCGCGCGTCATGCATGAAAATGGCATGAAATCCGAGTGAGTTATGCAACTGCGGGTTACGGAGACGGAAATCGAGAACCCCACCAGGGAGGCCGCACATGCCCTGCCCTGCATGCTCCTACAGTTCTACTTCGCCACACACGTGTGGCAACCCTAACCGCGGTCGCGTTTGATTCCACACACCAATAACTGAGCTGTCCCTGTCTTGCAAGCCCGTTACTATTGTACTCGTCTACTCGTGTTCAAGCCCTCAGACGCCTCCGACCCTCACGACCCTCTTACCTGGCGCGCCTCCGACAGAGCTAGGGCGGCCGCCCGCTGGAACTCCTGCTCGCCCGCCCGCTCCGCCACCTCCGCCAGCGCGTCCTGGTGCCACACCGCGGAATTGCTCTGACGCTCCAGCAGCAGAGGAAACGGCTCAACCTGCGGCCACCAACAGACCAACACACGCTGTAACCGACCAGCGTGGACAATGACCGGCACGCTCTGCGAGCGAGACTCCCAGTGGGGGGAAGGTAGGGAGGAAGGAAGGGAGGCAGGCAGCCTAATGCAACACATCGCCATTATATATATAATATATATAGTACATGGCCCCTAATCAGGCTTCGACGGGCACCCCCGCATTCGTGCAGAACTTCTGCAACATGTAACTAAGGCCACCGCCAGAGGGTGGCGTTTCGCTGCAAATACGAGGACCCCGCGTGGGCCCTACGAGCCACGGAGAACAGTCAGTTCGCTTCTCGTGGCTTGGCTCCGCCGCACACCCGCACGCACATACATACACACATATATACATACACGTGCGTGGCCGAACAGGTCAAGGACCCCCCCCCCCCCCGAGCAAGCGCTGTTGCTAACCTGCAAGTCCGAGGGTCCGAAGCGCTCCGGCAGCAGGTCCGCCAGGAACTTGGGTTGAGTGTCGCGACCGAAGATGTATTCCAACGCGTCCTGAGAACGACAATAGGGCCCGCGGTAGCGCGACGTGAAGGTGACCTCCCTGGGTGGCTTGGATGGCTTTAAAACACAGTCGGACGGTCGGTCGGTCGGTCGAGATGGGCAAACAAAAGACCAAACTGCCTGCGCGTGTGCGTGCTATTGTCTGCGGACATCCCTTCATGTCGTTCATTTACGTGGAGGGGAGCCGGAGGGCTCTATGTAGCCCAGATTTTTCTTCAACTCAAGAGGGATGCGGCGCGTAGTGCTGTCGTACTGAAAACCCACGTATACGGTGCCGTACATACCCCACGGACACTACCCCGCGCAAGCAGAGCAATGGGCGCATTGGACGGGGCGCGGCGTCACGACAGAACAATGGCGTAAGGAGGAGGAGGAGGAGGAGGATGCATGGGGGCCCGCAGAATGCGTGGCGTCTGCCGTCCTAGCGGCCCCTGTTTCAACAATCTTGCCGTAAGGAACGTTTTCATCTCCCTTAACAACGATCCCTTGTATCTTTGTTGTTTCCTCTCCCGCCTCTCTCGGCACTTATTGGGCCCTTCCAGAGGAACACACCGCGTCCTTGATCTCCGCATAGAATTGCCTGCGGACCCCGAGGGATCCAGGTTGGGATCCAAGTTGGGATCCAGGTTGGGATCCAGGTTGGGATCCAGGGAGGGACGGAGAGTTGGAATTACACAGACGCAAAGAGCAAGGTGGGCAATCGCGCTCGAGGGGGCCGAAAGGAGCGGCAATGCCGTAAATACACAATCAGGCACCGGGACAGACATTCAACTAATGAAAACATGCCTTTGCAAGCTTGCAAAGAACATCAACAAGGCATCAAGGCTCGAGCTGGCTGCCTCACTAACCCGCAATGGGGCCCAGCAGCAGCAGCAGCAGCAGCAGCTGGGGGGGTAGGAAACCGCGGGGGGATTTCGTGGATGTGGGTCGCAATGGCAGGCGGCCACGCGGCGCCCCAAAGATAAATAGATCACCACACTGCACTGCAAGAGGAGTCACGAACGCGGCATGACGCTGCAGATTGTGGGTGCGGGGTGGGTGCGGGCTGCCTGCCACACACGGTGTGGGAGTGCGGGAGCTGACGGCTGACTAGGGAAAACTACTCCTGGCCATCCGCGGCCCCTCACCCACCTGCAGTGGCCGCACGGCGCAGCGGACACCGCCAGAGCTTGCATGGATGTCTCGCCGCTGTGCAGACAATTGACAAGAAGACACTGCTCCGCATGAATCTGGGGGTTGTCAGTTTGCGGTTGGGGTTGGTTGTCAAGTGGTTAGCGGTTAGAGGTCGTTTGTTTTACACACCGACCGGCCAGCGAGGGCGGTGCTAGCACACACCCGGAGGGGGCAGGAGGCTGGAGGCCGGCGGTCCGAAGGGTGCAGTGGGCTAGGGTCTGTGTTACAGGGTTTGTCAGTGCTGGAGGACGTGGGGCCGCTACTCCACGGATGAATCCTGTTGCGAACTCATACCCTCAATACTCGAAATACTCGGAATGCTGGCTAACGCGCCATCAGCCACGCGCATGGTTCGCCCTTTCCAGGGACCTCCCTCCGACGTGTTCCCACCCCTCACACCCCAAACCAGGGCTACAAGGCAACTGCGGGATAGGAAAGCACCGTCCTAACCAGCAGAGAAGTCAGGAGGGGGGCCGCAACGGACCGCTTGTCCCCGGACGAACACCCTCAGGTACTAGCTTACCCCTAGCTGGTGCTGTGGCTGGTGCTGTGGCTGGTGCTGTGGCTGGTGCTGTGGCTGGTGCTGTGGCTGGTGCTGTGGCTGGTGCTGTGGCTGGTGCTGTGGCTGGTGCTGTGGCTGGTGCTGTGGCTGGTGCTGTGGCTGGTGCTGTGACTGCTGTTGTGGCTGCTGTTGTGGCTGCAGATATCCCCCTTTTGGCGTCTCACCGTCGAGTCCCCCACCACACCATTCTGTTACAAGTTACAAGTTCCGCACACAAGTGTGGGTGTGTCCGTAAAAGCTGGGGGGCCCATGGACGTTATATTGGTATTGATTCCGTGTCCCGGTCCCATATTGGGATCTGGACTCCGCGCTCCTGCCGCCCCACCCGATCCCGACCCGCCACAGACCCCTCGTGCTCCTCACCGAGTTGTTCAAAGGAGCCCCGGGGAACTCGATGTTCACACCCACGTACACGCTACCGGAGCCCCCGAGCGCCACTGACCTGCATTTGGCGGAAGTGGGGAGCCAGGGGATGGGACCGGGATGGGGAGCACTTGGGCGAAAGGAAGGTAGCAGCAGCCCTTGGAGGAAGATGCACGCTTGGGTGATGAAATTGTCCGTGGCCCAGCTGCAGATGGCCTTGCTAGGGATGGCTTGCGTATGGCCACGGCCCGTACGAAGGCAATAAACGAACGCCGAAGCGCGGGTGGTTGGGGGGCAATGCGGCCTGATGGTGCTATGGTCCGTGCCGTTGCCAGTACCTAGGGGGCGCCAAGGGTAGATGGTCGTTTGCTCTTGCCCCGCTGGCCAAGAAGCCAATGGTGCATAGAAAGCACAAACGAGTAGATTCAACATGAGCAATCTTCCCTTCGCGCGCACATTAGTAGTGGTTTGCGGAGACAGTGTGCGGGCCTGGGAAATGGGGTTTGGATGAGGGCTGGGAACTAGCCATCGTCCCAAAGCCGCGCTCCAACACACCTACCCAACTCGATAACCCGATATAGGTGGCCGTGCAAGCTTTGAGGCCGGAGTAATGAGCGAAAATAGTAGCTCCTCAACGGTGTTGCCGCTGGCGTTGAGTAATTGCCGAACCTCCGCCGCTGGTATCATAAAGCGGCCCTTAAGGGGACTCATATCATCCATAGCTACCTGGGCCTCTGTAAGATATTGCTGCGTTGTCACAGGCGCGGCGCCTCTCGCTGCAGGGCGCTTGCTCACAGCATTAGTGCGCACGTGAGCTGCGTGCAGATGCATGAGGGGCCGCAAAGCCTGCATATTTTTTCGATCACGAAAAAGCGACTGTGGGTTGCTTACTAGCGTTCTGGTAGTGCAAAATCAAGCCCTAAGTAGTTGACGCACAGTGCGCCACCCAATGAAATGTCAATTCCGTAATTAAAAAATGTTTTGATACTCAATTGCGTGTCCCATCAACTGTGCGGAAGAAACGAGGGCGGAATACCAAGTACACCAACTGGACTTTGACAGCAGGGCTACCGCAAGAGGCTAGGATCCGACAGTTAGTTACCCCCAGTGATGTTGATCTTGGAATACCCAACAAGTGCAAGTACCTAACCCAAAAGGTTCGAGAAGGTTGCAGTTGCTCAACGAGCCGAACCGTTCGCCGTACCAACGAAAACGTTATCCTGGGCAGCAGTCTGGAGCCCTGCCATTGCGCTTGAGTCAATGTCGCAGCTTTTGGGATCTGGATAAAAAGCGACTATTGCAGGTTAAAAACGATCAGCTACGCCTTCCTCAGAAGGTCTGGATGTTGCGGCCGAGCGCCGCTGTGTGCGCGCAGACGGGATGCCGCAGCAAACCAAATTAATAAATTGCCAATCTGGGAGATGTGGTAGTATGGCTTGCTGCTGAGGTAGTGGCCCCTGGCGCAGCAGTGGCCACAGACGGCCGTTGAAGGCAGGAGATGGTTTGTGCAGGTTAGGCTTTCTTGTCTTTTAAATGCATTGAAAGAATGTCCCAGCCAGAACGCTCTGGTCCCAGCAGTTGGGATGTCTCTGTTATCCTTTGTCTCGGCACTGCTGTGCATCTCAAACCGAAAGGGAGCTGGCATAATGCCGGCATACGCGAGCGTGCCATAATCCAACTGTAATTAAGATAAGCGACTTATTACCATGGACGTGTACCGCAGTGCGACCCCGTGCGCTTGCATTAGCAGTGTTACTGCCAGTTTCGTCGGTGTGAATTGTAACAACTACTGCGGGAGTGCACGTCCCTTGACACACACACAGGGCCTAGAGCACTGTGGCTGTGCGGCAAGTCATTGTCGAATCTGGAGTGAAAATTTGGCGAGCTCTTGACAGCCAGAGCGCCCTGCTCGCGAGCCAGGTTAGTTTTGCTGTCGCCATTAAACGAAAGTCATTCTCGTACGGTACAGAAGTCAACGCATTATCGATGACACATATCAGTGTATATCCCAATAAAAAATTAATAACCTGAACGTACGGCACTAACGGCCGACAATCTATCTGGCTGTAAGCTATTGTCCTTGATTGGAGTTATCGCGAGTGTAAGTTTTGTTCCCAGTAATGCCCTGGGTATTCGCTTTTTAAAAGTACAAATAATTGTAGGATGCTTGAGGCTTGTTAAGGCCAGAGCTCCTATGGGAACGCTGTGCACTTATGTACAACTCCAATATCAATGTCTGTAAAGCCCTTATGGAAAGGGAGCTTGGTGGGCGCCGCCCGGGCACCGCTGTGAGTTGAGGGGATTCCGTCCGAGATGCGACGGGGGAGCAAAACTTCTCCGGGCGCCCTGGGAAATCCACCACGGCGGTGTCCTATCTATGTTTGCGCCGAAGCTTGACTCAGGAAGTTTGTTGCTGATTTTGCGGCTGGCGTTCGTCGCTACTCTGACAACCACAATTTTGTTCCGCAGACGGGCCGCTGCAGGAAGCTCTACCAATCAATCTGCCCCAGCAGCAAGGTAACTCTTACCTGAAGTGTGATGTCAATGTCCTGGGCTATATCGCGTCATACCAGTACTGCGACTTCGCGGGGACGTGCGTCACCGTTGAGTACCACCTTGGTCGCCCTGCCCGCATTACAGGTTCAACAACTGGAGGTACCTGACGCCCATATATGCCGCTTCTCCCCCTGTGGCCAGTACCTCGTAAGTCGTCGTTAGGGAAAGCGGTATCGCGTCCTGGTCGATTCGTGTATCTGCCGTACGTATCTGCCACGTATTGGCCACCACAATCACAACCAACGACCCAACCCAAATCTTGGTCCGAGGACCTTAGCTTAGCAGCTCCGCACACGGACTCTCAAAGTCGCAACCAATGGGCAAAATTACACGACAAGCTCAGAAGCCTGGTTTTACAACATCAGGACGAAGCGCACCTTTCCCAGGAAGCTCCGGAACTAGCTACAGCTACAGCTGCCCTGCCCAGCAACAGCTTCAGAGAAAGAGGCAGGCATCTCCCTATTTTCAGCCTCGTCATTGCCCACCCTACCCGACCCTCACCTCATTAATACGCCATATCTCGCGCCTCCAGGTGTGCATGGCCGCTGGCTTCACTCAGCTGGTGGTTTACCGCTTCACTGGCCCGCGGATCAGCTGGAAGCAGCAGGAGCTGAGTGCGGCGGAACTTACTGCGCGGCTGGGGGCTTTTAGCTGGTGAGTGAGCGAGTGGGGAATGAGCGAGTGAGTGAGTGGGGAATGAGCGAGTGAGTGAGCGGGTGAGTGAGTGAGTGGGGAATGAGCGAGTGAGTGAGCGAGTGAGTGAGTGGGGAATGAGCGAGTGAGTGAGTGGGGAATGAGCGAGTGAGTGAGCGGGTGAGTGAGTGAGTGGGGAATGAGCGAGTGAGTGAGCGAGTGAGTGAGTGGGGAATGAGCGAGTGAGTGAGCGAGTGAGCTAGTGAGTGAGTGAGTGGGGAGTGAGTGAGTGAGTGAGTGAGCGAGTGCGGGTGTGAGTGAGTGAGTGAGCGAGCGAGCAGGTGAGCGAGGGAGGGAGCAAGGGAGTGCATGAGTGCGGGACCGGGTAATTGTACGAGTGGGCCTGCGAGCGTGCAACTGAATTACTTGGGGTGAGATGGGGTGGATGTGGAGCTGGGTATTGTGCTTGCAGATTATTCAACTGGGAGTTCGAGTGGGTGGTTGGATAAGGTGGGGGGAAGGGCGGGGCATGTACCAGCTAAGAGTGGGCTGAGAGCAAAGGGACCCAACCGGCCAGATTCCCATACAGAGCGACGAAGAAAGCCAGTGACCTAGCCATCAGTAGACGCATAGGGCGATGTGGTAGCGGGGCAGAGCGGAACACAATTCCACGAGGCGGGGGAGGAGAGGAAGGAGGGGGAGGGGGAGGGAAGTGAACTCGTGCTGTTACAGACCCAGCGGCGCCGCATGCTCGTCTTACGTGGTCTGTTCGGTTCCGGTTGCGATGTACCCTCCTCGGGAAGTCCCCCCTGCATCACACGTGCCCCGTGCCTGGCAACACCTATACACACACCTATACACACACGTACACACACCTACACGCGGCAGTGCACACGTTCCTCCCGCAGCTTCTTCTCCCCGCTGTACCGGGTGCCGCTGGCGCCCGCTGGCGAGGTGCTGGCTCGCGATGTGGTGATGTTCATGGTGGGGGGCAGTTTGCTGCTGCTGGCCTCCCACTCGCCCATCATGCCGCCGCCTCCAGCAGCTGCGGGTGGGGGTGGGGGCCCGGGCGGCGCCTCTGCGGGGGACCCCTCTGACCCGCTGTATTCGCTGCCCTTCGCGGAGACCATCACGTTGCACCTGGTGGGGCTGGGAGGTGGGGTAGCAGGGTGGAGGGGGGGTAGGGGTAGAGGTGGGGTAGGAGCGAAAGGGGGGCTCCGTCTCGGTCGACCCGGTTGGAACGAGGACCTCCGCCAAGTTGTAATGCGGCCATGCAAAGGCGGAGTAGAGGGAAGTGAGGAATGGGGGGATGGAGAGCTTCATGGCGGGTGGGGTGTATCGACTACATGGTTGGACGCGGTCCCCCCTGCCCCTCTCTCCCCACCCTTCCTCCCCCTGGCCCGGCCTACCCCGGCCCTTCCCTCTCCACCCCCCGGGGTGTGGTCCGCAGGTCCGGCTGTCTGACGGCGTGCGGGTGGGCGGCAGCCGGCTGGAGTCCGAGCTCGTGGACCTGAGTGGCAGATCCAGCAGTGTGGGGATCTGCGTGCACGAGGACCTCATTGCGGTGCTGGCGGTAGGGAGGGGGAGGGAGGTTGTGTGAGGGAGGTGGAGGGAGGTGGAGGGAGGTGGAGATGAGGGAGGTGATGGGAGGGAGGTGGAGGGAGGGGGAGAGGAGGGAGGTGGAGGGAGGTAGGAAGGTGGAGGGGAGTGAGGTGGAGAGGAGAGGCGGCCTGGGAGGAGAGAGGGCCCGAAGGGGGCCCTGCCTGCCGGCCCCGAAGGGGGCCGGGTGCCGTCCCCGTGTGTTGGGGGAGGGGGGGCTCGCATGTTTGCCTGTCTGCTGCCGCCTTCATGGCTCATTCAGTTTGGCGCCGCGAGGTTCTCTCCTCCCCCTCCTTGCTGCTCACCTCTGCAGTTCACACACGGACCCATTACCCCGCGGCTTTACTCCGCACCCCGCATAAACCCCCCATGTACGCTCGTGTGCAGTTCCGGAGCCAGGTGATTCACCTACTTCAGGTGCTCCGGGGAGGGGAGGAGGTGGTGCCGGTGCGCAGTCTAGGGCCTTATGTGGCGGAGGATGATGAGCTGGTGCTACGTACGGCACAGGAGGCGGAGGAGAGGTGGATGCGGGCACGGAGGACGGAGCAGCGGGCGCGTCAGGAGCCCGCCTCTGTTCCCCATGCAGCGCCGCCGCTGCGTCGCAGCCACAACGGTGACTTGATCCGCGCGCCGGATACAGGCGGCGGCGTCGCCTCCACGGGGGCGGTGCAGCACACAACAGCAGCTCCTGCAGCGGGGGGGGCACCGGCCGCGGTTAGGCATAGCGGCGCAAGGCTACCGTCAGCGGAGGGAGCCCCAGAATGGCCCCTGGGCCCCATGCCGCCACTGCACCCTCGTTACAGCGGTCTGGGCGCAGCCACGAACACCCGGCGGCTGCAGGAGGCGGAGACCGGTGGGCCGGCTGGAGAGGCGCACCCGGGTGGCGGACCGCCTGGCGGAGGTTCTGTGGTGCTGACTGCAGATGTCGCCGCCGCCGCCGCCGCCGCCGACTCTGCCCCGGGTGGACTGGGCGGCGGCAGTGGACTGGGTAGCAGCGGCGGGCCCCCAGCGGGGCTAGTGCCCCCTCCTGCCGCGGTGCTTTACCCAACCCATAGGGTGGATGTGGACCCAGGCAGGGCGTCAACCGCCGCCGCTGGCCGCCCCGGTGCCGGCAACGGCGGCAGGTTGGGCCGCGCGGTGGCGGCCGCGGATTTGGCAGCAGCGGCGGTGCACCAAGCGGCTGTACGGCGCCAAGCGCGGCAGCAGCAGTATGACCAGCTTGCGGCGCAGGGTGGCCCCGGTCATCCGCCCTCCGCTCGGCGCGGGGTGCAGGGCAGGGAGCCCGGTGCGGGGCTGCAGTTCGGTGTAGGCGACCGGGTGACCGGCGGGGAGGCGGGCGGGGTGCTAGCCGGTATGCCGCCGAGCACCCTGGCGCATAACCTCCGCCACCACCACCACCACCAACACCACCACCACCACCACCACCACCACCACCAACAACAACAACAACAACAACAACGGTTCAGGACGGGGGATGCTCTGCAGCAGCAGCAGCAGCAGGTACACGTTCCGCCTCCCCGCACCAACGGAAACAACTACCCGCCCCATCATTACCATCACAACCACCAACGACAACAGCAGCAACAGCAGCAGCAGCAGGGGGCTCCGCCTGCCGCCCAGCGCCATCCTGCAGCGCCTCAGCCCCCGCATGCGCACCTGGTCCCCAATGTGGGTCAAGGCAGGGCCGCATTGCTGCTGCCGCCGGACGGCAGATCCGCACCTGCTGCCGGCGGGGCGGCAGCCGGCGGTGTCGGCGGAGTAGCTTGGGGCGGCAGTGGCGGCTGCATCACGGGCATCAAGCAGCGGTTGCTGGCGCACCTGTACCTCAACTGCCTGCGGGCGCACCCTAACAATCCTCGGCGGCAGCAGCGGGAGGCTCTGACGCTGTTTAGGCAGCTGGACACGTACCGCTCGTTGCTCATGCGCAAGGTGGGGTGGGGTAGGGTAGGGTCGACGGGGGGGTTAAAACTGAATGGGGGGTTGAAGGTTGATTGAAGCCGGGCCGGGAACGGGTGGTGAAATCAGCATGGCTATGCAAGAGGAAGCAGGGGGCCGAACTGTCGATGACGTTGAAAGCACAACACAGGTCAAAGGGAAGGGGAGGAGAGGAGGGAGAGGGGAGAGGGAGGGGTTCCCTCCTTGGAGTAGCGCGGGTGTACGGCCGGCTTGCGGTGACGCCTCCGTGTATCTTGAAGGCGCAGAGGCACGATAAGCTGGTGGGGTTGTGGAAGTGGAGTATGAGACATGCAGGCAGGCGGTCGGGCCGGCAACAACAGGGGGGGTGACGCGGGGTTGCGATACCGCGCAACACGGAACGCGCACCATAGCAGGCGAGGGGGGCTAGCTCCCCCAGCCCCCCCAGCACCCTTTCCAGGACAGAACAGGACAGTGCGGTCCGGATTTATCCTTGCTAGCATCACAGCGTTTTGCACCATAGGGCCCCTTCCCGCAATCACCCTACTTCCCCCCAACCCCTAATGAGTCATGTGACGGTTGACGGGGAGTTGTACGGAGTTCTTTTCTTCTGCCTCTGCAGTTCTGATTTCCCCATCTCCAGTCCCGTGTCCCCTCTGTCTGGACCCCTCTCGCTCCCCCTCTGGCACTCGGCTTCTCCGCCCCTTCGCACACCTGAACTTCAGGTCTACATTCTGGACCGTAGTCGACTGCTCATCGACATGCGCAAACCCGTCAGCGCTGACTTAGGGTTGTCGGCCTTTGGCGCCGGCTCCCTGGCCTCCGCTCCCCCCGGTGGCGGACCTGGTCTGCCGCCCTCGCAGTACTTTCTGCTGTTCGACCTGCAGGCCGCCCGAGTGGTCAGCTTCGAAGCCAGTGAGTTCTTCCCCCGCCACCTCCACCTCCACCTCCACCTCCTTCCCCCCCGGGGGGTAGGGCTGGGGCCCGTCAGGGAAGGGGCAGGTGGGGGAACGGGAGGGCTTACTAACGGGTTTGCGGACGCGAGTGGCGACGGGCGAGGGAGATTGCGCGGGTAAGGGAGTTGAAGAGCAAGGTCAAAAACATCAGAAGGGTATAGAGTACGAGTATGGGACATGTAAAGGGGTTAGGAAGGGGGGGTAGAGTAACGAGGTGGCGGGAGGTACCGGGCTGTGGGCCCCAGGCGTGTCAACTGAAGGGATTAAAAGTCGATCCGTCTGCATCCCCCTGGTAGGGTCGCGGGCGGTAGAGCCTGTTGCTGTACTGCCGCCTGGCTGACGGGTTGCCTGGCCACGTGGACTGATTGCAGGTCCCGGGGACGAGCTGATCGAGTCGTACATGCGGGAAGCCACGTCAGGCGCGGTGGAGCCCTGGGCGGAGTCGTTGCCTCTTTGGGACAGGTGGGATGCGGACTGTGTGTGTATGTGTGTGTGGGGGGGGAGGGGGGATTGTAAGGACACAGAAAGGACGGAACACGCGGCTATCGGGACGGGGCCCTGGAGTGGCCGATAGGAGAAAGGGGACGAGGGGAGCTGCGAACGGCAGAGAGGCGATAGACGACGGACGACGGAGAGAGCCAACATGGGCTGCCACTACTATTAGTCGGCATCGGCAGTGTCGAAAACCTCGGCATTTTGTGTGTAAAAGGGGGGGGGGCCCGAGTTAGGGGAGCCCTCTAAATCGGAGGGACTCGCCGGACTCACTGCGCCGCATGCTGCTGCAGGCGGAAGGTAGGAAAGGCTTCAAGAATTACCGCGTAAAGCTTATGGCTGATTCCCATCCTCCTTAGCCGCCACGGCAGAGACTGAAGGCCATTAGGAACGAACACTAAACGACGGCGGCTGACCCTGCTCAGGGAGGCAAGTGGCAACAGGGTAAAATGTATAACCTCCTCCGGCATTAACCGTTGTGTGTCCGTGCAGATATGTGTACGATAATGTTGTGACGGCGGCGCGCAACAAGCTGCGAGTTGGTGCTGGCGGCGGCGGTGGTAGTGGCGGCCCCGGCGGCACCTCCGCTGGCGCAAGGGCTTCGGGACTCGCCATCGGCGGCGGTATCGGCGGTGTGGAGGCCGCAGCGCTCGGCGTGCTGCCAGTCGCCCCCAGCAGTGCTGCCTCAGCCGTTGCGGAGCGGGCAAACTGCGCAGGCAAGCTCATGCAGCTGCTCCCTCCCGTCAGCGGCAGCTACACCCTCAGCAGCAGCCCTTATCTGGATACCTTGCTTTTCAACTACGATGAACGCGTGGTTTCGCCGTACATTCGTACACGGTCATGCCTGGAGCAGCCCGTGTTTTTCCGGCTCCGGAACCGTCCAGATCGCGCCATGTTTCGGTTGGATCCGGGGCCGTACGAAGCCATGGTGGTACGCGACAGGCGCCTCACGCGCAACGTGACTCACTTGATCCATCCCGATGTTCCTTTCGCAATGGCGGTGTTTGGCGTCTTTCAACAGAGCACACTGAACATTAATTTTAGGATATAGGTGGGGTGTGCGCACGAACGTGGCTTGGGCTGTGAGCTTGGGAGGGTGGGGTTGGCGCGGAGCAGGGGGGTCTAGTGGCGACCTGGTGGATCCTTAGAGCGAGCACTTACTTATTTAGGGCAGCGTATCTAACTCCGGAGAGGTGGTTGCTCCGTACGACATGACCCCGTACAAGACTTCACGGTGTGTGTATATAGACACCATTTCCAAGGCTTGGCGTGACGATGCATCGGTTTTATTATTATAGAAACATAGGATCGTGCTGGCCGTACTTTGTGCTGAACAACTAGCACACACATGCTAAGCTGCGTCAGTAGCAGGAAGAGATGTCTGTGCACACACTGGAAACTTGTTGTCCCTGCGCGCTTGCATAGGATGCTCTCTCCTTTAGCAGTCTCTCCGGATAGATAGGTGTAGGAACCGTTATCAGGGGGGTTACCCACACAGGTAGGTGTTGTATTGGACTGCTGTAGGGCTTTATTTCCGACGTGCCCTGTACGGCCTTGTACCTGTATAAGCGAAGAGCTCCCCGATGCGATCTTTTCTGTGATTCGTCTTCCTGGGGAAATAGCCGCCGGGGATGACAAAATGAGAGGAGTGATTCCGGAGGCAGGGCCGCCTTAAATTTTCCCACAACCTTGAGTACCCAGGCTCTCACAGCGGGGCAACGAACCTTGGTACACAGCGCACCCGGGGCAGCGGGGCTGTGCCCACACTCGTAGCGAGGCGCCTATGCCGGGGTCATGCCCAGAGGCTCACGGCCCGCCTCTCATATCCTCCGCCAGAACCCTCATTTACCTCACAGCACCACCCGTACCGATCCAATGGGTTACAATTGACGACAACTTTCTCGCACACGCTTTTCTGGCGTCATAGACTGATGACGCACTAGGGTTGCAAACTTGCGGTTGTACGACCCAAGAAAGCGGTGAAGTAGCTGGTCCTTGAAGCAAGCTGGCTGTTGGGGCAGCGACCAGAGCGGCGGAGGGCTGCTCCCGGATGAAGCAGCGGTGCAGGACGTGCAGCTGGAGACCACCACCAGCGGGGGTTGACGCGTGAGAGATGAATGTCTATGTCCCCATCTGTTGGCTGCGTTTCCCCCTCACCCCGTCACACCCTCCCGAGCCGTCGGTGCTCCCTTTCGCATTGGTAACAGCGGAGCCGGACTTTATGCAGCCCCACCACTCGCGAACTTCCACCATGTGATTGGCCGCAGTTCATCATCACGGGATACGATTCGAGCTTTGATGTTAGCGGGAACACGTCTTTCAATGCGGACCGCAAAACCCAGAGCGGGCCGCAAGGTCTAAGTTCGGGATGGATGGCACAGGAGCAGGGGAGAGTGACATGCCACGGCAAATTAGCCGTCGTTGGCCGGCAGGAACCTGTAGACGGTGATGGATCTACCGATCATAGACGTACCGGCATTCCTACTAGACATACCCTCTAAGATCTACTGGATCTACCGATCATAGACGTACCGGCATTCCTTTTAGGTTCGTAAAGGCCTTGTGGTACCGCGCCTTGCGTTTTTGCACGCAGCGGGTTGTAACACGCACATACCCCGGTATCGTACATTCCATTTGTGCAGGGCTCCTGTGCGAGCGTGAGATGCTGCACTCAACGGTTAAGCTCCTGGAATCTGTAACCCAACCTGAAAATGATGCGACGAAACAACCCCGTCCATCGAATGGCGACACCAGTCCCACCTACCACGCTACCTCAATTTCATTGGTCACGGGCACTCCCTCATCCATGCCGCGCCCCCAACGGCCATGTTGCCGCCGGCGTGATTGCCGGAATCCGGTCAGATGCCTCACAGTGGTGTGAGTGCACACGGCAAACCGACAACCCGACGCACCTCTCGACCCAGCGACTGGCAAAAACGTTCACGATGTCTTCACTCTCCTCTCATCACACTATGCATTGACGCCCCTGGAAGCGCATGCGTAGACCCCCCCCGGTTATGCCCATGCATGCATGGGCACGCATTTCCGCCCGTCAAACATTTAACGCACACCCGACGCATCTCAGCGTCAGCGTCTGGCCAACGGTGGTGCCAGCACGAGCGTGTCGCAGTCTGAGACGTATGTACCCCTAAGTATGTCACCCAAGCAGCCGCTTCGCGAGAAGCTTTACTTTTCGGTCGAATTCTCTGCTGGAGATGCGGCTGGTAGGCGTGTGAAAGGGGTTGAGCAACACCTGCACAGCGTAGAGGCGTTGAGGGAACGTTTGACACCCGAGTCACAACCCCCAGCGACTTGCTGCTGCTGCTGCTGGGCTGCCTTTACCAGGGCCCGTGCAGGACTGTCACTATCTGCAGGTCTAGCCAGGGCTTGCGCCTCTCACACCTCAAAATCCAAGCTGCTACGTCTACAATGTTGAGTGCAAATGCGTTTTGCTGCTGCCTTACGCAGTTTGCGGTGCGCAGGGATCCGCACTGCTGTTGGTGCGTTGGTACCGAGGCCCCGAGGAGGCTCCAGCGGCTCCTGCCCTTCCTAACGTGATGCATGCTGCTCCCCTCCCCTCCCCTCCCCTCCTGCTCCCCTCCCCCTCCCCTCCTGCTCCCCACCTGCTACAGTCCTACAACGGCCCCCGGAGGTGTCCACCCCCCCAGTAGGTAGTTCCGGCCCGATCTGGCAGATGCAGCAGCGTCCGGGGGATACAGTGTGCGATGTGCAAGGCGCCACCCAGTCGGCGGCCCTTAAGGGTCACACACTCCCCCGCCCGGTATGTTCACCCCTGTCTCCACTCCTATACACGCACCCGCAGGTACAGCTCGTACACTTCGTTAAAAAAGGCGCGAATGGAGTCGTCGCTGCGGCCGTCATGCAGCAGCAGGAAGCGAGTGTTGCCGGCTGTTACGAAGGCTGTCACGCTGAGGCCGTTGAACCTGTCCACTACCTGCATATATACATACCGAAATACAATTTGCGAATGCCCTATTCTTCATCCATCCATCCATCCATCCATCCATACGGAACAGTAGTACCAAGGTGGATGCAGGAGGGGTGGCGCGAGGAGAGCCCAGTTGGAGACACCTCGTGCTGTTGTGCATTCAAACGCACCAGCACCAAGACAACGTCAGCGCTATTACTGAGATGCTGGATAACGTTCAACTTCGCGGGAATACGTACATAATAAAAAAAACGCACGTGAAGCCTGCGGATCAAACGCAATGCCATAACGGAGCTTCATCGTTTCTGACCAGAGGCGAGTCCGTAGGGTCCTTCCCTTGCAAAGCCATGTGTAGCTCATCACAGCAAGAGGGTTGTTGTGGGCGCCAAGGATGGGGCCATCCGGAGGGTTAGGTGCTGACATCCCAACGCCGCGAGAAGATGCGCGCTCAGTTTAACCGTCACCGACAGACCCCCAACCCTTCAAGGCATGGCACGTACGACCTTAAGATGGGGCTCCTTGCTCATCCACATTTGCTCATCCACCGCGTCTAGTGAAGAGTGGAGGACGAACTGGTGAAGGTACTGTGTTTGTTGCTGTGGGCATGGAGACGGCGGCACACACATGTAGTGCTTAGGAGGAACCGAGGGCTGGCAGTCACTAAGGTGCCACACGATAGCTACATCAAGGTGAATTCTCGCGAACTGAAACATGTAGCGCAGTGATGGGTAGCAGCAGCGCTGCAACATCTCCTTCACAATGAAGGGGTGGCGGTGCGACCGGCACGAACTCGCTTCCCCTTGACCCTAGGGCTGGCTCCGACCCCGGCTGTACCCAGCAGTAGAGAGCAGCAACCTTACAAAGGACTTATTGCTAAAATGTATGAGGTCAAGTTTTTCCGTCTACGCGCAAGTGTCGGAGAGCCCCTTGAAAGCTTACCTCCTTAGGCCCTGCTAAATCCACTTCATATATGGGGTTATCTTCCTGACCTACAATGACGAAGGTCAGTGTTGGCGCTGACATCTCCTTATGACGCCGCGTATTCCTGCTAATGAAGCACAAGGGCCCCAGTCGGAAGGTAATTACTACATACTATATGGCGTATGCAGGTTGTGAGTCAGCAATCGCGCAACGTTTTCGACATGTCCGGCAGAAACATACGGCACGGGACTCTAACCAACCGAAAGCAAGAAGATCACCCCAAGGATGGAAAGAAGTCATTTTAAGACAAGCGTTGGAAGGAACTCTGCAAGTTTACCTCTATTGCAGCAGGCTACATTGTACTCTGCCGGAACACGACGTTTACCTAAAAAATTGCCTTCAAATATATAGCCCTACTAGTCATACCTCTGCTTTCATACTTGGTTGAGGCTTACAAATATCGGTATTGTAACAAGGAGCTGGGAGGTGCTGCAATTGGCGGCACGCCGCAGCTTCGCGGCACTTAAAAGCTAGCAAAATGATTATCCCCGTTCGCTGCTTCACCTGTGGAAAGGTGTGAAATCCCTGCTCAGCTGGTGGGAAACCTTGGCGGCTGAGTGTTGTTTGCTTCGGATACCCAGGTCATCGGCAACAAGTGGGACACGTACTTGGATTTGCTACAAGCTGGATACAGTGAACAGTAAGTTACCCTTGGAGAAGATGCCGTACATGCTGGGGGCTTGGTGGGGGCTTGGCGTGCCCACACGTATAGATAACTCTTACCCGTGCTTGCACCTGCCACAGGGAGGCTCTAGACGGCTTGGGGCTTAGCCGGTATTGCTGCCGCCGTATGCTTATGACCCACGTGGACTTGATTGAAAAGCTTCTGAATTATAATACCTTGGAGCGATCAGCACAAGCACAGCAGAGGCCTGGGCAGTAACAAGACGTAAATTCTGACGAGCATGAGGGCCACATTCATGACAGGGTGGTGGCTGTTCCAATTCTTATGGTTATGGTTGTGAATCTTCCTCTTTTGCCAGTCGACGTTCCCACAAGAGTACCTGGACAGTTCGTGCTATACACCTGATGTGGAGGCGACACATGTCGTGTGAGTTAGCATGCCCATGTCACGGGTGCACGGGAGCTCCGGGAGGTGCGGGAGCTGCGGAGCCATGTCGGTGGCACAAGCCAACGTTGCAAGTTATAAGTCCCGCACTCACGTTCGGGGGAGAAGGGGGTGAAAGAGCCTCGAGATTGTCTTGCGTGGGTTTGGATGAGGGAACCATGGCTCGCATCAGCGGTAATATACTCCACTTGTCCCTCCTGATGTGGTCGTCAGGCCATCGAGGAGTTGCAAGACATGATTGGTTGGGTTTGGGTTGGGCGTGTGGTTACCTGGACGGTTGCAGGACTTGCCACATGGGGGCCCCTTTGGCTACTTGTAAGGGAAGGCCCCATCATCGTATCCAGTCTGTCTGCTCCTGTGTGTGTAGGTCTGTACAGCTGCGCTCCAAGGAATCAACAACCGCACTGCGGTTACCCAACGCGGCAGCTCGTGTGGCCCCGGCATACAAAATGTGACGTTTCGGCCGTAGTAGGGTGGCGACGACCCTACATCACATATACCCACGCGGAAGTTTTGTGCAGTACAAGTGCAACACTGTCCAAACCCAGCTAGATGTTGTATATCCAACACTGATATCCTGCACTGATCCAGTCAGCAAAGAATGTTGGCTTTTGCCTTGCGTGGCCCGCGAGTACTTAGTATGACTGTGCGGGTATGCCAGCAAGTCACAGCGATGTGATTGTGGTGATAGCATAACTCGTTACTGAGGTAGCTTATGGTAATTAGTTGCTAGTAACCCTTGCCGTTAAAAGACATGAGCCGTACGCCCCAACTGCTTTGTATTGCATCTCCAGGTCAGTAAGGAACCTTTAACGTTTTTTGACATGACATATTTCTTTGTGCCGGCATGTTACAGTAACGAAAGGCTGTACGTATAGTAGTGACGGCTTAAAGATTTTACACTCCTGTTATTTCATTTGCGCAAGGCGCATTGGCCAGATGGAGTTTCGTGTAGATACTACGCCCAGTACCTAAGGCACTTACCATAACAGGAGAGCGTGCTGCAACCAAGGCCCTTTGGCTGGCGGAAAGCAGCAGCGGGGCCTTTGACTGTGCACTTCTAAATATAACTGGGAGCACTTCTAGCAAGCAAACGACAGGTGCGAAGCTCAAGGTTTCTGCTGAAAGGCCGCTGGGTGGAGGCTGGTTGGTGGTTTGTTCACTTCCTCTCGCCGCGGTGCAGAGGCAGAATGGGCAACCTTTGCTCATGCGTTGGTGAAGCTCCCAATAATGCATCGGGTCCAACGGCGGCGGGGGCTGGATCCCAAGCAAGCAAGCCCGCAGCTCGCAAGGAGCCGGGGCCCATGGACATTATAGAGCAGGCGCTGGAGGACGCAAAGAAAGAGCTGGACAAGAATCGTGGTCATGACTTTAGTGACAAGTATAAAGTCAGCAAGCTAGTGGGACACGGCGCGTTTGCCAAGGTGATTACTGTTGGCCCGTTGAGAAGCCCACCGCTTCTTCTTGTGCATAGCGCGACGGTGTAAGATTATTAACCCGATTGCGTCTTTCTTACACGACAGGTCATGATTTGCTCCCACAAAGATACGCATGAGAAGTATGCAGTCAAGACAGTGCAGAAAAACGTGGAGGATCCGGCTAAGCAGCGGGAAGGTACGATTGCGCTTACTTGTGCACTCAAGACATTGGGTTTCATTATTACTGTCGACATGTACAGGCATCCTTAAGGAAATCGCAATTATGCGGCTGCTGTGTGACCATCCGAATACCATTAAGCTGTATGAGGTTTTTGAGGACAAGGAGAGCTATCATCTCATTTTGGAGCTGTGCAGCGGCGGAGAGCTATTCGACCAAATTATCGCGAAGGTAAGCGGGGGCTGAGGAACAGCTGTGTGCCTAAATTGCCGTAAGGTAACGCTGTGTATGTTGCGTTACTGCAGGGGCATTTCAGCGAAAAGGATGCCGCGGAGAAAATGCACTGCCTCTTGGACTTCATAGCATATGCACACTCCAAGAACATTATCCACAGAGACCTAAAGCCGGAAAATATTCTGCTGTCAGACAAGACGCCGCACGCCGTTCTCAAAGTTATAGACTTCGGCACCAGCGACTTCTGCCTTGATGGGCAACGTCTTAGCCAGAAGTTTGGGACGCCGTACTACGTGGCTCCCGAGGTACGTGACTTGCCCTTCGAGCTTATTATACCTGCGAAGGTACGAGGGGCCCCGTCTACCCTATGCAGGTCCTGAAAAAAGATTACGATAAGTCGGCCGACATATGGAGCGCAGGCGTAATTATGTTCATCCTCCTATGTGGTTACCCCCCTTTCGGTGGCAAGACGGATGCCAAAATCCTCCAGCGCGTGCAAGCAGGTAGGGTTTCAGAACTTAGGGTTGGCGCGGCAGCTCGGGCCTCACGCAGGACTCTTGTCTGTTGCTCCACTACACGGAGTTGAGCTCATCATAATATGTTCCCGATTCTGCTGGCACCTTAGCCGCAGGACAATGTGAAGCCACAGGCCGTAAAGCGGGGCTGATTAAGGGTGACTTCCACACATTTCGGCCCTGCAGGGCAGTTTTCTTTTGACGGGAAGGAGTGGGAGGTTGTAACGGAAGCAGCGAAGGACATGATTTCCCAGATGCTGGTCATGGACATCACGAAGCGCGCCACTGCCAAGCAGCTTTTGCAGCACCGCTGGTTCCAGGTGGCAGCCACGGCGCCGGCGGCGGCCTTGGGAGCTCACATGGTCAAACGCCTGCGGGCTTTCGCTGGCATGAGCAGGATGAAGCGCCTTGCGCTTGTGGTTCTGGCCAGAACGCTGACGGACAACGATGTCAAACGGCTCAGGGTGAGTCTTCATATTCGGCACAAGCCTATAACAGGGATGAAGCAGGACGTGCGAACGAGGGTGGTGCATGAAGAGATGTGTTCGGCTGTTCTGTCAAACACTAGATCCTACCACATTCCAACAGCGGAAGTTAAGTTCCTGGGGATGTGCCTATCTGTTTCTGCGGTTTTTCCGCACTGGGACAACCCGCACGAATTGGGAGGACGATGCGTTGAACATGTCCTAGAGTTTTGTGTGTATCGAGATTGGTGAAAATAGCGTTAGATGGATGCTAAGCAGCAGTTTTGTCTTGGTGCGGTCATAGCGGGGTGATTGGGCAGGTGCAGGCATCCATCACCTGCGTGCAGGGTACCGCTTTGGCGCCCGAGCGGTGGGCTGAACTAAAGGGGATGGGAACAAAGGGGGCGCAATTCACGCATGCATGCTGCACAGTCGTTTGGGTGCAGAAAGGGTCACCTGAGGAGCCAGCGAGTATGTATACGTTTGTATCCATGTTGCCCCAACCCCAGGAGCTCTTCGTGGCCATGGACACAAACAACGACGGGCGAATCGACAGCCAGGACCTGCACAAAGCGCTGGAAAAGGTGGGCGCTGCCATCGACGAAAGCGAGATGCAGGACTTGTTCCATGCATCGGACATCGACGGCAGCGGCCAAATCGACTATGAGGAGTTCATCGCGGCCATGCTGGACTCGAATCGCGTTGCACGGCGCAAAGAGGCTGTCCGCAAGTCCTTTGAGGAGCTCGACAAGGTATAGTCCCCCTGTTTATTTGGCTGTCGTTCCATCTACCCGTGCAGCTACGTGTGGTGCGGCCTCCATGCCGCCATTCACTCGCGGTTGCAGCTCCCCCTGCGCTGATAGGCTTGTTGACCGGTGGCTTTGTGAACCAATGCTCGTGCAGGATGGTGATGGGTTCATTACGGCAGAGGACCTTGTGAAGGTCATGCCGCGCGGCTCCTCTATCGAGTTGGCGCGAGAGATGGTGAACGAAGTGGACAAGAATAACGACGGGCGTGTCGACTACGCAGAGGTACGGGTCTGCTGTTGTGTAGTGTCATGTGGGTTTTAATTAGGTCGCATATTTGGGCCGTCAATTCCATAAGAACGACTCTTGTCGTAATTGCATCTAACAAGTCTCATTGAAACCCTCTGCCAAAAATGCTGTGAGAGGTCTTACAGAGCGCAACACCTCTCATGATGATAGTGAACGTTCAACGGCCGTAGCTCCACCACCAGGGCGGCTATTGTTCCAGTGAGTGTCTCTTTCTCTCTAAATCATACCTTCACCGCATATTCTCCGTTCGCAGTTTGAGAAGATGATGCAGTCCTGAGCGCTCCTCGCCACGTGGTCCACGGCGCATGGTCCCGTACAGTATGGTGGACTTCCTGAGCGTCAGCAGCAGCCCGAGGGGTCGGCAGCGTCTTCGGGAGCGGTGGAGCTGTGGTCACTGGTTTGCTAGTGCAAGCCTGCAACCTATTGGTGTGAAGCTAGTGGTGGTGGTGGTGGTGGTGGTGGAGGTATTAAGTGTGTGCTTTGCCTACCTGAAGTGAAGTATGCCATTGTAGTTGAGAGCGGAAAGTTGAAATGTCTGAAGCTTACGTAGGCTTCGCTGCCTACTTGGTACGAAAATACTGCCAGGGGTTGCTGTGTTCCTGGGCCTGCATCGTATTTTTCGAGAGCATGTGCGTCGCGCATGGTGGAGTGTTTTCGTGCGCACGTGTAAATTGTCGTTGGGAAGGCAGCGGGTGGCGGATACCTTGGAATAAGGTGCCGCCAATCCTTTCATGCGTCCTAGTACAGACGTCCGTAATGGGCATCCCAGGTCCCTGGGCCATCAGACTGACGGTAAATTGCCTCGACTTGCTCGTGGTCTTAACTTAGGTGTGGGTGACTTCCCTACTATGTCAGTACGACATACTGTCCATGGGGGTTACGTCTGTCAGCAAATTTCAAATGTTGGCTTCTATGGAGAATGCGCAGGTCACGAGGAAGTGTGTGGAGTGTGCCAACCACCATGATGTGCCGTATCTCTGTTGACACAGCTTCTGTGATACAAATGTTGTGCTATGGGTGAACGGTAGTTTAGTGCATATGCTGCTTGCACATTGGGTGTGAAAGGTGGCCGAGCGGACAGGGTGTTAGCAGGCAGAGGTTGGGTTTTCGAGGCTGACACTTCATGTGTGTAGCCACACTGCGTCTCTGCTGGAAGGTTTGGCGACATGTGCGAACTACCAGCGGAGGCTCGTAACGTAAGCAGTCCGGCCATTCTGCCGGGCGGAATTTTGCTCCTTTGTTATTTTGGTTGCTTGTTGCAAAATGGGTGGCTATCATCGTTTTTCGCCTTGAGCCTTCGCGAGAGGCTGGATTCAGGAACACAGTTCAAAGCTTTTTAATTCCTGCAGCGCGTAATTGGGCAATCGATGCCAAGTGATATCCTGAAAGCTGAAGTTTATGTCTTTGACGAGCTTGCACGGCCCAAACGAGCCAAAAGGTTCACGAAAAGAGAAAGATGAACGGCAAACGTCAATACGACAAACAAACATTTTCCGTTGGTAAGAGGTGTCCTTCACTTGTTACAATTGAGTGCCAGGAAACCATTTAAAGACGTTTAGTATAGCACGAATATGTCCCTGTGAAATGCGACTGCAAGAATATTGACGGCTTCTAGAATCTAGCGACAAGACAAGATGGACAGTGGAAGACAGCACGCCGTTGTCGCCCTAGCTTTCCTCTGGCTCAGCGTATATGCCCACGCAGAAAATCTAGTGGTAAGTATCTTGCAGCTCGCACAAATGTCATGTGGTAACCAGATCGGTCGAACAGCGGCTTCACTAGCGCATCTGGGTACTGTAAATTGTGTCGCAGGTAACTTGCGGTAGCACACTTAAGCTCCAGCACGTCCTCACAAAGGCGCGGCTTCACTCACATCAAGTCGCGTACAGCCGAGGGAGTCAGCAGCAGTCCGTGACTGGTTATCCTGATGGAGACGATGGAAACAGCCTCTGGCTCGTTCAAGGCCTTGCTGTGAGTTGCCTCTTCCTCGGCAAAGCCCATCCGTGCGTACTAAAACACACAACAAACGTTTACTTGGCAGGACGAACCCTGTACACCCGGCGCACCCATGAAGAAAGGCACCCGTATGCGGTTGCTGCACGTCGCTACTCGGAAATGGTTGCACAGCCACTTGTACCAGTCTCCATTGAGCAACAGCCAGGAGGTATGAAGCTTCCCTTTTTTCGTTCTGTAGCCTGCAAATAAGCGGTTCACTGTCCCAAGTAGCTTGGGGGGGGGTAAATAGCTTTATGAATTTTCGCATCAATTCTGGCATCAGCACGATGCTCTCCGCCGTGCTATCACAGTTTTTTTTATGTGCTCTGCCTTGGGTTGCCCACTTCCAGGTCAGTGCTTTCGGAAGCGACACGCAGTCGGATGGTGGTGACGTCTGGACTCTGGAGTGGGATGGAAAGGGTAAAATTTGGAAGCAGAACACCAAGGTAAGGTTGCGGGTCAGTGCCAGCTCGTGACAAAGTAGGGTGTTGCTGGAGTTGGGAGTTGAGTTAGATTAGCACGTCGCGTGGATATACGAAGGATCGACTTTTGGCTGCCGACTGCAAAGGGTAGTCGAATAATATTCCGTGGGATTCGCAATCGTACGGGGAGAGACAGAAATTGCCAATCTGCCGTCCTTGATAAGGAGACATGACATTCTGTGCGAAATGCGGCAACTCATGGGAGTGGATTTCAAAGTTTCTTCTGTGGCTAGGCAAAAGGCAGCATAAGCCGAGTCCTTGGTTAGACTTATGATAGCTCCATATTGTGGGTTTTATTGAAGGGACACCGTTCAATAGAATGGTTCGATATCTTATGTTTGGTATTAATAGGGGGAGATTGTTTGCACCTGTGGGACAGTTGTACGCTCTCACGCGGAGTTGTCCTCCGATGTATATGTGTATGCTGGGCATGATGCAGTCCTAGCAGGGCAATGGAACCAAGTGCACATCCTTTTTCCGTGCATTGTCCAGGTTCGTTTCAAGCACGTCGACACTGGCGTCTACTTGTTCTCCCACGATGCGAAATACGGAAACCCAATTGCCGGACAGTTTGAGGTTGCGGGAATCCCGCAAAAAAACAAAAACACAGAGTGGATGGCAGCGGAGGGCGTTTACATGCCCAAGAGCAGTGAGAAAGGTGCAGGCGATGATGACAAGGAGGAACTGTAAAATCTTGTTGGGAGTCTCGCCGGTGCACGATCCTATCGATTTTCAAGATGTGGCGAGCGTTACCATCCATTATCAATACCATCATGGTTTCATTTGTGTGCCGTAACCGTAATTGGCCAGCTTACGTGTGCATGCTCTAAGTAATCGAGTGAACGCTGAAGGAAGAGTGAGTAAGCGAGCGTAAACGGATATGGAATTAACTAGTTCACGTCCTTTCGACTTTGTTTATCTTTGACAGTTGGGACAGTTTCATTCCTGTGACGTGGCTCATCTGTCTTTACCCTGGGCTTTGGCATCAGTTGTTGACCAAGATTCGCAAGTCCATAACTGAGATGCATCAGTCCGTGGAGTGATCACGTGGTACGCTGCCAAACAAGGTTGAGTTTATCGCCGAAACCTGCACACAACAAACTGGCACCAAGTACGGTGGCCGCCTTTTAAGTTGTAAACCCAATAAGGAATGCAGTTGTGAAAATGCACCAAGGACATCTCTGACCGCGGAACCATGCACAAACACCACGGCAATAGGCGTCCAGGATACTGCACCATGCGTTGATATGTCAACCTCGTTGCTCATCCCCGTCATCATCGCACGTCACGAAGCACGTTCTTCTGCACTACTAAATGCAGTGCTCCAGTAACGAGCATCCGAGCCTTGCAACCTGTACAGGGCGAAGCCCCGCCTCACACCCTCTGTCCGTTTATCGCTTCGGTGTTAGGCTGCGGCAGCTGCACATATAACTTGTGGCTTGCGTCTACGACGCCTGGTTGTCCAGGTGCAATGCTGCCGCACGGGGCCGCAGGCATGACGAAGTCACGAAGAGGGCGGCTGCGTGTCAGGTCTATCCGATACATCCGTACAGCGGCCAGCACCTGCTCCGGCAGCTCCTCCGAACTGTTGCCCTGAATAACGAAAGCGTTCTCGAAGATGACTTCGTTCAGCCTGGAGGGCGGTAACAAGCTTACAATATTGGTGCAGTAGAATATCACTGATGCACGCGTTGCTATGCGTGTACGGCAGGTAACTGCTTTAACTACATCGTAGCTCGTACTGCTTTAACTACATCAGTAGCTGCTTTAACTACATCGTTAAAGCAGCTTCGACGGGCCTACCTGTTAAAATAAGCGCTGAACGCTTTTCGGGCAAGGAACTGGTAATTGTGGATATCAATGTCCACCTGCAGCACAAGTGGGCGCAATAGGGATGCCATCGCAATAAACCATCATCATCAGAGTCCGGGGGGATGACCGGCGTCGCAAGAGGTTTGAACAGGTCTTGGAAAATCCTCATGAAACGCATCACAGAGTGTATCCAGGCCCCGGCGGCGATTTATTAAAAAGCCCATGAGTTTTGCCGATAACTGTGCGGGATGGCCACATTAACCTTTACTCAAGGGACTTCATTCCCCCGGCACACATAAGACGCACCTCCAGATAGCCTGGTCCGTTGAAGAAAAAATGTTGCGGACGGGTGAGGATCGGCTTGTCGTTGTAGGTTGACAGCAGCTTGTGCTCCGGGGGACTCAGGGGCCCCTTCATCGCCCACTCGTCCACGTTGACAACGCGCGGAATTAGCTTGAACCTGAACATAGTACGGAAGCAGCAAAGCAGCGATAATACTTTTAGTGTCAGTTCCTCGCTGGGCTTGTTCGGCCTTTCATCCATACGGTGACATCGGTGGACCAGTCATGCTGGAAGAGCGGAGGGTATACAGCATCAGGACTGAGATCCATCTATGCCTCCGATCACCGAGTCGCCCACACCATGGTCATGGTGTCCCCCTGCCTGCCAGCAGCCCGCCATCTAACCCGGCAAACCTTTGCAAACAGGCCCAACGGAGAAATTTGCTGCACCCAGGTGCCCTTTACTGCTCTCCTTTTACCAATACACATCCACGTCAAACCTCAATATTTGTACTTCCCAGGCTATACCCACAAAGCTCTAGATCGAGGCCTGCGGCCAGTAAGAGCACATGATGGCCGGCGGATGCCAGGGGACGTGGGCAACGGAGAAGCCATAACCCTGAAATGCATCACAGCATGACGCTCCTCCGCCCTAATTAGGGGGCTCTCGGGAGCACCTCACCGGTCACGTGTGGGGCTGCCGTCCGCCTCGCGGCCGTTCGTCGTAAATCGCCGCAGTAGCGCCAACGCAGGCTGGTTGTTGTATGCAGCCGGATTGAAGTCCGGTGGCAACGCAAAGTAGTACACGAGGCTCTGACTGGGTCCGTCGTTGCCGCCGAAGATTGTGGGCTGTAAGGGGTGATGAGAACCAGGTACAGGCAGCTACTTCAGGGCGCCAGAAGAAGAATTGTCGACTGCATAACCTCTTAACCCTCCAGCCTGAATAAAATCCAAAAGCATCCGCCAATTCGTTTCCATTGGAATCACACGAATTCCCTTTCCAAAAAAAGAAACGTTGTGCTCTTAAAGCTCTTGCAATCATTGTGCCGTTTTATTAGCTCCCAACCTCGCAATTATCTTTCCATCGATTGGCATAACAGCTCAACTAGCGATGTCCTTCGCTAAGCCATGTGAACACACAGCCTAACCCACAGCATCACCGCACACCCATATCGCGTAGATTCCGAGTATATATGCCCTAGACACGCATAAGTATAGGGCCCGTGAGCTGCAGGCATTTTTCCAAACCACCATGTCTTCGTCGCAGCGACAAAGTGGCCCCGTCTGCTGACTACTTCCACCTCCCAGGAACAGGTACCCAGGACCGCCCCTCTTACAGACCCCAAGACCCGCGCAAAGCCCAATAACACGCACGCATGCTTATCACGGCCATGAAGGCAAACCCACCGAGTACATGGGCAGCATGATGGTTATGATGAGCAGCGGCGGCAAGTGAGGGTCCACCGCCGGCCGCAGCATGTGCTGTATGTTGGCCAGCCGGCCCACGTGTGTCAGCTTGGTATCGGAGCTGATCACGTCGGCCGCCAGCAGCCGATACAGCGCCCTGCAGCTGGGGACCTTTACCTTGGTGCGCATGTAATCCACACCGCGGACCATGAAGGGCCGTCCAGAGGTGCTGGGCGCGTTATCCTCAGCGCCGCCGTCAGCGCACTCGTCCCACGCCTCCCTGACGTCCAACACACTGGTGGACATGTCCCGTCTCTGTGGATGGACGCGGTGGCAGCAGCGCTGTTTGCAATTGGCCCATAGGAGTCCACAGTGGCATGGGAGGGCCTTATGGCCACACGGGTAGTGATGGCCACCATGCCATGACTCTCGGACCGACATAGTCCCCTGCCCGCCGTCTTCATGTTCGTGCTCCGTCTACCACATTCTAGTCACGTGCCCGTTCTGCGACTCCCTCCAACTCCGCTCCGTGGATGCGTTGCCAGGAGGCCTCCCCCTGGCCTGGCAACACACCCAGGCCGCATCCTGGATGTCCCTTCACGCAAGCCGGCAGACCAGCCCCATCCTACGACAGGTTTGCACCATCCCAAGGCCGGGTTGTCCAGCTCCCACCCCCCCACCCACCCGCAAAGTACTCCCAGGCTCCAGTTTGCCCCCCAGTCGTCGCGATGTTGGCCGTCCGCTTCCGGCGCTATCCGCGGTTCCTCCTCCTGAAAGCTGCTGAGGTGCCGAGCCAAAGACCGATGATGCAGCAGCAGCCCCCGCCGCGGTTGGCGTGTTGGCGGATCCGGGCATGCGGATGGCTTCCAAAATGCTCAAGCAGCTGGCCAACTTTGACATCGCTCCGCCTCCGGCCTGAAACGGCTCCTCTGACGTTTCGCTGGTTCCTGCCAGCTGCCCATCTTCAAAGCGCTCCCCGTCCACGGCGACGCTGATGGAGGCCATGGGGACTGCTGGGCCCCCAGGGTCACATGGGCGAGCTCCCGCGCCACAGACGGCCCCGGTATCCACGGTCGGATCCTGTCCCAATGCAGGTGTCAATGCGTGCCGCGCCGCATCAAGTGGATATGATTGGCGCTTTACAGCTAATTCAATTGATGTTGATATGCCCTGTCTGCCGACACGTGCGCAAAGCGAAGATGATGTGATGGAACCCAGCATGACCCTGCACAATGCATTCCTTCCTTCCGCATCGCGTATGGCTCTTGTTTCCCGGCACTTGCCGCAGTAGAACGGGTCCATACGGGACTCGATAAAGTATTTGCTGGTAGCGCACGCTGGCACCTTAGCCACACTAAAAACCTTCTCACACGTGCTTGGGTTCGGTGAGAAACAGATGCCGCTAGAATTCTAGTCCCCCCAGTCGAAAAGCTCTTTTAAACATGGCATCCATAGCAGTATGAGACGTGCTGAAAGTTACGAGAAGCCGATAGCTGCAGGTCCGCGCACTAATGTCCCTTGGGTCAACGTGCGTCCTCCTTGACGGACCTGATCATGATGCTTATCGTAGCTTACAGAGGCTCGCGGCGTGACGTTCGTGCTGCACTGTGGACTGAGTCCTGCGAGGGCGAAGCGCACAGTCACTGGTCGAGGATGGACGCTCTGTTGCGGTCTAGACAAGCAAAAGCCCAGTACTGCTGTCTCACCATCAGCAGCAGAAAAATTTTCTTGCGCGTCGTAGTATTCTGGAGGGGGCAGGACAGATACACGAAGCATGTGACTTCTGCCAACAGTCTTTCAGGGTAGCTGGCAGAAATTGCGCAACCAATTGCAACGACGGTTCCTTGTCATCACCTGAGCAAAAGCTGTTACACGACAGCGGCGACTGAAGTTCGTCCTGCTTTGCCTTTACTCCATCATACTGTCTCTCCTGTGGTCTCCCCGAGCGGCGATTTGCCCGGCGCTTCCCAAAACAACAGCAAAATGGACACATTGCTCATAGAAATGCTGCTCCGATGTTTAGGCGATTGTGTTGAGCCCTTACACAGGGCATACAACTTCAAGAAATTATATTCGCAACCTGCATGTCAACTGTTGGAGAAAAAATACGGGTGGACTGGAATTCATAGGCCTGCGCCGTGTAGGACTACTTCTGAGTTTGACAGAGCCTGTCTGGCTTCGTTCTGTTGTACCGTCACAAAGAGTGAAAATTGGTTGTCAAAGAATATGTGTGCCGGCTGGCGAAATAGTTTCGCATTCTCCGAACATAACGGGAGCTAGGGTGTAAGTGGAGTCTTTAATCATGTTGCCGTACGTTTTGTATTTCTTAGCTAGAGCCTTCAGACACCTCCTTGGCGTGTTATCCTGTTCACTGCTTCGAATGCCTCATCGATCAGATAACTCACGTACCTGTGTTGAAGTTGTGTAACCTCCTATAAGAAGCCCTCCAACAGCGATGCCCTACCCACCCTACCTAACGCCAACTGGATCTGCTCACGTTTGCACAAAGCCAAGAGTCGCATGTTGAAGTTATGTGTGACAGAAAGCTGTTGCAGTTTGCCAAAAAAATAAAAACCAAACAAACCAGGTGGCTTAACAATGCGGCAGGCGATCAACGGTCTCAGAGCAACATCCATGTCATCGAGGCCTGTAGTTGGTGAGCTACAAAGAGCGAAGGGAGAAGGCGATCACTTACATCGCTCATTTAGTAAAGGATGAAACATACACGCTTCCGGAGCCCTAGGGGTGTGCCCTAGGGGCATCCAACATTTCTTCCGAGGAAGAGGAAGATCCACCGTCACCCACCCAAGGTGAGGAACGAAACGCAGAGCCCAGACATGCACGAACAGCGAGCACCACCGAGGACTTAAAAAGAGCGGCAAATCGTAACACCTCAGGACATTCCAAGGCAAAAGTCGAAAGCAAAGAAAGAAAGGGGCACGCACCAGTAGAGACGAGAGGCGGTGCAAGACAGGCCCGGCAAGGAAGAAGACACCGCGAACACAAACCGAACATCAGACACCCAACAGCAAACACAAGCAATAGGACACGATCCCCTCGGCCTCCACACAGCACGCCCCCTGCCGGCTGGACCGCCACACAGCATTAACGCCTCTGTGGGGAAACTCGAGCAAATCTCCGCACACGACAAGTGTTTATCTTTTCCCAAGATAAACACCTGCTACCCCCCCCAGTACCATCTCCTTCCAAGCGGAAACAACCGTCCGATAACAACAACATACCACATACCCCGTACCACCCCACTCCACCCTTCTACTGCCCTCCCTGCCCCCTACCCTCTTGGCAACGGATAGACTGCGTTGGTGCCTGGGACCAGCCAAGGGCTATGCGTTGTACATACATACAACCAAAATGGATCTCTAGCTAGACGTTCAACTATCACCACAATTCACTGGTGATGGTATTGTCCAATGGAACAGAGCACAACAGGGCCTAACTAAGTCACGCCTAACCACATGGCACGCGCCGAGAGCGCATTGTTTACAGCATTGTTCGGGCCCTGAACGACGCTCGGCAAGTATGTGTTTATATGAAAAGCAGCCCTGACTCGCAATGGCCTATTGCGCTAAGGGAGAGACGGCGGCACTTTTCAAACCACCCCGTGCCCCACGCGTCGTGTGGCGAAACTTATGGCACAAGACTTGGATCAGCATACTCCCACAAATGCTACCTCGCTGCTAATTTCCACCCGACGTAAGCTAGGAGTCACGGACAGCCGGGTGTCGAAAGCGCCCCGGGTTGTGGACCCACAGCAACAATTTCATCTTCATCGCACTGTCGAATAAATGGACATTTGCGTTGTGGTTGCACTGCAGGGCAAGGTTTTATTCGAATCGGTCCGCGCGCTCCAGATCTTCACCTGCCGAATGTGCGTGTCTCGCCCGTTTTGATGGTTGGCGAGGACAGCGAGTTGAAGGTGGAAGGCTTTAAGGGGCTCGTGCGGCCAGCTTTCCGATGTCAAGGGGATGATAACCCAGCCCGATGGCTCCTCCAAATCCACAACGCGGACTTCCTGTGCCAGATCAACGGCGCGCAAGGCTGTGCTTTAAGGTGACAGAGGTCGCACGCGGGTGTACGGGGTTGGTTGTGAAACCTTACCTTGAGGTCCTGATACGTGTGGCCCGCGCGAACAGATACGCGACTTGGCGTGTAGCTCTCATCAAGTTTGTAATCCACGTACATGTGCAGCTCCTACGCAAAAGCCACCCAAAATCCATTCGAAAAGCCTCGGCTGCAATCCTATGGCCGATGGCCGATTGTGAGCTAGAACATACCAGCAAAGGCATTTTACGTTGGAACTGTATGTTAATCAGGTGCGGCTGAAGACCGTCTGATCTATGACCAATGGAAGAAGGGACATAGGTCACGGACACTGTCACATGTCCATAAGCTGAATATATACGTAGGTTTTATAAATAGAAAACAAATCCATGCTTACTGCCAGAAAGTTTCTGCATTGCCGTCCCGTAGCATTTCGACTCCATTTCCCGGCTTAGCGCTCGTCACTGACCACACTGCAAGATGCCCAACCTCGCGCCTGGGCATACTGGAATCGTTTAATCCTGAAGGCTGGACACCGTTCATGTTGTTGGAATACTCAAGGGAAAATACCTAACCGCTAAAATAAGCAATGCTGTAGCCCTGCTGAGCAACGCTAAGACTCTGTGCGGTGCTAGACTCTGCGCGGTGCAAGCAAATGCAAGTCAGCTGCTGCACTGGCATGGAGTGGATGTATCGGCAGCACAAAAGGTGGCCCATAAGTTCCAGTCAAATCGTTTACAAAACGCCCCAAGGCATTCATCATGTAGTATCATGAGCCCCGACGCTTAGCAAGCATCTGCAGGACCTGCTTCACCGCACTGACAATGTTCGTAACTTGCGCAGAGTGCCGTACATCCTCCAGCCGCGCTTTAGATCAGGCTCAATTCGAGCGTTATTTTATTACCCCGATAGCTCTCTGCGCCACGCACCAAGCTCTTAAGAGAAGTGGCATTATTGTTACAAGGGACTGCGATATGCCGCTGCTGCCATTACGTCATCGTATAAAACCGCTCAAACAATTGCTAGCAAGTGAAGTGCATTCAGTATCCTACTATACATCCACCTACTACGGCGCCCACAATTTAGGATCGTGCCATTGCACATGTATTTGTTCATGTAGGCTTCACGTACGACAGTTCAGACCTGGCTACCCAGAACAAATGAATAAATGTAGTCGCCGCCATCACGCATCGCCGGAGCTTAACTAGCTGTCAACTAACGCTCTCACTGGCATCACAAACAGCCAGCCCCTGCCAGGCCTGTAAATGTAAAGCGTCAGCACAATTCCTCTGCGACGGGTTGATGAACAGAGAGTGAAGGTCCATGACGCAGCGCAAATCGCTATGACCTCAACACGTTGAATGAAGCGCATGGCACCACTACCCTCGATGAGTCTCGCCTAGTTGACAAACACATAAAGCGCAAGGCGCCCCTGATACAGCTAATACAGTAAATCTAACGACTATTAGGATGGACTCTTCGTACAATTCCGGCACCCGCAGACAGCTAGACCGGTAGGGGACACCACCCCAGATGCCCCCGACCGCTCCCCTTCTTCGTTAGTTAGTACGGCCTGGCCGAGTTCTTTTTGAATAAGGCCCACAGTGTTGTGCGGGAGGCGTTCCTATGGGCGCTGCACTCGACCCGTTCGGGGTCCACTGTAACAATCGCATCTCCCCTTCTTCGTTGACTCTTAGGGTTTTAGGGTTTTCTTCGCCACGTACCGTACCCGGCACATGCCGGAGCGGCACGACGGGTAAAAGCCGTTCAATCCCATATGACATTGTGATCCGTCCCCATTCATAATGCATTCGAGGGACGAGGGCGACAGACGTGACCTCGCCGCGCACTCACATCACGCACAGGTCCGTTCCGCCGGCCGAACCGCTCGTCCTGACATCGCAAACCCACACGCACAGAAGTACAGACATACAGACGCACACACACGCACACACAGACACACACCAAGGTTCGTTCCGAATAGGCAGAAACCCTCCTAGTCTGAGGGGCTGCGGTTGAGTTTCCCTGTCCCACTACCACCACCACCACCACCACCACCACCAGTACTCAGTCCCCGCAGTCCCCGCAGTCCCTCAACCCATACATCAATCCAACCCAGATCAGCTAAGTTCAAAAACACCGCACACCCGGGCCCTGCTGCCGCCGGCCGCATCCTGCCCCACGACCCCTTGACTGGGGCCCCCCGCTACGCGTCAGGGGTCATGTTGTGTCCCGGTGGGCATCCTGCCCTCCGCTAGCAAGTGCCTCCTTCTGCGCCTCCTGGTCTGAGGGGCTGCGCACCATGAGCACCAACGTCTGGTCGTGCAGCTTGCGCCAGCCGGTCCGGATAAGGCCCTTGACCACCTTCATTGGCAGCCCGGGCAGGAACACGGAATTGTTGAAGGGGTAGGACTTGAGCTGCGCCGGGAACCTGCGGCGAGGAGTGCGGGCTTCCTTGAGGATGTGTTTTTGGGTGCAGGAAGGTGCTCTGCAGCAGGAGGAGAGTGGGAAGACGGTCCCCTTTCTCCACTCCCCTTTCGCGCTGGTGGTGGCACCAGACGCAACCTCCCCCCATCCTCGCTCACCTCTCCTGCCGCAGCTGACCGTCCAGTTCAATCGCGACCTGTACATGATATGGCGGCTGCTCCGAGGAGAAGACGGCATCGGGGTACCACTTGTGAGCCAAGTGCATGCTGATCCAAGGTATCGTACGAATTACCAGCTCGTCAGTGGCTTCGGCGGCGACGGCGGCGTCCAGTTCACCGGAGGTGTTGACGGCGGCGGCGGCTTCTCCCGCAGCAGCACCGTCACTGTCTCCGCCGCAGTCGCCGCCAGCGATCGCGACCGCGGCCTCTGCAGCTGCGGCATTGTCGCCGTCACCGGCGCCACGCAGCTCCCGACGCTGCGACTGACACACTGCCATGACCAGCGCCGCCGGCGATGCCCCCGGTTGAAGGTGTCCTACGACCTCCTCAAACCCAGCGGCCCTCACCTCGTACTGCTCGTCCTTGCCACGTGGCTCCACGTCCCGCTGTTGGCAGGCTCCTTCAGAGTCCAGACCGCAGCTGCCGCCGCCGCCGCCGCCTTGCACTCCACCATTACACGCCAGCTGTAGCACCGACATGCCGGGCAGTCGCCCAGTCGTTTCGGTTCCACTTTGGCCGTGTGCTACAGCCGCTATCTCGCCGCTGCAGTGCCCGGGATGGGACTGCGCTGTCAACACCTGCCCCAGATGGACGCCTGGGCAGTCGTCTGTGCTGCAACCCCCGCAGGACGTCCCCTGGCTGCAGAAGCCCGCGTCACCGCAGCCGCCGTTGCCGCCACTGTCGGAAGTAGTAGCCGCCGTGGCGGCAGCGGCTGCAGCAATACGGCGCCTGAGCCAGGGTTTCTTCCAGCCACGGCAGCCGCCGGCAGCATCAGCCGATGCCGTACACACGCCCTGATCAACTCCGCCGCGGAGGTTGAGCTGCCGCTGCGGCTGCTGCGGCTGCTGCTGCTGATGGGGCAACGGTACCGTTTGTTTGATGCTTAGCGGCAACCTGTCGCCAGGACTTTCTCGCGGCTGTTGGTGTTCAAATCCCCAGACGGTGGCCTCCGGGACCACTCCACGCGACTTCTTTGCGGCCCAGGTCTCCGCGTCCTCGCGCTCATCATCCTTCTCCGGTGCCGGCGGACTAACGGAGGAAGAGCTCGCGGGAGCTGCCGGATCCTCTCGACACCGCTTGGCGCCGACGCCGCTGTTGGCCCTGTTGGCGTTGTACGGCGGTGCGGTAGCGGCACCGTCATCTGCCACTACACCACCGCCATCGGTAGACGCCGCTGCCGTCGGCGCCGGAGCCGACTCTGCGACCTGCGGTTGGGCCGCAACCTCTGCCCCGCTTCCAAGCCTGTCCAGAGTATAGTCGCGTGCAGCGCCGGCGTGCTGAGCGGGCAAGTCCTTCTGCTGGTGCTGGTGCTGGTGCTGGTGCTGTGCCAAATTTAGGGAGTCTTCGTCGGCCCGGCTTACAACCCCCACCATTTCGTCACCGCTGTCACGGCCGATCTTCGACAGCTTCTCCTGGCTGCGATCCTCCTCAGCTGCAGGGAGGGCACCGGGCCCCAAGTGGGAGCGCGCCTCAGGCCTCCTCTCCGCACTCGCGTCATCCAAGGCCCCGTCCGCGGCGGATCCGGGCTCGCACCGTGCAGCTCGGAGGAGGCGGAGGAGGCTGCCGTCACACAGGGCGGAGGCCCCGGCAGTTCCAGGCGCCACGCCGGGCCCTCCCGCAGCTTCAGAGCCTGACCGGACCTGCTCTACCGCTCCAGGCCCTGCCGCCGCCGCCGCCGCCGCCGCCGGCACATCAGCATCAGTCTCTACGTCCGGACGGCAACTACGCATCTGGTCTCCCACATCCTCCACATTTATGGGATGGGCAGTCATTGCCAGGGATGTACATCCCCCGACTTTGGTATCTGCGCTGCCTCGCTCAGCGTCGCCGCTGCGGTCGCCAGTGGTGCATTGCAGCTGGCCAAAATCCAAACTGGCGGGCCCGCCAAAAGTAGGACGCGCAGGCGCCGCCTCCCGGGCTGTGGCGTCTACGGAGGCCTTTCCCACCCGCTCCGCCTCACGTTGCCACAGCCAGCGGCGCGGCTTGCCGGGACCGGGACCGGAGCCGGCGGCGGCGGCGGCGGCGGCGGCGGCTCCGAAATTCTCCGTGGTTGCCATCCTCCCGCGTCGCATGGACCAGTCGGCCGGCGGCTGGTCCCACGCTACCGCCACCAGCAGGTTGCCTGGCTCGTCCAGCCAATAGATGCCCTGCAGGAAGCGACCTCGAAGCTGGCCCAGCGGCTGCGGAGACGGCAGACAGAGGTAAGGGATGAGGGGGCCGCTCATATACACTGGCCGGAAAGGGGGGGAGGGGGAAAGAGCGCTGCGGGGATGGGAGGTTGCGCGACCAGCCCCGCTCGCGCGGCCCTCCACACAGCGGGGGGTGGGATCATGCGCACTCCTGTCAAGGAGGCCGAGGAGGGCTGCTAAAGATGACGCATGCGAGAGGGTGGAAGTGCTGCGGGATGCAAAATGATGACATGGCTGGCTGGTTGGTGGGCGTCCTGGCCCCGTCCGGATTTGAACCCGTCTACAAAACGCCCACAACGAAGATGACGACCTGCCCGCGGTGAGTTGCCGCCTGGACAACAGGTTGATGCAACAGATGCTGACGACGAACACTGCATGTCGCTGGGGATACAGCTACAGCTGCAGCTGGAGCTAAGACTACGGCTAGGCTGGTCATCATCAGAAAGGGGCCCGCCAGCCACCCCACCCGCCGCCACTCACCGCTCCTTTGGGGTAGAAGGAGCCCTTGTGGCAGCCCTCCTGCATGCCCACGTGGGGGTGATGGGGTGATGGGGTGGCGGTAAGGGAGCAGAGAGCAGGAGGTAAGGGCGGGCAGGGCAGAGGCGGAGCGTCGGGAAGGCGGGAAAGCGGGATGCGAAGGGAAATGTGCGGCGGTAGTAAGGCTCTCTAGTGGGGAAGGAGAAGAATGGCCCAAACGGAAAAACGAAGAAAAAGTCTTGCGTCGTGCTGAGGGTCTTGAGTCGCGCGACGGGCCATTTCTTTCCTTCCTTCCGCCTACACCGTCCCCCCCGTCCGGGCTCCTCCGTTGTAAGGGAGGGGGGGTCATCAGGCATGGCATGACATGGTCTTTGCATGCCGTCATGTGTTCAGGTTTGCGCGTCCGTTAGACCACCAGGCTAGTGTCCACAAGGCATCGTTTCGTACCAGTGTACGTCAACATGGCTCCGTACCTTCCACTGCACGTGGTACATCTCGGACATGAGCGTGCCGTTGAGCGACAGCTGCATATCCGATTTGGTATCCGATTTGAATCCGGGGCCGTACAACGCCTGCAGCTGCCGACGGCCGATGTACAAATTGGTGGCGACGATGCGGGAAATGAAGGAGCTGGAGCCCATTGCCCCGGTGCCGTGCTGGTGGTGGTGTGGTGGCGAAGGACACACGAGCACCCCCAGGCTGCCTCCAGCGGCGGCCGCCGCCGCCAGCGGCGGCGGCTGTGCAAACGTACGGCCGGCAATGCCACCAGCGGTGGCGCTGTTCCCATGCGCGGTGTCCTGTCGGCGCTGCACGTCATCCGGTCCGCCGAACTGCTGCGGGGTGTTGAATGAGCCGTTGGTGTTGTGCGGCGGCGGGCCAAGCGTGTGGACATCGGCGGTAGCGGTGTGAGTGATGCTGACAACACTAGGGTCGACCGGGCGAGAGCACTGAATGGGAACATGCCGGCAGTGAATGATAATGATGATGCGGCAGTGAAATAAGAGTCAGGTTTGGGGGCTTGTAACGTTCATAGGCAGCTACGTCGGTAATGCCCGTCGGTAAGAGCTGCCGCTGCCGCTGCCATAACAGCAGCAGCAGCAGCAGCAGTAGCAGCAGCAGCTGTCGCACTCGGAACCTCTACGAAAGGCGCGCCTTCCAGAACGATGTGTCGTGTAAGGAAAAGGCGCCAGGGATGGGAGGCAGCGATGTAGGGAGGGGGGAGAGTGCGCCGGCTTTGGCTCGCACCCAACACACACGCACACACACACACTCACATCCACCCATAATCACATCCACCCATACACACATGCACATGCACTCCGTTGAATTGGCCTGCGCGCACCTGCTCGAAGGCGGTACGGGTGCGCTTCTGCCTCCGAGCCCCCACTGCGCCTTTCCCCACCGCCGCCTCTGCCGCCGCTGCCCTCTCCTCCAGTAGCGCTTGACCCGCGACCCCCGCCAGCGCCTCCAACGTCATGTGACACGAAGTAGGCTTGTCGGCGCCATCGACCTGTATGTATGTATACATGCAGATACAAGTTACAAGTCCCGCACAAGCGCGGGGGGAGTCCGGGAAAGCCCCGGGGAGGCCGAAGCGCCACAACCAAACCCACCTGCGGGTTGCCCCACGACGCTGCTGATGGTGGTGGTGGTGGTGGTGGTGCTGCTGCTGCTACTGCTGGACTGCGCCGCCGCGGTCGCCGCCGCTTGTTCCGAGCTGCCGGCGTATCAGTGTCCGAGTGTCCGCTGCCGTACTTAAAGTCCGAGGTATCGTCCTCCGTACACGTGTCCTCCTCTAGGGACCACTTGCTGCGGTAGCTGCGCTCGCCGCCGCCGCCGCCGCCGCGCCGCCTGGCACCACCGTGCCGTACAGCGTCACGGTGCTGCTGGTAGCTGCCGGCACGCGATGGTACGACATCCCTGCCGTTGCTGTCCCGACGGGCTATGCCCGCCGGATTTGAGACCTTTGGGCGCGATGGATGGAGGGAGGGAAGGGGGGAGGGAGCGGTGGAGATGCCGATGGCAGGGGAGGGGACGGGGGAGGGAGGTTGACCAACTGATGGCTGGCCTAGGAGGGGAGAAGACCAAGGAGGGGAAACCCCCTACCCGCTCCGGAACCCCTCGGTGGGGCCGTGACTCGGCCGAGCTCCCAGCCACCACCTCCCGCGGCGCTCCCGGCTGCCTGCCGCTGTGTATCGATGCCAGACCACCCGTGTTGCCTGCCCCCAACCCCCCAGTAAATAGGTGACAACACTCGCCCCCTTCCCCCCCCAACATCCCCTCCCCCACCCCACCCCCCACCCCCCCACACACACGCATGCCGCAGCCACCGCAGCGGCTTAAAAGTGTGGTGCCAACCGGGCAACGTGCCACCGGCGACGCGATAGCCCCAGCTCAACTTCTCACCTCACCCCCACCCTGCCCCGCCCCGCCCCAATACCCAGTCCCCACCTGCGCCAGCACCAGCGTGTTGTCCGCCATCCTCCTCCACTGCACTGTCGCGTTGGGGGGCACACTGCGCCAGGGCAGTCCGTCCACTCCCCGACCGCTGGAGGCCTTCAGGTAGAAGGGCGAGCTGGCGTTGTAACGCTCAATGTCCGCAACGAATACCTAGATAGACACGAGAGTACGCACGTGATAGGACAGGTAGGGTAGGGGTAGGGTAGGGTAGGGTAGGGTAGGGTAGGGTAGGGTAGGGTAGGGTAGGGTAGGGTAGGGTAGGGTAGGGTAGGGTAGGGTAGGGTAGGGTAGGGTAGGGTAGGGTAGGGTAGGGTAGGGTAGGGTAGGGTAGGGTAGGGTAGGGTAGGGTAGGGTAGGGTAGGGTAGGGTAGGGTAGGGTAGGATACGATGTGATGTGTGATATGATATGCACCGGAGCGCCAGGGCACCACGGGCCGCGTGCTTCTCAGGGGGGAGGGGAATGAGTGGCTGGGGGTGGTTGAGCGGCCGGTCGGGGTTTCCTCACCTCTGGGAGACGCCGCCCGTTGACCTCGAACATGACACGCACACCGGCCAGCTTGTTGCCGCTACATAGCTGGTCGTACACCTCCGGCCCCACCAGTAACTCCAACTCCGCCTTCGTCACGTAGCGAGACAATGATCGAGGAGGGCATGCCACCAGCACATCCATACAGTACGGCGCCTCAGTCGCCGCCGCGCGCTCCTCGCTACCATTCCCGCCGCCGCTGCCACGCTGCCGCTCCGCGGCCGCGGCGGCGCCGCCGCCGCCACGGTCGACGGCGCGCAGCTCGCCGGGCAGAGTTTCATAGTTCGGGCCAACCCAGTTGAGCTCGTTAAGACTGTTGGGGAGGTTGTTAATGTTCAAGCCGGGCAGGGAATCCAAGGCAACGGCCTGGTCTTGGGAGTCCGCGTTGGCCGTGTTCGGGAGAGGCCCCCGGAAGCCCCTCGGATCTGTCGCGTGCGCTGCTGCTTCCGCCAGTACCACTGCTACTGCGACATTACCGCTTCCGCCGCGGCTCGTAACAGCGCCGCCGGCAAACCGTGAGCAATTCGGCTCCGCCGCGGTGTCGGTGGAGCGCCCGGCTCCGATGCTCTCAGTCCCGATCGTAGGTGAGTGGAGTCCCGACCCATGGGTCGCATCCGCAACAGCGGAGCCCCAGCGCTGCGGCGGTGGTTGCGCCAGCTCTGCCGCCGCATCGACGTGGCCTTCATCACCGCAGCCGTCCTGACCGTCCCCATCGCCGTCGCATCCATCGCTGGCGGCGGCGGCACAGCCGCCGCCGCTGGGCCCGCCGCTGGCGGCAAGCCACGCGGCGCGGCGGAGCCCCGCTGGCTTGAACGACGCGAGCTTGGGCATCGCTGCGGCGTCCTTGGCAGTGAGCTGTAGTACGCCTTCATCCGCATCGCCAAGGCCACCGCGGACACTGCCGCTACTGCCGCCGTACGGCCGCCCCCGCGTGGCCCACAGCTGTAGTAGTCCGGAGCGGCAGCGGCGGAAGTGAATGGTGGTGTCCGCCAGGCGCTTCCATGGTATGGGCGGCGAGGTGAGCTCTTGAGCAGGTACGCTGGTGAGGTAGCGAGGCGAGCTGCTGTTGTACCTGTGGGTGCGTGTGTGTGCGGATACGTGTAGCAGATACGTGTAGCAGATGGAGGCGGTTCCCGGGCAGCAGCCGGCGGGCGGGGGAAACGGAAAAGGAGTGGGGATGCCTAGGTGAAATAAGGAAGAAACGCGGGCCGTGGCGTGGCGTGGCATGGCGGAGAGAGAAGCGGTGTACTGTTCCGTACACCATACCCTTCCGGAGGGAGGTAGAAAAGTGAGCTACGTGAGGATGCCCACGTGGACGCCAAGCCACGCCAGGCCCACCTTCAAAAAATCGCTTTGGACCCCTTGCCACTCGAGACTTCAGTGCCTCACCCTCAAAGCCACCCACCTGCACAGCTGCGCCTCCTGCGGCGGCCCCAGCGCCTGACCATCCAAGAACATCTGCATCAGCAGCAGCAGCCCACAAGGCGGGTTGCACAGCACCCTGCTGTCGCGCTCCGTAAACAGCGTGCGGATCTCCCCGGACGTCAAGTAGCGGCTCATTTGGCGGGGAGCGGAGCGAGCGACCACAGGGTCAGATGCAGCCAGGTCTACGCCGCCGCTGCCGCCGCCAGCGGCCGCAGCGCTGCTGGTAGTGGTGGTGGTAGTGGGAGCTCCCGCCCCAGCTGCCCCAGCTGCCGGCGCGACGACGTCCGCATTTCCCCCTTCCTACGGGGTGGGGACCATAAGTGGTTGAGTAGCGAGTGGGTAAACTGGCTGGAGGGTGGGTACATGGTACCCATCGCACTAAGTTCATGACGCTCGTTGAGGGTAACGGCATCCTAAAAAGAATTGGAATCGGAAGCGGGACTGAAGTTTCCAGAAAATGCACGGAAGCGTGACAAGGCGTGACAGGGACTATAAAACTGCGGCAGCAGAAGATAATGGAAGCAGGCGTAATTATCGACGAGTGAAATCCCCTGCAGGCGGCCCTGTGCAGCCACAATGCCATTCAGTCGAGGAACAGCTACCTTAGCCACCGCCTTCTTGACCGCGCCATAGGACCGCACCGGCTTGCTTGAGCAGCTTGCTTGAGCAACTTCACCCTCTTTCCCCCTCCCTGTCCTGCACACCTGCGCATGGCTACGAAGCGCCGCCCCAGCGTCCTGGTCTTTGCAAGCTGCGGATGCCGCCGCCGCCGCCGCAGCAGCAGCAGCATTAGCACCGATCTCCTCTCCTGCTGTAGCGCCGTTGCCATCCTCGCCAGGTGGGTGCGACGGCGAGGACTGTTCTGCTTTGGCGGCGGTGGTCGTGGCAATAGCCATGATGGCAGCAGGCAGTGCATGACTGGGCTGCTGCGGCATACGCGCCTTGGCGCATTCCTCCAACGACGGGGATAGGGCGGGTGAGGGCTCCTCCTCCTCCTGCTCCGGAGAAGGGCGGGAGGCTGTCGTCGATGAGGGTGCTGGTGAGGCATCCAGCAGCCGGTCAAGAGGTCTGTCTTCCCCTACCTCCGCTTTCAGCTGCAGCAGTTGCTGCTGCTGCTGGCGGGGCTGGACCTGGTTTGCCAGTTGGGTTGGTGACGGCGGCAGCAGGGGGTCCTGGGGGGAGACCACATAACGTTCTTCAATCCTAGTCGTCCGGGAAGCGAAGGTAGGGGCCTCGGTAGCAGTCCCCTCTTGTCTTGGGAGTGAGGGCCCTCTTCGACGGCCTTTGCTGCGCGGTCCGGCGGAATGGGCAGCGCCGGGAACCCGCGGCATGTCCTCGGCGTCGTACGTCTCAAAGCCTGCGCCGTACAGCCCCGCACCCGTGGTGCCGACGTCGACCTTGTCGTCGGCGAAGTCGGAGGCCGTCAGCGCCAAGGTCTTGCCCGGCCTTGCGCGCGTGGGATTAAGCTGTTGGAACGAAGTTGCCACGCTGGATCGTCGTTCCTGCCCTTCTTCTTGGTGGTGTTGTCGTTGTTGTTGTTCCTGCGGCTGCTGCGAGATCAGCACCGTATGCCCTCGTGACTCATGTTGTCGCTGCCGAAGAGACTTCAGCACGGCGGCCTGCTCTTGCGCCTGCATCCGCTTCTCCTCTGCCCCAACCTCCACCGAGTGTGCCGCCTCCTCCTCCGCCTCCTCCCAATTCATCGGCTGTTGCATCTGCCTCTGCTGCTGTTGCTGCCAAAGCAAGCGCTCCTCCTCTTCCAACTCCTGCCGCTGATGATAATGCTGTGCAGCACGCCGCGCCGTCTGCATCCTGGAGAGCTGCTGTTGAAGGGCCCTCTGCTGTCGCGCCAGAGCCGCAAGCGCTTCCAGCAAGGTCTCTTCGGCCTCAGGGCCCGGAGCTTCCGGCGCACGCACCGCAACGTCGTCATCGGCCGGCCTCAGGCCCCGCACGCTGCGCACGTGCTCCTCTACCCACTGCTCCTCCTGCAGCTGCTGCAACGGCGGCGGCGGCGCCACCTTCCGCACCTTCCATTCCACCCAGTATACTTCGCCAAGGCTCATCTTATCCAGGGGCTCCAAACGCCAGCCCACCGTCGTCCAGCCCTGGTAGGCGGCTATGGCCTCGGAAATGAGCGGGTCCGCCAGTACACCGCTACCGTCGTGCTGTACCACCAACGCGCCAGGGTAGTGCCCCGACGCCGCGGCCGCATCCGCGGCTGCCTCCGTAGCGCTGACACCGCCAGCGCCGCGGCGAGCACACTCGACTCCGCGGCTGCCGTCGTCGACCGTGAGTACGGCGGGGATCTGGTCTCCGGGCCGCGCGTCGGGAATACTCCGAGACACAAAGGCGCGCGGGATGAGTAACGCCGCGGTCAGAGGACGAACCCCCGTCGGCTCAGCTTCAGGTGATGACGACGGCGCCGCCGCCGCCGCCGCGCGCAATGCCAGCGGCGGTGGCGGCGGTATCTGAGCTCCTCGCCGAACAGACGGTTCCTCGAAGGCTGTGTACGGCAGCGCCGGCGCCGCCGTCATGTTACACGGGCCAAGACGTAGCCCTTCCAACTGCCTATCAACCGCTGACCTCGGATAATGCTGCTGCTGCTGCTGTTGCTGCTGCCAGCCGAGCTTGACGGCGTCTGCCCGCAGGTGTGCATTCTTCGGCGTCGCAGATGCAGCCGCGGGGCCCCCGGGCCAGAGGCGCAGCTGGGGGCTTGATGCCGTCCCCCTTACCGATGCCTCCGCAGTGCGCTTGCCACTGACACCGCGTATGGAGTCGCTGTGAAACAACCCCACGGGACAATCGACTTCCTCGGGAGGAAGCGGATGTAGCTGCAACTGCATTGCCTGCTGTAGCTGTGAGTGTGAACGGGCTGCCTGCTGAGCTGGTGTTGTCTTCTGAGCCTGCTGCTGCAACTGCATTGACGGCGGCTTTTGCGACATCATGAGCGACATGAGGTTCGAACCCGGGATGCGTGGCTTGCCCAGATGCAATAATGGCCGGTCGTCAGCCGCCGCGGCGTGTGAACTGTCCATCGGCCAGTCCTCGTGGGGCTGCCAATGCTGCGTATGGTGGCTGCCGCGCTGCAGCATAGCGCCGTACACCGTCGGAGGCAGCGCCGCCGACCCATCCTGCGCTGCAAGCGCCCGTACCACCGCCGCCATCAGCGCCGCGGTATCCACCTTCCCATCAGAAGATAGAATGTCCTCGGCGCGCTCGTCGTCTAGGCCTCCAACGGTCTCAGTAACCGCATATGGCAGACGGCCCCGGCTATTCCGATGCCCGGGGTCGGGCGTAAAGCCGCCGGGTGCGGCGGCCGCCAGCGCCGGAGCAGCCGGAGCGCCAAGGTGCCAGTCTGAGTGAACATCAACGCCGGTGCCCCGGCTGGTGAGTGGGCCGCGGTCCTTGCGGGGCGATGGAGATCCGCTTCCCTGTACAGCGCCATCGCCGTAACCGTCGCCAACGCCCGGCGTGGGCCCTTCCAGGCTGACCTCCTGGGTGTCACAGGCACGCACGAACACACAGTGTGGGTTACGTTCCCCCCCGTCTCCCCGGCCATATATATACATATATATACACACACATATATATGTGCGAATTCAGGCGGCAAGGGTGCGATAACCAGGTACCATAGCAAACAAATATGGATGGATGGGCGGATGGATGTGTGGGGATGTGCGGGTTGGCGGGTAAGGAAGGCAGGAATTGGCGGTGCGCTTCCTCTGAGCCCTTGTACTGCAGCTGGAAATAGCGAGTCGCGGTCCATGCAATCCATCCAACACCCACACCGGGGCACTCCGGTGAGATCCACCCTCCCCATTCTCTCCTCCTCTCCCCTGTTTTCCCCCCTTCCCACCAGCCCACCTGCCAGACGCGGGCGTTTAGGCTTGGATGTCGTACGCCCAACCTGAGGCTTCCCCCCCGCCTGGTCTGCTCTTGAGACCTGACGGGGGCCCAGGGAACCTCCTCCCAGTCAGGCAGCTGTCGCAGCAGCCCGTCAGACACATGCCTGAGATCCTGCTGGCCGCAGGGGGGGCCACAGAGAGAGGGGGATCGACGAGGGGGAATTGAAGAGGGGGGATTGGCGGGTAGCGGCGTAGTAGTGCTAAGGTTGGTGGTTTGGGGCCTCGGGTCATTTCGACGACTTGATGGCACTGCACAGTAGCGGTGCGCGATGCGGGGCTTGTGGAAGTGTGCCGTCCTTCTTGCTGACTTCGTTTCGTCCGTTTTGGGGAAATGTTTGCAAGGGTGGGAATGGTGGTGGTGACGAGCGGCTTAGCTGATGTGCTTGCAGGGTTGGTTGTTCGCTTCATCCCCTGGAGTGTTGGAATTTGCCGTGTGAGGGACGGACTGTAGGGCGCCGGAATCGTCATCCACATGACAAGTGTGCGACACCTGCGCTGTACGCTCCCGTTGGGGGGATGTACAGCGCTGTCCTAGAAACATGGGCACATGCACGGCCTGGTCGGGCGGCATGTACAGAGGAAACCTATCCAGCTGATAGGAAGGATAACGCAAGCACTAACAAAAATCCACCTAACCTAGCAGGTAAATTTAGCAGGTAAATCTCCTTGCGCTAATTTAAGCGGCAGTAGTTATGCACTGCAAACATCCGTATATCAGTTATACCGTAGACCGGCTTGTATGTCATAGAGCCGCGCTGAGCGAACCAACAATGGACCACCACACTTAACAGCGTCGCACCTAGCCCGCGAAGCTCAAAGAAAACATGACAGTATCTACTAATTGGTCAGACATCGCATATTTGCATGATCCCTTACTGTCCCTTGCACTGACGACATTTCCGACATTTCCGAACGGTCTTCCCTAAAGGAAAACGGAGCTGAAGAGTTCTGCAAGGATAATCCATGCATATAATGCAATGGCATCGGCTAATGAGGAATCTAGATACCCCAGCCACCGGTCCCTGGGTTGCCTTTACGAACCATTTTGGAGTCTACTTCGTTACGCAACAGTTTGCGCGCAAGCCACCAGTCGTGCATTCTATGAGTGAACCCATACGCTTAGTTGACAGACATAGAAGAGTTCCCCTTCACAGAGAGGGGGCTAGCACATCGGCGCTTTGAGCGCAGGCGGCCTTGAAGCACCGTATACGAACGATCTTTAAGGTGTCCTCCTATGTTCCAGCCAACTGGATGTGGTGTTCAGCGCATACTGTCGCCCTTAGTTCTGAGAGCCACGGACCTCCAGTGCACTCACCTTCATGGAGGGTATCGATTTACCCCTTCAGTGTTATGGTAGAACCTGAAGCTCCTGTACTAGATATGAATGGCTGTACCAAGAAACACCACGAGCTGCACGCGCGCGTGCGCGCATGCAGAAGCCTCAGGCTGCTGAACAACCTTTTGGCGACTCGTGTATGCCGTAAACAAGTCAGCCAGGCCTGCTGACCTCGGAGTTTTCTTAATAATCTACAGTTTGCGGCTGAGTGCGACGGGGCGTCGTAAGCTGGCGGCCTGTGACGGACTTGCAAAAAATAAGGCTCCCCAGTCAGACTAGCACTTATCTACCAACCAGCAAATGGCGTCGAAATTTTGCGCATTATGGTGTAAGGTTCTACTTTATCAGCAAAGCATTTTATTATTAAAAGAACGGACCCGGGCACATGCTGGGCATCTTTTCGAGGACATCATGCCCTTGGCCTTACCGTACCGCCCGTCTTTCTTTGCTCCTCCTGAGCGAATGCCGTCATAGAATAAAGCATCATGGCCTACATGAATAGGATTTATGTCCTAGGCTTGTGTGCTGACGTTGCGAGCATATGACCACGCTTGTGTGATGAGCGAGTTGGGATTCCTGATATCACTTGTGCAATGAGTTTGGGACGAATGCTGCTGGTTATATCTTTTCATTTAAGCTGGTAAGGTGCAGCTTGTTGCTAGGCGCTGGCCGCCACGCAAGTGTAACGTGACAGCGAAACTTTGGTTATTGCGATGGAAAGCATGCGTGCTGACATGGGCACCGTCGCAATGTACTGACCGAAAATCCCAAAAAAACTTGAGTGCGTCCTCATTAACCTAAAGTGCCGCGCATGTTTGATGTATGTGCTTGTTTGATGTATGTCCTTGTTTGATGTATGAGCTTTCTATGCTGCAAACCTACGGAACCTTATCCATTAAGCTGCCAATGCTCCTGGTCAAACCATTTGCTTTTTCACACTACGCCGGTTACAATGGCGTATTATGTGTCTATCCGAAACTGCTTCATAGGGCCTAGTTGGCTAGGGAAATTCGGACACGTGGCTGTTCAGGCGCCCCGGCCCACGCTGCAGCAGGCAATGACCCGCCTCTACCGCGTGCGCTTGTCACCAATCCCCCGGCTGGTGTGAGGCCGCCATGGTTTTGTACGTAAGAGACAATCCGCTCGTGACATTCGGCATCTTCTCGGCCTTCACCCATGATAATGTTGCCTGGGCGGCACTGAGGGGTGCACTGGTTGTTCCGCCACTATCAGTCTAGCTTGGACAGAGGGCTGGCGGGCGACGACTCGGCCATCTTGGCTACCGTGGTCTGCTCTAGCAGCTGGCCCAGTCAAACTTATTGAGTTGCCTGGGCATGACGGCGGTGTCGCGAATGCTGTCTAAAACTATGGGTGCTTCCTGTCTGAGCTATCCTTCTAGTGATATCTCGTGCCGCCTTTTCCATGGCCAGCAGATCCCTGGATGCACTGGAGCTGTTTGTGTCTGTGTAGACAAGGACTGCACCGGCATGTGGTGTGGGGATGTCCCCCAGGTGTCTGCTGCCGTCCTCATCAGCGTCGGCTGCGATTTGCACTGACACTACCCCTGGATTCCTTTTGGACCTACCGATGTTTGGACCTTTTCTTCATTTAGCGTATATATGGTCGATGGACCCCGTGCGCAGCCGAAATGGGGACAAAGAAGGTCCAAATGTAGCTCCAAATCGGGCGCGAACGAGCCTTCTGAACCAAATTCTGGACTGCTCGCGTTTGTGAGCCCTATCTAATATCTTAGTAGGCCTGTAACACAACTTTAACTAAACAAATGAACACGGCCCAAAGTTGGCTGGGCGTTTTCTCCTTTTTTTGATTACGAACCCAAAATGCGCTGCAGGTGCGCGCTAACGACGCCAAAGATTTTTTTTATCGCTTACGGCAAGCTACTAGTCGAACATGTGTATTGAAGAATGCCCTTTAACGTGAAAGCCGTGGAGCAGGGGAGCTTTAAAAATATTGCTAAGGGGAGTGTGTTGGAGGTCGTTGGAGAGTGATCAGCGCTCACATCCCTCTCTGGAATGTGAGATGAATTATGCGGCCGGGGTTGATCGGTCGAGTTTTCTGTCTTACAAATGGTGAACAGGATGCTCTGAGTAGCTGAGTAGCAGCAGCTCACGTTTCCTCAGGGAAAAGCACCACGCTTATTACGGCCGGCTTCGTACAGTGCCCCCAGCAAGTCCTGTAGACATCTATGGCTATCATCAACAGCAATACATAAGGAGTGCACGCGCTGGCAAGGAGGCGTACTGTTCAGCTACGGTACGAGACGGCTCAAGCCAAGTATGCCGATGCAAGTGCATAGGGTCATGCATAAGAAGGAAAAATCCATGCCTTGAGGCTTGTAATTGCACTTACCTACCCTTGTTTACTTGCCGAGCTGCAGTAAGATCCTTGCTTACAGCATAACACTTGGAAAACTTAAAATAATTTAGCATAATAGCAGTGGATTTTATAAAAATACATTTCCTCGTGCAGTTAACGATATCGGTGAGAAATCGTACGACAAGGCACGTCAGGTTGCTGCTCCTGCTGCATCCAGGCACAATATCGGCCTGCTTTGGCATTATCATAAAAGCGAAGACCTCAGTCCGCAAATAACCTACCGGTCCAACACAAGTAACCAAGCTAATTGGATTGCAATACGGTTGGTATTTACGTCTAATGCATCAGTAACGAGATTCATAGGCTCGGTCATCAGATATGCGTTGTGGTCTCTCGCAGCCATGCCAAGTGCAAAGTAAGTGGTCTTCCCATAACTAATTTTGCGAGGGTGCATTACTAAAGAGGTCTGATCAAGGTGAACAGGGCAAAATATAAGCCCATGCCCTACACTGTCGCGTCCTTGATTCCTCCTGGTTCTGGAGCCAATGGCACGGCAGCCTGATAACATCACCTGCTGAAGATCGCAAACTCCCCCGCCTCATGCCCCACCCGCTGCTGTCCTGCTTGATTCATTTGGCACGTTTCACCGCACCGGCAACAACAAGACGGGCCATTTAGCCCCCAGGGGGCTGCATGGGGAAGGCAAATGTTTCTTTAGCGCGGGACATGAATAGAGCCTACCTATGTGCGTCCCTTGGGCAGGCAGGCTGGTACGGGATGGGTCCCTTGCGGCCAGCGATATCCAGCGCGGCCGCACCTCACAGTTCTTAATGTGGGTGGCATGGCATGGCATGGCATGGCGTCACATGCAAACGGGCAGGCAAGCGGGGGCCTACCCGCGCAAACCCTTCCTTACCTCCTTGCCTGCGACGTGCCCCCCGCAGCCTGGGCCTCCTCTCAACCCCCCGACCCCGTCATACCCAGATGGCTGCGGTCTCAATCCGGTTGACTTGCTATCCTACTCCACCTCTTCCAAGACCTAACCCCGCTGAAGGCCGCCCGCCCGCCCGCCCGCCCACACACCCGCAGGAGTGCCTGTCCCGCGTGGCACCACGAACTGGCATCACCATTCGCTAACGGGGAAAAGAACATGTTGTCGGCCCAGGCGCCGTGGCGCCGCAGCCGCAGCCGCCGCAGCCAGCTCCGCCGACTCACTGGAAGCCGCCACCGCTGCCGTTGACCCACCTGGTTGCCGTACCCACCCAGAGGTGGCCGGGCAGGTACTTAACAAGGTCCCCGTGTCCTTGAGCATGACGTCACGTCTGTACGGCTACCTTTTGGAGCACACCCGGGAGCCAAAGGTGCGTGGGGCTGCCCGCGGCCTTGGCTGGCGGCGTTACCTCCACCTCCACACCCCACACACACCCCACACACACCCCAGGCGTAGCTCTGGCCAGGATTCTCAGGATTTGGTGAGACCGTAACTCCATTTCTCTGCAGATTCTGCCAAGCCTTGCCGAACCCTGCCTGGAGCTCGTATCCATCCCCTTGCCTTCCTCTCTGACTTGCCCTCTTATACATCCTCTTTTCCCGCCCTTTCGGAGCCCCCTCCCCTCCCCTCCCCTCCCCTCCCCTCCCCTCCGTGTCGGGTGGCTTCTGCCGGGGCAACCCCGACTTCCCCTCCATGCTCCACCCCTCTCCACTGCAGGTGCTTCAGCAGCTCCGTGAAGCCACTGCGGCGGTGTCCGGGGCGCACATGCAGGTGACTCCGGAGCAGGGAGCTCTGCTGGGGCTGCTGGTGGAGCTGACGGGCGCGAGGAGGATCGTGGAAGTGGGGGTTTTTACGGGCTACTCCTCGTGCGCAATGGCGATGGTGAGTGATGTGGTCTCGCTGGGGGGGCCGGAGGGAGGAAGGGGGCAGTGTGGGGTCTGACACGTTCACGTATTCTATTGTAGGATAGAGAGGGTGTGATGGACGGGGTTGTACGTCTGTATGTGTGTCTGTGTGTGTGGCGGGTTGCGGTTCAGTATATATTGGATTGGGAGCGCCTCCGTTGACCACCTTCCCTCCTTGGATTATCCTCTTCCCATACCCCATATCTCTCCATGCCCTCTCATCCCTTCGCAGTTTGTTTAGCCTCCGCGCGTTGTACTTCTCTCCGTACCCTGCCGTACCCGTACCGTACCACTCTACTGGATGTTGCCTAAAATGGGACGTTCTGCCATTATGAGGTGTTGGGGCTACTGACTGCTGCTGTTTGCTGCTCATACTGCTTCTTCTCATACTGCTGTAGCCTATTGCCAGCGCCCCTCTCTCCCATTACCTGTTTCCCTGCAGGGTGTCTGGGTCCGCGCTCGACTGATATGGCTGCATGCGCGTGTCTAAACCCCGCTCCCGGCCCTTAAAACAACACCTCCGGGACCAGCAGGCTCTACCGCCGGACGGCCGCCTCGTGGCTCTGGAGCGGGACGAGCGGCCTCTGCATATGGCTCGTCAGTTCTGGCAGATGGCAGAAGTAGCGGACCGAGTGGAGGTACGGCTGGGGCCTGCGCTGGAGTCCCTGGAGCAGCTGATAGAGCGAGATGGACCGGCCTCGTACGACATGGCGTTCATTGGTACGGCAGGACTAACTGGGGCCCGAGGCTATCCGGGTGGGCCAGGGAGGGGAGGCAGGGGCACGGACTGCGAACCGCGAAGGGTAGCGTGGCGAGGAAGATCTCGTTAAGCCCTGTGATAAGAGCTGGTTGGCGCGGTGTAAGGTCTGGTCTGGGGTCGCCGATTGCGGATGTTGATGTCACCTGTGCCGATGTCGCCCGTTCTCCTCCCCCCGTTGGGGTGTGCTCTCGCATGCAGATGCCGACAAGCGGTCGTACGACAAGTATTACGAGATTTTGTTGCAATTAGTCCGTCCCGGTGGGCTGATTGCCATTGACAACACGCTTTTCTACGGGCGAGTTGTTGAACCCCAGGTAGGTTCCGAGGGAGAGGAGGGAGGTGGGGGGGGGGAGGTGGGGGGGGGGCGGGAGGCACCATCTTGGCCAACCAACTGGTGCCGTGCCACCCTCCGTCGCAGGCCAATGACAAGGCTGCGATGGCGCTGCAACAACTTAATGCCAAGCTCCTCAGCGACCCACGGGTCACAATGAGCCTGGTGCCCATCGGGGACGGCATGACGCTGTGCAGGCGCCGGTGATACGAGGGTGGTGCGATGCAGCACACGGCAGTAGGGTGGCGGGATTGGCCGTGGTGCGGATTGGAAGCCACGGCGTCCACTTCACGAGCAGGGGGAGCTACTCCTGGCTCGGCGGGGTGGCCGGTCAGCCACTGAAGGGCTCGACAGCTGTCGCGATACGGTGCATTCGGCGGAGGGCGGAAGCCAAGTAGCGGACACAGTAGCGGGCAAGGTAGATGCCCTAGTTTGTGTAAAATACTTGAGACCGCGCGTGCCATAAAAGAAAGAACAGACATCCATTGGCTCCACATTTGGGTCAACCAGAACCTCCCACGTTCCACAATCTCAGTAAGCCATGAAAGTAGTGATACAAGCTGAAGTCATGTTTTTTTCCCGTCATATGTTTGTAAACCATTTCTGGCCATGTACGAATCCCCGCGGGCGTCCATCCTCCACCCTCCCGTGACATAAGAGCTGTAGGGTAGTTCTCTGACGGCATTAGGGCGCCAACCACCCGGCAAGTAGGACCTGTAAAGCGAGAAAAAGGCTGCGTTCGAGGCTGTGGCGATGTCTCCCGCTTCCATAGCTGCAGGTCGTGTGTAAAGGGTACCAGGAAACCCACTTGGGCCCACAATACCAGTCGCCCCGGTATCGTCCTCGTGGGTGAAGGTGGCAATAATCAGATTCACAGAAGGGTTTTATGGACCCTGTGCTTGAGGGCTACGTGAGCGCTGGCAGTTGGGAAGGCGCTGCTGGTCACTACAGGAGAAGGCTACGCACTTAGCACGTAGCTGCGCCGCTCGCCTAAATTCGCGCGGCTGGATGCGACAGGGAAATGGATCGAGAGTGGATACATGTTGATTGTGCATGACGACTATAGGGATATCGCCAGACACATGGAGAGGTGCAGTTTGTTTTTGGCAATATTGCTCCACCTTGGGGCTCGGGAGAGGACATCGGAGTCCGATTCGGCACCAACTCCCTTCCGGGGCAGCCCCTAACGTGGCAACCCTGTACAACTTCTTGCCTTCTAGTCAAGCTGTAAGACCGAAGTTGGCGCCCCGATCCCAAAGCAGGGCGTATGTGACGAGGAAAAATCTTTACCACCCCACGTTTACATACACTAGGGCGGCACGCCACGCAGCAGCGCCTGATCCGCAAAGGGCGCTCAATCAGTAAATTTGGACAACTCCACATCTTGTGAAGCGCACCCATCACCACATCCACATCCAGCATTGGCGCCCCGAAGCAACGCGCGCATCCAAACACCCACGCAAACCTACACCGAGCAGCAACAATCCATCCTGACCCCAGAGCCAAGTACGTGTGAGTGCGCGCGCGCATGTGCGCCTGGAAAAGGTTGGTCGGTTAACTTGGCCGGCTGTACTTGACGCATCGTGCTGCCTAATGGGCAAGGCTGCCTGCCCACCTCCCGCCCCCAAAGCGCAGTTCAGGTCCGCTTTCTATTCCGTTTTTTACCCAGGTTCGCGCACTCCCAACGACACAAGACCACACGCAAAAACAGCTCAGTCCGTAATGGTTAGCGGCGCCACCAAGCAACCTCGCCACGCAGCAGGCAAAAGAAGGCTGATGAGCACGCAAACCGCAAACACGGAGTAAGGAGGGAAGGGTTCGCAACGTCTGGCAGATTGCGGCTCAGAATAAAAAAACCAACGATTCAACCATGTCGTTGCGTCACCTTCCGCGCTGGAGGGCTGTAGGAGGACACGCAGACGACGCGCGCCAAAACACGGCCCCCCTACACACGGATGCCCGTATCACACACTGACTGCAGACTGCTGAATGCAAAACCCAACCCGCAACGAGATGCACCAGGGCCGCGTAAGGATTTCGTGCGCGAGCGCCTGCGTGCTTCATGAAGCAGAAAGAAAAGAGGTCGGCTGAATGCCCAGAAGCCAGCCACGCGCGCCCAGCTGGCCAACTGACGACGTAACAGGAAAAAAGTACAGAAACCGCCCAACCTTAGGAACACAAGAATTCCGGCGCCATCGCGAGGACGGCAATCATGGAAGAACGCGATGTCTGCGATGTGTTAGATAATGCGCTCGTTCATCGGAACCGAGAAGAGAGAATTTGATTCATTTGAACCGCCAAAAGCTCAAACAGCACTGCTTTCCAGCCCGCTCGCCCAACCAGGCCACCAGCTAGTTGGCTCGGCAACCAGCTCTGCCCCAAGCGCACTCCGGGTCTCCCACCATCTGTACACAGCTTCACCCCACAACACAGGGTTATTGTTGCACCAATTGCTTGTCACGGGGTTTCCGTGGACGGTCTTCTCATGTCAGTTGTGTCCCCACCCCGCAATCAACAAGAGCAGCATGCAAAGGTCGGCCATGAATTCAGCCCGGCCCCCGCATGTCGCTACCTCGACACTTGACCACCAAACCATGTGCACTTCAATGACCTTACAGCGACTCCTATCCTCCCGCCACGCTGGTGCGCTCGCCTCGACGGAGACAGGCGTGTAGCCCAACAGGGTATGCTCACGGGTTCGTGTCCTCTCTACATGCCGCAGGTACAAGATTAACGGCCTGGCTACCCACCATCTTTTGTGCCAAGCACACGAACAAGGAACAACAAAACTTGAGAGTCACATGTCATAAAAGAGGGCAAATATTAGCGGGTCGCCACCCGCCCCGAATGGCGTGCGTCTTGAACCGTACCGAAAAGAGGAATTGTTGCTACCGCTGGCTTACCCGGGACCTCTGCACCCACTTCAACCGCTGCCCTCCTATCCGCCCTGCCGGTCAGATAGCCTCCCTGCCCAAGTTTCCCAACCCTGCCACCACGCCGCCATGCATCGCCTAGACATCATCCACCTCCCGAACAGGGTTGAAACCAGTCCACCTTGCAGCCCAAAGTAAGCCAGTCGGCGCCATTAACATCCACAAACTCCACGCTCTTCTTCTGGGCCTGCCTAAGGCGTCTGAAATAACACCATCACCGGCAGAGAGCGACAGCTCACAGTACAGCTGCTCCGCCGGCACGCTCCCCATCCCATTTCACAAGCGCCAAAGCCCAAACAAGACTCTACGCTATGGTGGAGCGGCAAAAGATGTACTGCCACTCGCACCTCCAGCACCGCATTTGTGCGGCGTTCGCGAACGAGCACGACCGAGCTTGCATAAGCGCATCTATGGGGATACCAACCACTCCAGATTCCTGGCACGACACGGCACTAAATACGACACCACACCTGAGCTCAAAGAGTCCAAATGCGCCTCCGCTGGCATACTTAAGCATCCTACACCAATCATCGACTCCTCGCGACCGCGCTGCCAACAAGACCACGATCCAAAACTTGACATAACGGAAAGATGACAGGACAGACAAAACAACCCAAGAGCCATATGCATCCTAGCAGGCCCGAAGATCGATATACACAAATCTCTGCTGGACGGCAGCCACGCATCGGTGACGCAGCAGCAGGCAAACGTCAGTGAGCCATTGCGTCCCCACTCGCCTGGCCAGGGCTGCTAGGCCACGGCTTCTTGCGCTAGCTGTGTCGATGTTGTTGCTGCTGATGCTGTTTATTGGCCTCGTCTGCTTCATGGACAACCATACTCAACATGCGCAGCACGCCGCGCCGCGGCGGCATCCGATCTACCTCCCCAGAATCCCCTTCCTCGCATCCCCCGGTGCCAGCCGCCTCCTCGCTGGCCCTCCGAGCCGGCGCCGCATCGGCTCCGTTTTGTTCCTGCGCGGACGCCGTCGCACCAGCCAAATCTAGACAGGGGAACCACGTGGGTTGCTGTTGATGTTGCTGCTGCTGATGTTTGACCTGGTCTGGCGCGGCCGTTGCCGCCGTTCCTTGTGATAACTGCGGCTGCCTCGAGGCTTCAGCCGCTGTGGAAGGTTGGTCAAAAGCTGGCCTTGGAGGAGCTTCATGCGGCGCTTGCTGGCTACCACCACCTCGCCGTTGCCATGGCTGCGGATGCTGTGGACCGCCCCCCTCCGCCACCTTAGAATCAATATCCATGCCTTGGCCCGATCGGTCTTCATCTCCCGTCCCATGGCCCTGCTCTGCCGCGGCCGGCAAACCCGCATGCGATCGACCCGCGTTAAGCAGTGCCTCAGCTCTCCCGGATTGTGTGGCAGTCGTGGTCGCTGGACCCGGCCCGCAATCCTCCATCTCCACGTCGCTCTGCTCACCAGTTTCCGCAGCATATTTATGCCGTGGTGCTGCTTGCCCTGCCCACCCGTGCCCCGCTCCTTCGCTGTGTCGACCGAAGCCGGAAGGAGGGTTCCTCGAGTCTACTGTTTCCACCGCGGGTCTGCAGCTGGGGCCTGCAACACCGCCCTCCCCCTCGCCGCCGCAGCTACCTGCCAAGTCGACGCCATCACCTGTGGGCCCAGCACGCCCCGACGTTCCCCCAGGGACGTACGGCTCGTCTACGTAGCGTGGGAAGGAATGTCCGCGCCCGTCCTCTCCGCCACCACCTACAGCGTTGCCCGACGTTGCCCGAAGTAGCCCGCCGGCGGTTAAGGAAGTTAGAGAAGGTTGGGATTCGGGTAGGTTATCGTTGTTGTCACTCGCACCGGGCCGCCCCCCGGGCGCCTGCTCTGGCCGTTGCGCATCGGGTTGCACATCGAAGCGCCATGACTGTGTTTGACCCTGTGAGCGATCCGCGCGAGGGCGTGACTGCTGTGCGTGAGGCTGTGCCTCGTGGCCACTGGGCCCCGCAGGCTCCATCGCTAATGTGCTGCCACCTCCGCCTTGCACGCCCTGGCCGGGCATGTATCGCGCAGCAGACCCGGACTCGCCTTGGCTGCCCAGGACAAGCGATGACAATCCCAGGCCTTCAGGTTCCGGCACGGAGCCCTGATGCCGCCGGCCTGAGCGGTTACCCTGGATAGCGTCAAGCTCGCCACTACCGCTTGCGCCACCGCTACCTCTGGCGGGACTTCGCCGTAGCTCGTGATCAGAGTCATCGTCCATGCGCCGAACGCCTTGGTGCAACGACTGCTGATGGGACGGCGCGCTAGTAAGGCCGTGTGCGGCGCGGACGTGGCTGCCGGCCATTGCCGAAGAGATTTCCGTTGCCTGTGCCGTGTTGCGGGGAACCAGCACCACGCTTTCCGCGGCCACACTATGCAGCGCAGGCCCACCACTGCCGCGGCCCTGTGCAGGTGCCTGGTTTTGCTGTTGTTGCTGCGTGCGCTTGCCACTGACAGGTAATTCTACGGGGCTAGGGGAGGATGGTTCCTGCCCTACGCCCAACCCGAAGGCAAACACCGTGGGTGCCGCCTGCCCCGCTGCTGCTCCCTCCCAAGGGAACATAGGGGCCGCAGGCACAGCCCGCCCGCCTGAGCCCGGTTTGGAGCTCGGCACCAGCATGGGTGCCTGCGTGGCTGACGCGACTGTCTGCAGCATGCTACCGCCACCACCTGCGTCAAGATTAAGCGAAGGCGACCGCTGCCCAGCCGTCCCGCCTGCCGCACCACCACGGGCGCCAGCGTTGGCTGGTCGACCGCCCGCAGCTGCACCAACTGGGGCGGAAGCGTTGCCCTCCGGCCTAACAGCACTGGCTGAGAAGGGCAGATTGCTGGCCTGCGCGGGAAGGAGAGTCGAACTGCCATTGTTCATCAGTGACAAACTAGGTGGCAGCATGCTGCTGCCCACGCCAGGCAGTGGCCCGCTCATCACAGGTTGGAGCGCTTGCGCCGGCTGCCGGTGGGCCCCGCCGCCAGGCGCCGGGGACCCCTGTTGTTGTTGCTGCTGCTGCTGTTGCGTTGATGTCCGGTTCGGTGGGTGACCGCTGAAGGGTGCGGCGGTCACCACAGAGAGGGCCGGTTGCTGCTGCCCAAAGGGATTTGTCGCGCCAGTGTGGGCGGTTGACCGGCTGGCAGCCAGATGCGCCTCCCCAGAGATGCTCCAATTGGGAGGTGTCTGCTGCTGCTGCTGCTGAGGAGACGGCTGTCCTGCTGGAGGCTGCTGTGGCAACTGCGGAGACGGCGGCTGATCGTGTCGAGGCCGTCGGGGCTCCTCATCCCGTCCACCACGGGGTCCACCGACCACCGGCCCCCCTTTGCCCTGCAGGGATGGGGTGGACACAGAAAATTGCAACTTTCCAGAGGCTAAATCAGTTTTAGTACCCGGACCATGCAACATGACTGCTTGGATCAAAACGTCAAAAGTGTCAACGCAAGGCCCGCGCACGTGTGACAAGGCCTGACCGGCCGGAGGCTGTGCAACACACCTGTCCGGAGGCCTCCGGCCGCGTTTCCAGGCAGACGACCAGGATTTGGTGAGACAGGACGTTGCCTCGTCCCCAGCCGACGAGCGTCCGGCCCACCAACGGCTCCATAGAAGCGCCGCGTAGGTAGAGCTCGCCTGAGCCCGCGTCGGCCACCTCGGCTAGATACACCTACAATTGAAGTAAGGGACAGCGGGCGCCTTTGTTGACTATAGAACTGCAGCATAGCGACTCAGTTTCTTACGCTGAATTCTCGCCGTGCACTATCCATATCATTGAAACTGCGTATACTTGCTGCTTGACCTCGTCGCTGTTCTGATTCAATTAATGGACATGAGGACCCTGCAGGACATGAGGACCAAATCCCCATATCCAAAATGCGCAAAAGGCGACAGGACGCGGCGTGCATGTGTTAACTAATTCAGAGAGTTCAGGCGGTGCTCCCCGACTTCCGCAGCGGTAGCGCACCTGCTGTTCCAGTTCCCCGTCAATCTGGTATCTGAGCAGCACCGGATGGGGTAAAAGTACAGCACCGTACAGGCTTTCAACCGCCTGCCGTGGCACCAACAGTTGCGCCGTCCGCTCCCTTTTACCATCCGGCTTCCGTTCAACCGGCAACGCTGCCACCACGTAGGAGGGCTCGGCCGCGGCTGTGATTGCTGCGTCGTCCTCCATTGCTTGGGCTTGCTGCAGCTGTTCATGGGGTTCCGGTGCCTTCAGACTAAGGTCAACACCCGGGCCGCCAAGGTACTCCGGTGCCTGGGGCTTGGCCGATGCGGCTGCCAGGTCCACATCAGAGCTCTTGCGGTGAGACCTGGCCAGGCTGGGTTTGTCCAAACTGGCATGGCCCCTACCCGGGAGGTTTCCCCGGGAGACAGGTGTGTCCAAATTGGAGCCGCCGCCGCCGCCGCCACCAGCCTGCGTCCCATCATATGCGGCGAAACCATGCAAAGCATAGGCAAGCAGCATGGGGTAATGAATGCAAAGGGCCACGAAAACTGAAGCAGCCCAGCAATGAAAGGCTCGTGCCCGATTCATGAAGTTGTCTGTGGCCATGAAAAGGTCCGGGGATAATGCACTTTACCTGCGGGTTGCTAGGGTTACTGCGCACGGACTTGTTCTCCACAAGCACGTTTGCCTGCTGCACTGTCTTAAGGCACAGGACCAGGCAACCGTCTTCGCTGATCATCCAGTCCTGCTGCGAGCGGCCCTCCAGAACCGTGGGGGGCAGGTTGTAGAGGTAGCAGTGCCCTTGCCTGTTACGATGAATCTGCAAACAGAGCGCAGGGCAACCGAAAGGGTCTGCTATCCAGGGTCCGTCACAGTTTGCTGCTGGCCGTAGACTGCGGGGCTGCCTGGTATCAAGTTGCTTACCTCGCACGCGAAGATATCTGGTTGCAGGCTGCCGTCCAAAGTGCATCGGACAGACACTGCTGCGGGCAGGTACTCGGGTGGCAACAGCTCGCTAACATTGGTCGGCAGTCGCAACGGCGCCGCAATGGGTCCGGCAACACCCGACGCCTGTAGCATGCTGCCTGTGCCTGTAAGCTGCGTGGCTCCGGCCAAAGACAAGTTGGATGCAATACTGGTCGTAGCCCCAAGCTGGGACGGCATGGCCGGGGCCCCCACGCGCTGCTGCTGCTGCTGTTGCTGCTGTGACAGCGGCGGTTGCGGTTCCAACCCAAGGTTTTCTGGTGGTAATTGCACATTGGCAAAGGCCGTACCCCCTGGCACTTCAGAAAAGTTGGTGAAGCGCGCAGGTGACGGGAGAGAGGTGCGGGGCTGGCCAGGCGGTGTGCCCCCACCGGCTTGGGGGTAAAGGCCCTCGCTGCCTGTCCGAGCGGGGGGTTCCCTGTAAGCCGGTGGCGCACTCCCAGGTGCTGTGCCGGTTCCAGGTTGCGGCCGCCCGCCACCAGGCAGCAACAGTTGCACGTCTCGGCTATCACGGACCCCCGGGTACCCCCGGCCTGCCGCAGCCCCTGTTGTTGGGCTTGGTGCTAGCCGCCGGCCCAGATTCGCGCCCTGAGTCCCGCTGACCCCGTAGACGCCCCGCTGCAGCTCCGCAGCCGCAATTGCAACCATTAGCCGGGGGTCGCTAGGTCCTAGCGCCCGCCGCAGCTCACTGTCACCGCTGAGGCCGCTGACGGCGTCATCCTCGTCGCCTGCGGTTCCAATCCGGGGACCTGCTGACATCGGCGTACCGCGATGGTATTGGCCCCCCTCCACGGCATCGTCCATTTCCAGGGGTTGTTGCTGCTGCTGCAGCAGCAGCATGGCCTCCTCGTCTCCGTACGGCAGGGGCGGCAAGCTGCGCGTCTGCTGAACGCGACCGGGATGTGGCGAAGGGGGAGAAAAGACTTGGAACATCTGTTGCTGCTGGAACTGTAGCTGCATCTGTTGCTGCTGCTGCTCCGACATCTCCGTGTCCTCATCGTCCTCCTTGCCCTGGAAACCCTCCGCAATGGCGGCTGCGATTTCATCCTTTGACGGCGAGCGCAGCAACAGCACTAGGCCGTCCGTGGGTGTGTGGCTCCAGCCAAGGAACCACTTCCCCATGGCCGTGCGCTTTAAGGTGCGACTTGTGATCCAGTAGTAGTGGGCGCCCTTATTGTAGAGCAAGTCTGCTTGGTGGACGCCGTTGAGCATGCGATTATCCAGCATCACCTATGGACGACGTGCGGGCACAGGAAGGCCACTAAGCTCCTCCGGGCCAGTTGCGTCAGCACACACTCCCAGCGCCCGCTGAATGGCAGGTTTAAGTAACGTTAGCAGAGCGCACATCGAACCTGTGAACTGGTCCCAGGCCCACTAAACTTAAGGGACGTGGTAGGACTCGTTTCGTATCAACAAAGATATAACAAATGCTTAGTATACGAAGATGCTGCGGTGAGGCCCCATTTCTGACGAGCACCAATAACCACAAGTATATGAACAGGGGTGGATGAGGAGGGGGCTGGACTGGACCGGTGGCTAATAGGAGCCTATTATTCCCCAGTACCGGCAATGGATACCCCATCCATACACCAGCCGTCATGACTATACGGGCAAAGTCAGCCGCACCTTGACCTGCAGCTCTGTCCGGGCGCCAACTTCGCCAAGCCACTCACGGACCTGGCCCACGCCAATATATAAGCGTGTTGTTGTCCGCACCAGCTTTGCACAGCCCTGCGTGTGGGACCATCCAACACGAATGTATCTCCCCGTGCGGTGTTGAAGCCCCGGCATATCACTCCACCGGAAACAGCAAAGTCGTGGGCCTGGTAACCCGCTGTAAACATACCCTGCCGGTAGCAGTGGCCCTCGAACCTCCACGCAAGCGCCCGGCCGAGCCACCTCTCCGTTGCCCGAACCTCGCTCCCGGCAGCAGTCCGGTCGGAGTGACAACCCGCTGGGCTTGCTCCATCTGCGGCATGCCATATGTCTTAGATGAATGGACACCTATTGATCAGAACTGTTCATGGGAGGTCGTGACGCTTAGGAAGGTTTACACCTTACCGCCAGCCTAGCTCCATCTCGTCCTTCCGGCCGCCAATCTAATAACAAGCCAGCGCCTGCCTGTTCTCTTGGGTTATCCCAATCAATTGCCAGTCTTCCGCTAAGCGCCTGTACCTTGGCCTGCAGAGCGGGAAGCAAATTGAAAACACGAGGAACCTGCTTATTGTCTTGTTATCCTGCATTACGTTCAAGCTGCAGACTACTTGCGCACCTGAGGCTCCGACAGATCCGCAGGAGCCTGCCGTTTGCGGTCAATGCCCGGGCCTTGCTCGTCGGCCGAGTCCGGTGGCTGCAGCTGAAGCTTAATCGTATCATCCCCAACCCTCGACCATCCAAACACCAAATGGCCTGGGAACCGATCCTGGGAAACCGCCCAAAGGCCGGACCTGCGTGTACAATGTCAAGGACAAAGTAAATTCAAGCGGGCGGGCGGGAAAACAGGCGATGCCCCAGCTCCAAGATTGTATGCGTGGAGATAACTCCTATACTTCACTCACAAGCGAAGCTCTGAGTCCTCCACAGAGACATAGCCATGAGCTGATACATCGTCAACCGGCTGCCCAGCCACTTCAAAGGTGACAGTGACTGATTTGGGGAGAGGACACCCGCCATACTCTCTGTCCCAGAAGCGGCGCGGGACGGTAATAATGGGGGCGAGGCTCTGCATCCGGCCACCAGCTCTTCAGACGCTCGGAGCCAGCACCGGCGCCCCCTGAGAGTCACCACAGATCATTTCCTCCTTGCCGTAATCATAATGCAGCTAGCTGCGATTGAGGAGAGGTGAGCACGCCGCGTGACAGAGTAACAAAAGAAACAAAACTACACAGGTAGTCCAGCGTTCTAGTCAATGTTGGTATGCAAATAACATATCATTCACGTCATACGTTCAGCTGGGACACAGAGCAGAGAATGGCTAAAATCTTGGGGATGTTGAAGTCCCGCGTAGAAATGTTGGTTGTCGGATATGCCAGGCCTGCTTGTATGGCTATTGTTTGATTTTGTTATGGAGATAAGTGGATAGAGAGTAGAGAGAGTAGAAAGCAGTGTACAAATCAGAACCTGTACAACGGCGACAGACCATCTCCGGCCGGGCCGAACTCCATGCTCTCCAAAAGGTATTTTGAGGTTTAATATATGTTGTTTTCGCCGGTGCCACAATGAACATGTTTGCTTCAATCCGCCCAAAGGCGCTCTCTACCCAGAGTTGCTATGTTTCAAGGACTCCTAGGAAGTTAAATAACTAGTGATTGGGAATGCATATTCCTAGACGCGGAGGCAACGCTAACTTCCTTCGAAACGCAGGACTACCTATTAGTCGTGCCACGCTCAGCGGGCTTCTCACAGAGCCCCAGGCGAAACTCTTTGGAAACAGATTCCATTACAACATCGCATTGCCTACCTGTGCACCCAAGGTGGCGTCAAGTTGCTGCCAGTTTGCGCTCGTCGCCCCCCAGCTAGTGAAGACCGAAGGCGGAGTCGGGTCTCCGCCAACCATACTCGCCTCCTTATTTTTAGGAATGAAGAGTACGGTCTTTCAATTGCCTTTAGAGATTTCTGGAGATGGCGTCTTTAATGTTACACCAGGAAGAGATAAATTTGCATGACGTACGGATGTAGTTACTCGTCAGTTCGGTCCCGCGGAGTTATTAAGACCACCTACCAAGCACTTCCTTTGTCCATACAGGGCGCCACTTCGCCCATCTTAACCGTGTGCTCGACATTCTCCTTTGGCATACACAGGGTAGTGTATAGTGAGCTGCGGTTTTGGGCAGTGGACGGAGGTGGAATGACTATTGAAAAGCAGGGCGCACGATACAGGTCCAGTCGAAGCGAGGTTGCAGCTGTGCTTGCTTGCATGCGGCTGTAACCGCACCCAAGCTCTGACGCATGACGGTCGTACCAGGCATGCAGCTGAGGAGGCTTGATCTTGATCTTGCTACATCGTACCGCGGGAATCTCTCAGCATAGCTACGTCCACCACATCATAATCATCCAAAACAAAATCCCACAAATCCAATCCTCAGAAGTATGGTTTCTGCAAATCCACGGTATTATGAAGATGATAGCGTACGATTTCTGTCCGGTAGAGTCCGGTCTTCACATATAATCTTAACGATGGCAGCGGTACACAGCGCTGCCCGCATTAGCACCCGTGCCTAACTCTTTCGCGCATAACACAATCAGGGCGCATGCCGCTGTAGCTACGAACCTGCCCATGCGAAACTGAATGTGGGTCATACGGTTTATCTACCATACAACCGGACAGAAGCAGCCGATGAAACTGTGCACAACTGGAAGAGATCTCCGCACTGTTGGCAAGGGAGGAAAGAGATGACACACCAGGTATGCACCAGATGATGTTGAAATCCTTACCGAGCCGCCTGGGTCCAATCTCGTTCCCGGTTGAAATCCGTCTCGTTGTGGGATTTCTTAACGCTCTGGGCAGGCCAACACCCCACCCGTGCCTCTCGTCCTCGCCTTGGCCACAGCCATTAGTACCGCAGCCCGGCAAAAACCATGGGGTACGCAACCCGTGTAGCTTGAAGGCCGCGTACCCCAAAAGAAGAAGAAGCCTGCTATCTTGTTTGCTGATGCCTCCGCGACTGTATTACGGCACCGTATTACAACGGGCAGCAGGCTCCCTACAGACATCCCCTCTGCTGTCCTGGCGTACCATTCGCCATTGCCTGGACTGGAACCAAGTGTCTGCTGGGTGCCAAGTCCAGTATCATAGCTGCACAAAGGCCTTATGGGGCACAGTCCACGCCCATGGGGGCGCAATGTGCCCAGCCATGAAGTAAATCGCTCGAGCCAACCTATACACACAACGTATACATAACTTTCTTCGGTAAGGAGTGATTCGTGCGCCAGCCTCACCATCTCCTGGACACGGCTCAGGCCATTACAACACAGCCGCAGACAAGCACTGTCTGCAATCGCCGGCACACCCACCATACCTTCCTAGGTCCGCAAGATCGACGAGGAAGGATGGCATGCAGCCACGCACTCATGCAACTGGACCATCAATCACACGGCCACGTCACTGCTTGCTCACTTTCAGAGTCTCCCGCCCGTCAGATCAAGCAGTCCCGATTACAACAATCTGCTATAGATGTCCAGGAGCTTGATAGCGCCCGTGTTGCCATTGTGGTTAATGCTGTATTTTGCGTCTTCAAGGGAAGCTCGCTAGTTCAGGTCACAGCCAGCGGTAGGCAGCTTTAGCACACACCATGCCAAGGTACCGTCAAGTCACTCATGGCGGTCAAAAGGTATGCATGCAGTGGGTAAATCGCAGCAATCGGCATCAGACGGCGTCGATTGCAGGCTCGGTTTGCTACTCCCATGCCCCGACCGTGACGATATCCACACTCCAAACAGCTGTTCTACTGTGTGTCGCTGCGTTGCAAGCTCGTGTAACACCTGTTTACAGCAGTTTTGAGCCTGTCCGAGCGCAGCTTCGACGTTGGCACTTGGTCTCTGTGGTCATTTATCTCCCTTATCGTCTGCTGAATCATTCTTGCTGTTAACCTGTGCATGCGCGAAAATCAGGTTTCCTGATGACTTGCTAGGCCTGCTGTGCGGTAGATCATATTAGCATTACCCGCCAGATGGTATGCTGTGCGGTGGTGTGATTTGCATGCTGACATGCCTGCAACCTGGGTTATAGCTCCCCAGCCCGCCAGGCACTGTGCATCTTTAACTCAAAATTGCGAGGCAGAAAACAGTGTTATCAGCGCTCCTGCAGTCATAGCGTAAAGAGCGCGTAAACCCAAGGAGAGTAGTTGTGCACGCATCAAGCCCACGCACCGTCGCCATCAGGTTAGTTTAGGAGGTTTCACTGACGCATTATTATCATCGTCACTCCATTCTCGCATTGCATCCTCGAACAAACGATTCGTTTGAGCCTCAAGCCGTTCACGGTCTCGTTTCGGACCTTGCTTCATTTTCTGCATACAATGGATGAAATTTTTAGGCAGAGACATTAATCATCTTGAGCTGGTTAATTACCTACCAATCGCGTTTCGCTCTCCGTCAGCTGGACATAATAAACTATCGTCGCTGCTAAAAGGCACGTCCCTCCGAAGACGGCAACACCCCTAGTTGACATATCGTAGCAATTTTAGGTCGCTTTAGTGTTATAGGGTGTGTGAAGCTATCGGGATCGTTTGTATGGCGTATGTACGAAGTGCCGTAGATGCATTTACAATTTGCACTGTGTGAGCCGCAACATTCAGCATGCATCCTGCTACTTAATATAGCCGCGCTGGGGCTTGTATAAGATAAATATCCCACGTTGGTATCTTACAACAGGCAATTAAGAGGGCTGCAGGGCAGTCCCATCAGTGCATAGGTCATTTCCACAGACTTTAGCTAAGTAAAATGGGCTGGGCTTACTCAGGGGAGTGGGGAATGCTGGCTGGCTTCTGCTTTGCCACCCTGAAGAATGCGCAAGAGGGCCGTGCCTGGTTTCGGCGACCATGGATTCATGCCTCTGGCATGGTTGCGGGCTACTATCTATTTAAGGCAGCGTCCGACTGGGAGGACGAGGCGCTGCGGCGCATCATTACACGCTATGAGCGGAAGGGCTATGTCATTCCCGAGAATCGCAAGGAATTGTTTGCACCTGCGACATACAAGTAGAAGCTTTTATACTGACCCAGGTAAGGCTTGCCGATGCTGCGGCTTGCTCTGTGGTGGGAACCGTGACTACAATCCAGCATTTTAGTACTCAGCAATCGGTTTATCAAAGACCCTTGGTGATGGAGAGTGGAGCATACTGCAGGGGCGCTCACTTGCTATACCTGCTTTTCTCTTTTTGTACGGCCTTTGGCATGCCCAGGGTGGCCATGCCGATGGTCAATCCTTTGGTGCTAGGAGTGTTGCGCTCTCATTTCCAATCGCTTACCTTCTCCCTCCCGATTCTTACCAGCCGACCGCCTCTTTCACCTGCAAATCGCGACGCGGGAGCTCGTTCACAGGGCCCTCAGCGGCATCAACAAGTGCCGCAGCCGAGCTCTTGAGCCTCAAGGTGTCAGAACACCGGAACAGTAGGCGGCCTTCTGCGCGCGCTCTGGTAAGAAGTCATATCAGCCGTCTCGGTGGCGCTACTCACTTATCTGCCCGCGTGTGAGCCCGTAAGAGGTTACGGGGAGGCCGAAAGGCGCAGCGGTAGGGAGAGAGCGGCCCCGTCTCCATTATTCCACATGGCGCTCCGCAACGGCGCTACCGGCGGCTCCCCTCTCCCTCTCCTCTCATTGGAAAAATTGACGGTGCATGGCCGTTTCTCTGTGTGTGTGTGTGTGTGTGTGTGTGTGTGTGTGTGTGTGTGTGTGTGTGTTTCTTTTTGAGCGGGATTTGGGCTAGCGGCCCTATGAGGAGGAGGAGAACTGGTCTGCATGCTGTACCTAACTAAAAACAGCCACGTCACTTGATGGAAGGCACGTGGTGCGAAATGTTGTTGTCGGGGCTCGCACACACGTCTTGGCGGCGGAGAGCGGACCGTCCATTGTTGCTTCCGGGACGGGCCGCGCCCCCGGGCCCTCCGCCATTACTTACTTTGCTGGCTTCGGGTCGTGGGTTGTGTAAAGCCTCAAGCAACTGGCGCGACTGATGCTGATTCCACATTTATTTATTCCGGGTACAGGTGTACGTGTGTGTTTGTGTGTGTAGAAAGTTTTCCGAATCCTTCTGTAAGCTTTTTGAATTTTGAAACGATTCAATCGATTAACAGAGTAACGACTGACAACTGGTCTCCAGCGAGAGATTCATGGGTTGGCAGCTACGCATATAAGTCAATGGTTAATAACCTCAATAAAACCGTCTCCATCTCTTGCCGGACGCGATTGTTAACGCTGTCCATCGGTTCTCCTGTCCTGCCCTGTCCTGTCCCGTGGAGAGCGACCTCGATGATATGTCCGGCTGTGTCCAATCAATGTGGTTGTCAGTTCAGGTCATCGGTTCGATTCGGGGAAGGGGCTGTTCAGCTCTGTTAGTTCCTGTGATAGTGGCCTGTACCGGCGGAGCTTGCGCTCGGGGTTTATTCGCTCGGTCGATGCCCCCTGATCATCGCGTCCTTGCGGGGTGACTTGACACAGGTCGGGGCTTGAGTCATCAGGCATCACGTCAGGAGGTGTCCACTCCTCCTCCTCCTCTCTTCCCCCTCCCCCCTCCCCCCGACCACACACCCACGCCCGCACCCGCACCGTACATTCGCATGGCACTCATCAGCCACCGGCCTGTAGGTTACACTTCCGCGAAACGGGACCGGATTTCCGCGAGTACAGACGGTACAGATACGCGAGTACAGACCACCTGAAGGGAAGTGAGGGGACTCTTGGTAAGTCCACTTCCGCGTCACCACCACCGCCACTACTATCATCATCTGCAGCATCCTCACCATCTCCAGCAGCAGCAGCAGCAGCAGCATCACCGCCATCGGGTTATTGGCCCCCCCCAACTCCCCACCAGACCCCACAACACGAGTACACGACGAGGTAACGAGTTCTTTTCCAAGACACCCACTCCAGGGGGGTTAACCCCCCCACGTAGCTGCCCAAACTACTAGCTGCGAATGCCAACATCGCTGGCCCACATGCCATGCCGTGACACGACACGGCATGGCAATGATACGTCGTCCTGCTCTGTTGCTGCGCATTGCAGCACAGCTAGCGGCCCCAACCGCGGCCGCACCGCAAAATTACTTCCGATGGGTTCCGTGAAAAAGCCCCCAAGTACTCTTGCCAAGCGTCCCAGGTTGGACCGGCAAGACCGTTGGTTGCACTTACATCCCAGAACAAACACACAGACACACACAGACATTCGACGAGCTAAATTGAGTTCATGTGGCCGTCAATATGATTTTCAGAGAACGAAAGCAAACAGCGGAACCTCGTAACCCAACAGACAAAAAGAAAACAAGCAAGGCCTCCAGTGACCCATTTGTTGTACAGGGCGGTCTCAACCAGATCGAACACAGGAGCCAAGGTACATGAGCAAAGTACGGACAGCCGTACAGCTCCCGCATACGGGATGGTAGAAAGACAAACTCGTTGAGCGCGAACACACGGCGGGCCCCACATTCCCGCTGACGTGGCGCGTCAAACGCGTAAACACACCCTTAAGTTCCTCCCCTAAAGGGTTTCCACACCAACCAATAGGAAAGATAGCCACATGGTAGGTTTCGTCACCCCCACCTCAGAGAAGACACACACAAGCGCGGCACCTCCATCCCTCCCTCCCTCCCTCCCTCCATCCATCCATCCAACCTCATCCTCAAGGTGTCGGGGCCTGGTTTGTTCCGACGCGGCACGGCCACCCGACGACAATTGCACAGCCTAGGTCTAGGCCCTCCTCCCAACAACCCCCAACACAACGCGCTCTGAAAAAACCCCCACACGAGGGAGCTGTGCTGCCTCCTTTGTGTTGTTCCTTCCGGCCCCTTATCTGCAGTCCCGTCTAGGTGCCCCCCCCCCCCGGCTGCCCCCCGCTCCCCCAACAAACACGCCACCAATAAGAAGAACCATCGCCATTACCATTTAATCATTTAGCACCAACAGCAAAACACTACAAACAGCAACAACTACTACTACTACTACTATTACTACTACGACAACATCAACAGCAACGTTGCAAACACCGGCATCTCATCATGGCTCAGTGAGCGGTGGCGTGCAGCCCGATGCGATGGTGTTCTGGGGCCGCTGGGCTCCTCCCGCCCGCATCACCCGCGCCAGCTCCTCAATGCGGAAGGGCTTCACCAGGAAGGCCTCAATACCCGCCTCGCGACAGCGGTCGTGAAGCGTCTTCGACAGCAACGGGGGGCAGAGGAGGCAGCAGCGGCAACAGCAGAATACAGCAATATGCAGAAGCAAAAAGGGAGGAATGGCGCTGTCAGCCTCGTCAGCAGCGCACATACGTGCATCAGCATCAGCATCAGCATCAGCAGCACTTGCAAACCGGGGGACGGAAGCAGCGGGAGGAGTGTTGCGCTTGGGTTGGGCAGGAGGGACGGCAGGAGCGCCATTTGACAGGGGGGAAACGGGTATTTGTGACACGGCATGGCCATATTAATGACACCTCCAAGCGTCAGCAAATCTCTTACCCCTCACCCCTCAACCCTCTCATGTCTCTGTCTCTGCATATAATATAGCCCCCGTCAAACGGTTGCTCTTCCAGCTCCCACCCACCTGCACCGTATCCGCCGACAGTGCAATAATCCTAGGACGCTCCTCGGGCTTGTAAGTCTCCTGGATGCGCTTGCTGGCCTCCAGACCGTCCATCTCGGGCATGTGGATATCCTGATCAGGCAACCACGTAGAGCAGAAAGAAGAGCGACACGGGGGAAAGGCACCGGGGGGGACACGGGCGTCACCAAGCGTTACATGGGCTCACTGTGCCTACCTGTCTCAGTCATTCAGTCACGCCAATCTGTCCGACTGTCCGTTTGCTGACAATCTTCCTAACCACTTCATGCACCTAGTAATGATGAAAAGTGCGGGTTTAGGGTTTTAAGTGGGCCTGTAACAATGGGTCGCAGATTGCAGCCACATGCGGTCAGCCCAGTGGGTTGTACGACTTCCTAACCCCCCCCGCAGCAGTAGCAGTAGCAGTAGCCCTAAGACCATCCCCGAACTCCTCACCCCCCTACCTCCCCTCCTCCACCCTCTCCAGGCGTGGGGAGGGAGGCAGGGAGGTAGGGAGGGATGGAGGCAGGTAGGCAGGGAGGGAGAGAGGGAGGGGGGGAAATAGACGCACCATGAGAATCAGGTCGTAGGTCTTCTTCTGCAGCGCCTGCAGCACCTGCAGCCCGTTCTCCACCATATCGGGGGGCTGACAGCCACCGCGCAGGATCTGCTGAAGCACCTTGAGGACCACCTGGTGTGTGTACGGCAGAGTACGGCAAGGTACGACAGTGCGGTACGGCTCAAGGGGCAGGACCAGAGCAGGACCAAGACCACAGGATAATGCCCCCTAAAAATCGTAATGGATAACTAATAGGGAAACACAGCTCCTTTGCTAAATTGCAGTACAACAGCCGTCGTCGTCGTCGTCGTCGTCGTATACCGTTCACCAACCGCATCTGGCCGGAACATAGAAAAAAACACGGGACCATATGGTGTCAAGGAGCGACGTGGCGCCCAGCCCATATCCACCGCCTTTCTGCTCAAAATCCATTGCCACTGATGACAGCTCCCTTCAGATCCCCCCCTCGAATCCCCTGGCAACCGCACCTTTTGGTTCACCTTGTTGTCCTCCGCGATCAGGATTCGCAGCTGTTGCTGCTGAGACGGCTGCTGTGGCGGCGGTTGTGGTGGCGACGGTGTTAGACCCTGTACGGCATTGTCGGCAACCGTCCCCACACCGGCGATGGGTCCCGGCACCGCCGCGGCGGGAGGCCGGGGGGCTGCCGGCTCCAGAACCACACCGGGGGTAATGGCGGCTGTCGCCGCCGCCGCGACAGGACTTTCGGCCGCGTGCTGCAGAACCTGTGGCTCTGCTGTTGTTGCTGCTGTTGTTTCTGTTGTTGTTGCTGCTGTTGGCCAGAAGCAAAACCTGCTACCAGAGTGCGCGCCGTCGCCACTGTCCGGTGTCGACGGCAGCAGCTCTGCACGCACGCGTAGACGGCGGGGGGCCCCGGCGCAAGTACGCCAAGGGTGTCGTACATCACCTCCGCAACCCCAACCACAAACCATATACCAGTAACACGGCGCCTACTCCTCCTCCCTCCCTCCCTCCCTCCTTCCGCTCTCCTCCAAACTCACTGCCCCAGCAATCGCCCGACCTCCGGACCGCGTACCCCGACCCGGGTCGCTGCACTCGCACACCCACCTGCATGTTCGGGAATCGGCGCCTGCTGCTGCCGAGTTGTGTGCAACACACGGCCCGGTCCCAGACCGCTTTTGGTGGCCGGCTCCCCCCCGCCTCCTCCTCCCGGGCCGCTCCCCGCGGCCCCCCGCAGCATCAGGTTGGTTCGCTCCAGGGCGGAGTTGTCCAGCGATGTACGGCGGTTGAGACTCTCCCAATCGGGGCCTCGCTTGAGCCGCCAGGACTTGAGCGTCTGAACCAGGACGAATTGAAATGGTGGATGAGGTGCTCGTACTTGATTGAAAAGGTCCAGTACGGCAAGGACGAAAAAGTACGAGACAGAAAAGCGGAGCCAAAGGAGCAATGGAGAGGAAAAGGACAATTGTGCTGTGCGTGCATGTGTGTGTGCATGTGTGCATGTGTGTGTGCATGTGTGCATGTGTGTGTGTGTGTGTGTGTCACCTACACCCCCCTAACTGAGGGGGCGCCTCACCCGAGCCACCCGGACATGCTAGTGCTGCGAACTATAGACCCATACACCCAGGTATTCTGCCAGTAGCAGTAGCAGCAGTAGCAGTAGCAGTAGCAGTAGCAGTTAGTAGTAGCAATAGCAGCAGTAGCAAGCACCTGGTCTTCCGTCCCCGCTGGTCGTACACCACATGCAAACACCTGGAACGTTATGCCGTACACTCACCTGGATGGACTCGCTAGGTATGGGGGCGTTACACAACTTGGGGGCGCTACTGCCATTCCACCGCAGTAGCGCCGTCGCTTTGACGAGCGTTGTCATGAGGCGGCCATGCCGTACGGGCACCGCTAGCGCTACCACCAGGGGCTGTAGCGCCGGCGGCAGTAGCTCTCTATTGCCGAGTGCTACAACCGGTCGACCCTTCCAGCCTGCCTTGAGCGCCGGAACCAAACGGTCCATGGATACGACAAGAATGTCGTACGGGGGGGTACGTGGACCCGGCATCGGCGGCGGCGGCGTGGCGATGGCGTCAACTGACGAGTTGACGGAAGCTGTATCGGGAGCAGGAGTTGCAGCGGTGATGGGAGAGGCGGCAGCGGAAGGGGGATATGACGGAGGCGGCGTCGGGAGTGCCGCCGGCACGGCGCAAGCATTAGCTTGTACGGCGGCCAGGCCCACTTGCCGACAGCTATTCCAGACTTGCGTTGACGTGGCGGCATGAGAGACATCTATCAAAACTGTACGACCAAGCAACGCCGACCGCTCCTCCGCCACCATGTCAGCGCCGACGGCAGGTATATATGCACCGACGACGGAGCCGCCGAAACCGCTACAACTACCGGCGCTAGTGCGTTGCGGCGGCGGCGCCGCCGCCACCGTGGCCATGCCTGCCTGTGCTGTTGCGGTTTGCGCGTCGCCAGTCAAAGCGGCTGCGACGGCGACGGCGACGGCGCCGCTATCACCGCTTCCCTCTCCGCCATCTATCGGCGTGCCGTCCGGCAGCCACGGCGACGTGCGCAGCTCGCGGCCGCTACTGCCGCTGCTGCCGCCGCTCAGCCGTGGCGCGGCAGCGCTGCTGCTCGGCGAGTTTGACCAATGCCCCGTGCCGCCGCCACCCAGCCCCAATGCCGCCGCCGCCGCCGCCGCGGCAGCGTTGCCGCCAGAGCTATGTCCCTCATCCGTCGACGATCGCGGCGTACAATCACTGGAATTCGCCGTCGGGGTCGACGCCGCGCTACGGCTGGGCGAACAGGGCCAGGGGCCGTCGCCATCAGCCCATTCGGCCCGCAGCGTGAAATGGAAGGTGGATCCGACTCCCAGTTGAGATTCCACCCAGATGTCACCCCGCATGAGCTGTGCCAGACGTTTTGAGATGGCAAGGCCCAGGCCCGTACCGCCGTACCGCCGTGACATGGTTTCCGTACCCTGCCGAAAGTGCTGAAATAGCTTCCGAGCTGACTCCTTCCCGATACCGATACCCGTATCAGACACGGCGATGTGTACGAACGTGACGGCGTCGTCGTCATCGTGGTCGCCGTCAGTACTGCTGCCGCCGTCGTGGCCGCCGCTGGCGGCGGAGTTGGTCGCCGCCGGCGCTGCCGCCTGCCAGGTGCCGCCGGGCCCCACAGAGGTGCCGGCGGGGCCCGCTGGCTCGGTGGTGGCGTCCTTAGCGTCCCCCTTGGCGGCGGCGGCGGCGGCGGCAGCTCCGTCTCCGCCGTGTCGTTCCACACAAACCCTGACCACCACCTCCCCTCGCTCGGTGAACTTGACCGCGTTGGAAAGCAGATTCGCCAACACCTGTTGCAGTAGCAGTAGCAGCAGTAGCACCGTCACTGGTTGTTGTCGTACAGCTGACACAACGAAATATTCGAGTGCCAATCTAACAAGCAGGGGATTGGCACTAAGCCGCCGCACCAGCACCAGCAGTAGCAGCAGTAGCAGCACCAGCATCTGACCACCCAGCCCCTCGCTCACCACTTCCCTACAAGCCATGGTCACCACCCTAACCCCCCACCCCTCCGCCTCCTTCCCTCCTTCCCCATCACAACCAACCTCTCATACCCACAAGCACCCACCCCATCCTCGTCTTGCTGAGCCGGTGTCCCCCTCTTCCTCCTCCTTCCCTCCCCCCCTTCCTTTTCCCCCCCCTTTTTATCCTAAGCCTGCACCAGGTCTTCTACCTCTCTGGACCGCATCTCGCCCTCATCCCCCCCCCCCCGCGTCCAAACCCCCTCCACCCGGGCCCCCGAAACACACACACACGCACGCACACACGCACGCGCCTGTCGTATCCTGACGGGGTCCCCCATAAGAGGCCGGGCCAGTGCCGCATCGTCCATCAGGTAGGCCAGAGCGAGGCCCTTCTTGGCCGCCTCAGCCGCCACCAGGTCCAGACAGGCCTCGGTAGCCTGTTTGGGGGGGGTTGGGTTTATGGGGAGGGGGGTTGGGTTTGTGGGAAGGGAGGGTTGGGTTTGTGGGAAGGGAGGGTTGGGTTTGTGGGAAGGGAGGGTTGGGTTTGTCGGAAGGGGGAATGCAGAGGAGAATAAATGAAGGAATGAAGAAATGGAGGTGTAATGGCGTCCTTGGCGTCCCCCTAAGAAGCAACCGATACAACACGGGCGAGGAGCGGATACATACAGACATACATCCACACATCCATGCATTCGGCAAACGCACTTGTCGAAGGCACGTGGGCCGCCTTTGCAGCTCCAAAGAGCCGTGATCGATTTTGGAGAAGTCCAGGATGTCCCCGAGCACCCCCAGAAGGGTGGAGCCGCTCTCCAGAACGGTTTCCGCCAACTCTCGCTGCTCCGGAGTGAGGTGGGAGCTCAGCAGCAGCTGCGCCGTGGCGATCATGCCGTTGAGGGGGGTACGGATCTCATGACTCATGTTGGCCAGGAACTGCGACTTGGCCTCCATAGCCGACTCCGCAGCCTCCTTGGCATCACGAAGCTGAGCTTCGGACTGCTGACGTGCCAGCTACGCGGGTGTGCGTGTGCGTGTGCGTGTGTGTGTTTCGTTGTGTTTGGGGGGGAGGGGGAGGGAAAGGCCGGGGAAAAGGGCGGGGGTGTAAAGTCGGACATGGCAAGAGAGGCAAGGGGGCGAATGAAGGCAGAGTGTATGTGTCTGTATGTATTTCGCGGGGAAAGATGAACCACGAACGAGTGAAGCTGCTGCCAAGGAAAGAGGAGGGTGTATTTCCGGGGGGGGGGGAGGGAGGGGAAAGAGTGAGTGAAGGGGGGGGGGGAAAAGGTAAACAACGAACCCCCGGTGAGAAATGTGGATTCAACGGCAGTCCCCCAGCACACAAACACAACCCCAGCCTCCACGTCAGCATCACACAGCCACCAGCCCCCCACCTTCTTGTCCACCGAACACACACCGCCCTTCCCCCCGTCCCCCCTGGAGGTCGCCCTTACCAGCTCAGTGACGTCATGCTGTACGCCAATGTACGCCAGCAGCTTCCCAGAGTACGGCGCAACTACCGGCTCCAACCGCAGCTCGTTCCAGAACGCCGTACCATCCCGAGTGTAATTGAGCAGCTGTACGGTAACCGGCTGGTGGCGGGCGAGGGCCTCTCGAATGGTTCGTACGGCAGCCGGGCTCGTGTCGCGGCCCTGAAGGAAGCGGCAGTTGCGACCCACGACCTGCGGAAGTAACGGATGCGGGTTTTTGAGGGTTTGGGGGTTTTGGGATTTGGGTTTTTTTCCTCGACATTGGTATCCCCCACACTTCGGGACTCGGCTGGTTGGGGATGTTTCAGTTTTAGGGTTCAGCAAAGAGGAGTCCCGGAAGCTGTAAAATAAACATGTCTTCTGCTGTCGATGTATGTATGTATGTATGTATGTATGTATGTATGTATGTATGTATGTATGTGTGTTGGGCTATTTCTCTCCGCTGCGCTTTACCGGCACCTGCACACCAACACATATCAACATATTCTTTTATATATCAACATATAAAACCACACATAAAACCACATAGGGACACATTTTCATATACTCCTTTGACCTGAATTCCAACATCATAGCTCCAACACCATCCCTAACATTCATCTTTATATTTCTCCCCCCTTCCCCACTCTCTAAACCCCCTCTTCCACCTCTCCCCCCCCATGTCCTACCTCCTCGCGGCTGTAGCCGGTCATGGACAGAAAGGCCTTATTCGTGTAAACGATGGGATGGTCGGGTGCGGAGGCGTCGGTGATGGTGATACCCTCCCTCAACGCGTCCAGTGCCAGCGTCTGCTGCTGAAGCAACGGGAGGGTTACACGACACACGGCGCACTCCCCACCGCTGCCGCCGCCGCCACTCGCGCTGCAACTATCGCCACCTGCACCCAGCGCCGCCGCCAGGCTCTCCACCCGGGCGACCCGCAATGCGCCGCCGTCACCGTTCCCTCCACCACCTCCACCACCTCCACCACCACCACCATCTCCAGACCCGGTCCCAACATCATTATTCTCAGTCCCATCACCACCAATGCCGCCAGGAGTACCGC